GATTAAAAATTTTGAATCCTGATACAGAAGGCAATTTTCAGCCCAAAAAAATTACAAAATATGCCAACAAAATTAGCATATATTCAAAACATAAACAAATAATATAGCAAAATGGTTACATGATTTCAATATTTCTGTAAAAGAGCAAAAATCAACAACAGAAAATAAATAAAACTTGTCTCTTAAGACTTCAAACAACTTTTGTTACTATTAAATTTAAAATGAAGTTTCTTGGCAATTTATTAAGGGTGCTATGTTTTTATTTTTATTTTTGGAAAATTCAAATGAAGTCTTCAAAATTTTAGGTCACATTCTTCTTTGATTCCCACAAGTTATCCGTTAAACTCGTTTCCCATTTTATTATTCCATCAAATTTTCGAATCCCATATAATAGTAATCACTTTTGCCAAGGGCTTTCAATTTAAGCAATCATCACGGTGGTAACCCTTGAGGCAAAATAAGTATCTAAATTACGCAGTACTCGCGCTCCATCCGTAATATGTACGTGTTTATTATAATCTCGACCGTCTGCCGCTCTTTTTACCGTGTATGCTGCAAACCGGATATTTGTTATGGCCATTATAATATTCCTGCCGTGAAAAATCCGGACCGCGAATTAATCGCTGCAATTACGCTGACGGACAGGTTTCCTTCTCGCGTAGCGGCTTCTTTTCCGACTCACAAATGCATCAACTCGGGTTGACGCTCGGCTCGTTTTTTTCGCCTGCAAATATAATCGCGGTGACTTTTCAGCCCAATTACGAGCCGGTTTTTAATTGGATCCGCCACGCAGGCTGCTGCAGTCCGACTGCTCGCAGAGTGCATCAAACCGAGTGGTATGCAAGTGCAATAATAACTGCGATTCGCCCCGAGATTCGGAGATATCACAAGTCACGAATTACAATTGCTATGATCAGCTTTAGAAATAAATATTTCTAGGTACTCTCTCATTTCAGCATTTTTCTCTTTTTGAAAAATTCCTTATAAGGGGGCCAGAAAAAAATACTTATAAAAAAATTATTGTCTCTATTTAATATAGGAGCAACAAGAGCATTAGGAAATTTTAATAATAATTATTATTATTTTTGTTTATTTGTCCACATTGTTACATTTTACTAATATCATTTGATTTTGAAATTTTTATGCTGTACTTTTGTTTTAAAGAAACTTTTTATGAAATTAAACAATAAATCCGCGTTTACGTTGGATTCATTAATTTGTGTTTTGACTGGATATTAATTGTTGTAAAATAAACCTCACTCACCCAAACCCAATGCAGTTTTTAGTTTATTAATTTTACTTTACATGTTGTATAGTTCATAGTTCATATGTTGTGGTCCTAACAAATCTTTTTACTGATTAATGATGAAACGTAAAAATTGCGTGCTATAATGTCTTTTTTTCAACCAGAATGTTGTTGTGTGGTGTAGTTTATAAACAACTATATATTGGTGAAGGTAGTTTTCCAGCCCTATTCATTTTTACAATGAGAGAATTCAGGAATCATTATCATTTTCAAGCGACCCTTCCCTATGCGACCCAAATTAGCCTTTTTTGGTGCTATAATTTACTAGGAAAAGGCCTGAAGGGGTGCGTTTTGCCACAGAAACGCAACGCATGGGGCTTTTCTGATTTTCAGGAAGAATCACAGTTACAAAACCCCTTTCCTTTTTTTATTCTGTATATTACATCAATTTTTTTTTTCAAAAATACCATATTTAAAAAAAAATAGTTTCCATTTTTACGACTTTGCGGTTGGAGAAATTGCAGGGTAGAGGAGACAAGCAAAATAATATGTCGTTGAGCAATGAGTTGACCGCGGTGAGCAAAAACTGAAAGATTAAATTGCGAATGCAGTCTCGCCGACGCGAATTTTGAAATTTACGCGTGTCTCTTTCTCTCGAGGATCAGGCTCGAGTATAACAAGAAAGAAAGAGAACTGGTTTCAGTTCGAACGAGGTGAGTGGCTTTTTCAGCCCGGCTAAAGAAGGCATATGGTGCTGCCCGCGTGTGAGAATGTCAAAGCAGTAAAACGATACACTGGATATGCTACACAGCAACAACCAACACACACTCGGATTAATTTCAAATCGAGCAGCAGAAGGCAAAGTTGCTTTTTGCGCGCAAATTCGGCAAGAGGGTCTTGACCTTAGGTTTACGGCCACACGTCCAGCACGACCGAAATTAGATATATAGGATTTTTCCAAAAGGAAATTCGATCCCATTGGCTATACAGAATTACTTTTTAATGAACCGTTTGTGAGTAATCAAGAAAAATTAATTCCTTTACAAGCGGATGTAATCGGCAGGTGCTTGAGGAGTCGTGATTTTTTAATTGAAATTTAATTTCATCGCCAAAAGTTCAGCAGCAAATTCCTCCTATATTGGAGATTCTCTCCGCCGCTGGAGCTTTGCATGGCGAAATGAAAAAGGGTAAAGGTCGCGTGCATGCCGCGGATCTTTATCTGCCAGCACGAACAACTGACTGATCTGCAGCACCTGCATGGACGTCGCTCTCCCACACGCAAAAAAATAAAATCCTCATAGCTTCTCGTGATTTTCAACTCTCAACACCATTGCACATTTCAATAGTTAAAAAACGTTTTGTTGCTCACAAAAATAGATCTATTCTCAATATTGAATAAGATTTTTTATTTTTTTTTTCTTCAGAAAATGGTATTGATTTTTTCAATATTCAAATGATTATTTTATAATAAGATAAGAGTCAAATAATTTTTATACGTGCTATTAAGCAGCAGTTGGACTTGTGAAAAATAGTTTTATTACTTTTTAAAACATGCAACGACTTTTTAATCATCATTACAATATATATATTTATTTCTATTGCAAAAGAATTGTAAAAAAATATTGTTATAGATATAAGTATTATGTGGAGTCATATATAAATAAAATTGAAAAAAAATTATAAACATTAAAATGTATAAAATCGGTTTTGTTTATAGTTATTAAAAATGAGGTTTAGACTGTTAAAACCATGCAAAAATAAAATTATTAGAAATAAAAATTTTATTTAATGATTTTTATGATGTATCCACAACGGTAAACCAGAGCGGGAAAGAACCTTGTTTTAAAAATAGACCCTTGGTGAAAAGATGCAATTCATGGTTCCACTTCATTTTTTTTTTTTTAATTTAAAGCTAAAATACAAGTGCAACAGACAGTTGTGAGCTTGAAAAATGTGCTATTGGAATCTACCATATCTGTTTTAGTACTAAAATGATGGTATAAGCAGATATAAGTTTATCGGATGCAGAGCGTCGGACTCAAATGAGATAATCCTAATACCATTTAATTGTTGTACACTGTTTGTGTTTAATTTACTTCAAATAATTTAAAATTAATTACCATTTGAATTATAAAAGTTAACCATTTCACATTTTTATTAATTGGCCTACCATGCAGTTTTTCCTTTTTTTTTTACTTTTTAGTAGAATTGAGTTATTAAAAAGTGATAATATTAAATCTCCAGCAATAATTTTAAATTAATTTGATACAAGCGGATAAAAGATTCATATTGCGACTGAGAAAAAGTTTACTTTTTTGTCCTTTCTTGGTCAACTTTCGTATTGAAAGTGTACAAAATCATGTTAAGAAAGATTTAAAAAATGAGATAAATTTAAAAAAAATCTGCTTTTTTGTTTATTCTATTGAATTTTGGGCAAGAATAAGATACTAATTTGAAAAAGATGTAAATTGTAAGTAGAGCATAATTCTCTTCAACAAGAACTAATTGGCGAAAAAACTGCCAATTTTATGACAAGCAAATAAACGCGAATTTTGAACGTGTGCGTCACCGCACCGGGAGGGACAATTTGAAAGGACAAAACAACCCGAAGCATTAGGAAAAAGGTACGCCAGCAATTGCGATAATCGTCTGCAGGGAGTTAGGCAGAGTGAAATCGGTGGCACAAATTGAAGGAGAACGGCCGAGTGTGAATACATGGCCGGGCGGCTACTGTTTCTCTTCTTCATGCCGAGAGATGCCCAAGGGCTCGCACGCATCTCGAATTGAAGCGGCGCTCGACACGACAACAATTAATGCAGCCTTTTTCTCACGGGAATTACTCTCCGTCTCAACTTTGGCCTCGCTCTCTTCCAATTCGCCTTCCTTGCTTGCTTGACATACACACTCACGGCACCCCACTTTTGATTTAAACTCATCCGTCTGCGATTTAATTTGGACGATTTGAATATTTGCTGAATTTTTCCCACCCGAAGCGCAGGTCCCGCCGTTAAAAGAGGGAGATCGGATTGGTTTAATAACACGTTCGCTTTATTGCTGCGCATTTCTCAAATATTTGTGTGGGAACTAACAAAAAAAAAATCGGTGCTCAAATATTAAAAATACCAAACTTGCGTTATTTTTCACTGCAATCATCATTGGAATTCCTTGATCAATAATAATTAGTTAATATTAAAAGAATGATATTGCGTGGGAGCGTCTCTATCATGGATTGGTTAAGAGTGTTAATTATAACTCTTAACACAAAACACAAAAGGCCTTTGTTTTGTTTTCCTCGCAAGGTTAATTGGTCGCCTCTTTTGTTTTCAAGTGTTCCCTTAGCCACTAATTAGCAGCTAATTTATGCATCCTCATTTTAAAAGATTACTTCGCTCTACATATTACACAAGAAGCTTGCGAGCTATAATTGGCGCTGTAGACAATGCATGCAAATTGGCTCAAATGAATTTTTTTTTATAATCTAATTCAACAGTCATGATTGATTAACTGCAAAATAAATTGATGCTCTTTCACTATGTCAAAATTTTTGAAAATATGTAATTTATCCCTTTAAATAATTGGTCTGACTATTATAAATTGTTGGTTTTATTAAAAAAAATATTGAATTATTTTTTAAATTACATAATAACTCTAAATATTTCAAAAATTAATTGTTTATATTGTGAATCAATAAACAAGGCACATTTTAGTTTTGATTGCGTTAGCTACCTACTAAATTATATTTTCTAAAAATTACCTGTTGAGCCGTGGTAGTTCTGAAAGTATGGCAGTACTGAAGGGCAAAGTGGCCCTTGGGCTCCCTGGCGAGGAAGCTGAAGAGACAAGAGTCACAGGTAGCGAAAGAAATCCGCCTCAGTGCGTGCGCCATCAACACTGTCTGCAAATTTTTAAATTTTATTGATCTAGATATAAATTTATCTGTTTAATTTTACTCACATGGCCATCTGGGCTGCAGACCTTAAGGCCAGCCAAGGAGACAAGCAACAGAACAGCTCGGCTTCGACTAACACCCTGAAACACAATTGAACGACATTTTTAATTGTGCATCATTCTTGAAATTGTTAAATAAAGTTCAAAAACCATAATAATAATAAATTAATATAAAATATTTTCCATATTTTCTTCAAATCAATAGATATACTAACTTTTAAATTCTTTAGATTTTATTATTAATTTATGTATTGTACAATAATAAAGCAGGTAAGGGATAAATTTTAAGAATACAAAATTACAAATAGCAGCAACATCCCTCAAAAAGGCTATAGGTTATATTATATGTATAAGTACAATAAAGTCCTTTAGAGATTACTTTCACGTTTTTTGAAATCAGTAATAAATATTACTAATAAAATTAATAAATTAAATAAAGTTCACTTATTGTAGCTGTAGAAAAGTATCATAAAAAACAATATAATGCACTAATTTCGGTCTTCGCAAATAATTCAAAGCTCATTATGCAGCACTGCCATGTGTATGGAAACTCTTATTATTTAATAACCGCAATAATGAAATGCAAACATGAAATTATATTCATTCAATAATCAACCCTTGATATAATATATTTTTTTTTTTAATAATTTCTAATTCCGCTTTAAATTATATAGAGAGCTTTTTTCTGGATGTAATAACGAGATTTGTTCATGAAGAAAGGCCCAGCATCATAATGCAGACTTTGTGCGGAATTTCTTCAGATCAGAAATTATAACCACCAATTTAGCCCAATTTTCATTTCACAAACAGTTACTAACAAATTTAGTTATAATTAATGAAGAAATCCAGCTAAGAAATATCTGATTTTATTATCAGCGCCAGACTTTAAATTTAGGGTGGCTTGTCTGCCTCCCTATTTCTTAAACGTGTTTTCCCTCCTTTGAAGCAGCTCGGCACCGAAAATAAAAACTATACACTGATGAAATATTAACCGCAAGAGATAAAATTCAGCAAACTCGCTCTCGCTTATCAGATTTCTTGTGTGTGTCGTGGGCAGCAGCACCGCAGCACGGATCATAATATGTATGTGAATAAAAACGACCCGTGCATAATAGAAGACCGAGGGCAAGAGACTCAGTCTGAATGAGACAGAAGGAGAGGAGTCAAAAGGTGGATAAACAAAGGCCGGCGGGTTGAAAATAAAACTCTCGCGGTGGTTGCTTAATCAGCATGATTGTCGCGAGCAATTCACGTTCACGCGGAGGGCTGCGAACAAATCGATGAAATTTTAATTAGAAGGAGCGGCCTGTTCGCAAGAGTGCGCGCTTCTCATTGTTTCCGAGTAAGGTCGATAATCGATCAAATGAATGGCAACTGCTCGTCAGGCTACTGCAGCATGGAGTTTGCACGCTTTGTCGACTGCAAATCATTAAATCGACCGTGCCTGGTTTTAAAAAGTGCACAGTTAATTAATGTAATTAGCACGACCTCGCTTGTATTCAACTTGGATGTATATGGAATGTTTTCTTTCATTTGGTCTATGAAGAGGAGAGCTGCGTGCTGGATTAAATCCGGATGAAACCCTCACACTCGAACGGTTCTGCAGCCTGGTTGACTTGAGTGCCGAGCGGATTGCATAAGCGCTTTTTCTAGGCGGTGAAACTAGGAGCAATATAGAGCTGAGTGATTTTGCTCGAGAACGATTTCTTGAAGCGAAAGACTTGCATTGGCTGTTTCAACAAAGACTTGAATAAGTCAAATACTAAAACGCAGTCAAGTTTGCCAGGAAGTTTTATAAGAAGTGATGATATGAATGGCAATCTGTAAGCCTAATTATTTATTCAATTTGCTTTGGCAAATTGCATGTTCTCCTAATACCAAGAAAAAATAAAACGATGTTGGAACCAATTTGAAAGAATAGTCACACAAAAAAAATTAAGACTTAGGTCTGCATCAAATTGCAATCAATAAAATGCTTTTGACCTTTTAAAATAGATAAAGGTTGAAGATAATGGAACATGTAATAAAAGTGTATTTACTTCTGTTTAATAAAGAAAAATTAAAAGTAACAAACTATTGTATAAGACATACATTAATAATTTAACATTTTACTATTTACTATAATATATTTTATACATAAAATTGTAATTTTTAATTTAACTATATAAAATATATTAAATGTAGATTTTTTACTTTTTTAAATTTGATTTTGCGCAAATGCATTTTTGTTTTTTTTTATTGCTTAATTTTTTGCTATTAAAAAAACTAGCAAATGCAAATTTTAAATATACTGGAATCCTTTTAACTTCTTAAGGATATTGGAAATAATCCAAAATTTATTCTTTTTGGAAGCATATTGTACGTCTAAGTGCGTGTTCTTTATTTATTGAAATATTTGAAATTGCCTATTAAATCTCAATCATGAAATTTCTTCAACTAAAAAAATAATTTTCCAATTGAAATATAAAATAACCATTCTAGAATAATTTTGACACGTACTTACCCTAAGCTGCGTAAGCTGCGTCCTGATGTACTCGGCTCTGGTCGTCTGCTCTGATCCAGCGACGGGGAACGAACCCAAGTACTGCGAACACAACAAAAGCCGCTCTCAGTCGGTCCGATCCATGTCTCGCGTCTCGAACGCTCTCTCAAATAAACAAACACGTGTGTAGAAGTACAAGAGAGGGACGGAAAAAACTGCTCAGACGGACTTTTAATGAGAACGGCTCGGCATACGGAATATATGCGCCCGGTGCAAATAATGAAAAATAATGGCGGCGGCCAAGGGAGAAAAAGAACGAAACAGGTTGCAAAAATATTCGCGAGAAAATGCTCTTCTCGCACACAGGTATGTATTATTGATCTTCAATACAAAAGAGCAAAAAGTGCTCGAAGAAAATGACGAGAGAGCATGAGAGCCGCGAAACGGCCATTATCCACACTCATTGTGCCAGGTGAAAATGCATAGTTGTGCACGAGTATGAGAGGAGTAATTTGTCGATAGGAACGGTTATGAAAAACCTTATATTAAAAAAAACACGAATTTGAAATAGAATAGAAAGAGATTGCAAAATTACCTTGATTGCCATTGGATTGGAATGCCTAGTGATTAATAATCTTGCTTTGAATAGACGTGTTTTGTTATTAAGGCAAGAACAACTCAAATTTGCAAATCGCAATAGTGAGATCAAGCAGAAACTTATACATAGCCAACATTAAGAGTTCTGGAAAACTAAAAATTGTTCTTATATTTTACTTTTTATTTTCTAACGTAACAATAATAAAAATTGCATTAAAAGAAATTACCATGATGATTTACAATCGTGCAATAAACATTTGGACAAAGTGCCGTTTTTGTTGCTGTTGTCAAATTCATTTTTCCAAGTAGAGGGAGAACAAGTCGGTTTGTCTAGATTCAATTGATACAAGAGTACAAAGCCCTCTCGAGTTGTGCTCGCAACCATCTCATATAAAAATTCCTACAGACGGCCGCCGACTCGCAAATTCGCTGGCTCAGATAACAGCAGAAATAAATTTTACGGCAAAAAGAAGAACGTCGGTTTGTACGGCGGCGCAAAAAAGACGGATTTCTTGCAGCATGACTTGCAACTTGCGCGATGAAGAAAGAAAATCAGCGGCAGCCAAAGAAGAATAAGAACAATCGGATAAGCTTCGCAGACTGGCGGTACCACAACAATTACTTATTTTCTCCTTGCGACTCGCACTCTCTCAAGAAAGAGCGACGCGCGGTGCATAACAATAATAATTGCACTTTTAAGTTGGAATGGGTGTGGTGGCCAAGAGTAAAACGCGTCATGCAACCTATTGAATGTAAAATAATTATCATCTGGAGAGCTCAACAATACTGAGTAAAAAAATTAAATGAAATAAAACCTCTTTGCCCTACTACGCTATAATTGCGGTCAAATATTTAGCACTTTAGTAAAAATTAACATTTTTTAAATTAGAGGGACAAGAAAATAACTGATCATGATCAATATTTTTATATCCATAAGAAATATTTAAAATTGTGTATATAAAATACAAATAATTGTGTAAATTCAAGCAAGGTTAAATGTTAAAATTAGATATTTTAGAGATAATCACAAATGATGCTGAATATAAATTATGAATCACTAAAAGTTAAGAAATTTTCATAGGTTTCTTGTTTTTGTCTAAAATTCTTGGTTTTGGACGAATTAAAATTATCTTACTTCTATCTACTTTTCTAAAAAATAAAGAGAAACTAAAATTGCACCAAATAAGTATACAGTTAAATTTTTTGCCTTTAATTACATCATGGAAAAATTCCCTGTTCCCATAAAATAACTTATTTTTTCAAGCAAATGAATTTTATAACAATTATGTGGAAACAGCTTTATTACACAAATAAATATTCTGACTATTGTAATTAAGGAAAACGGGCATTGAATATTGAAATAAAAGTAGAACTATGACAATTATTTTAATAAATTTTTTGTTAATCTTTAACAGACAAGAAAATCAATGATGCCGAAAATTCAAGTTTTTTTTTTACATATTTATTTGTTTGGGATAATCTCGATAACATAAAACTAAAAATATGTCAAGTTTATCAATAACTTGGACCATACTCAATCTACTACAAAATTTCTAAGCGAGTTGAGAAAGGTAATCGCTATCAAAAGTCCCCTCTATAGCATCTTTCGTACGTCCTCGCGTTGTAGGTCAAGAAATGTAAAAACGCGCACCTGACCACCTGAACGGTGACGTCACGCAGGTGCAGCGATCGCGGCAAGTCTCTCCTCTGCATTTTTTTATGTCTCTGAACACAAAAAGAGAAAAGACATTGTGCAAATTTGGCGAGTTTGTTGACCTTGGCAGCTTTAAATAGACCATCAGCACGCCATACCGGCATTTGTTCTCAACGCTCGTTACGTTTTATATAATATGAACTCCGGAAATACCCTGCAGGCTAACACTTTTATTTTTGCGCGCTTAAGAGGTTTCCTCGGTGCTTGAGCAGTAGAGGGCGGCAAATTTATGTTTAATAATTTCGTCTGCGTACAACCGGCTTCAATTAAGAGAAACAATGAAGAGATAATGATTAGGGTGCGTCTGCTGGGCTCACAAACGTATTTAAAATTTATAACCCGCCCTTAGGTTTACAATGATGACTTTCATTGACTCTCAATAAAATATAATTTGTCGTATAAATTTCAACTATCAATTATATTTTGAATTATCAATAGGCTTTTTGATAATAAAGTTTTCCAAGTCTAAAGTGTTCTAATCAATGTTTTTTTTTTTAAATTAGCAGAACATTTATTAAAAGACCATTCAAAAGTTTGAAATTAAAATTGCAAATTCTACTAATTTCAAATATTCTTGAATGAAAATTTTAAGTAATAAGCAAAAGAAACTTATAATAATTACTATAATTGATAATTATTGCTATCGAGGTGAACCATTTTTAATTTTAACCATTAGCAAAAGTGACGTCACGTCCCTGAGAAAATGTCAACATAACGCAGCGCAGACATCTGAGATCAAAGACTTTTTCAATGCACTATTACAGCTGCCAACTGCAGGGGCTGCGTTTTGCACGCTCCAGCATTTTTCAAAATCATACACCGAGTGCATCGCCAGCAGGCTCAGTTTTTTTTTTCATTCCCGACTCTCTCTCACGCGGCGTGTGGTACGATGATGTATATTGTTTCTCGGCTCCGCAGCACTTCCTCTCTTTTATGCTCGTTTCCTCCCTCGCAAAATGCCACGCCGGGCAAGCAAACATGCGGCGCCGTCGCCGCAGCAATTATGAAAAAAAACTCCGCAACTTGTACTTACTTACTTACTTGTGAGTAAGAAAGGGTTAGTACACTGACAAGTGGGCGCTGCATTTTTTATTGAAGCCCCGCCCGTCCGGACGCCTAAATTTCGTTTTCCCCACGGTCTCGGCCAAAAATCTCATTTTTAATTCAAAATGTTGCTTGCTGCTTTTGTGTTGTGTCGTCGCGAATTTTTCATCACTTTTATGGACGAGCAGCGAGAGCGTGGCGCCTTTGATGCAAAATATGAGAGAGGCTTTGAAAATGCTCCGTCGCCTCCTGTGCACGGGAATTAATTTTTTTCATATATACAGTAATTATCACGACTTTATGTATGGCAAAATCGATTCAGAGGCGTCTGGTTTCCTCACTTTTCTCTTTTGTGCGCGAGTTTGGAGGATGATTTATTTGGAAATGAAAACGTGTTAATTTGTTCCAGACAGAGTGCGGGAGAATCAAATGTGCATAAATCTTCTAAGCTTTGATAATTTCAATTTAAAATCATGTCCTTCACTATGGTCTTAAATATTTTATAAAATTAATAAAGTACAAACAGAAATTTAAATAATAATGAAAAATTTGGAAGATTTCTGTTATCTTCAATTGCTTACGTTACAAAAGGATTTGAATACCTAAAATCTCCAATTCTAATCGTCAAAATTTGTACATATTATAGTTTTCTAATGTAAATTTTCCTTGATTTTTACTTATCAGATTCTTGACAGAAAAAAACAACAGAAATAAGTTTTTAGCCTTAACAGTTTCCATATAAATTGCATTTTAGGGTTTGTGCACCCCACATGACTATAAATTAGTTAGATATGAAAGTGGATTGATGAAATTTGGGACAAATTTTCTCTGGCCGTTTGAAAGTTAATAATGAGTTATAAAGTGAAGAGATAGGGCTTTTTCCTCGTTGTAAAAAGCCCGATCTCTTCACTTCCATGATCATCTCCTCAAAAGTCAATTTCTTTAAACAAATAAATAATATATTTTCGTTTTTTCTGGCGAGGTAATGGTGAGGATCAAAATAATTAACTGCGCTGCTAACTAATCAATACAACTCTGATACTGATATATGTACTGTAATTAATATCTTTTTCAGAATGATTATTTATTTATATATAATTTCACCAGAATCCAACGTATTTGGAAGAATTTTTCAATCCATTTAACAATTGGTTTGATAATTTTGTTAAAAATTTATTTACTATATATCATTTTACTAAAGCGACACAAAATACCTGTCAAAAAGTAAGAAGTATGAAGTAAGATGATTTAATTAAAGAGCAGATTAATAAAATAATAAAAATTAAAAAATGTAGAAGATTAAATGATTAAATATAATTAATCAAATCAAAATGGTGAATTAAATTTATGTAGAGTTATATTTAATAATCCTTTTTAATAGTTTTATTTCCTTTCATTGTTAGGCTTCTCTTAATTTCACTAAGGCTTCAAGACTTTAACCCTTTCGCATGTTGGCACCGCGTCTTTGCCTGCTTGCATCTTTTAAAAGCTAATCTGCCCTCTTTGCACGCACGCATACAGGGCTTTCAAAGGGGGGCACGCAAAAAAGGCGAATCTGCCCGAAAAGCAGCATGGCGAGATAAGAAGGAGCAGCGATAAAAAAATCTGGCCCGAGAATACATAAAAGAACTTGACGGGCTTTGCCTTTTTCGGCTTTGCTGAGAAAACTCGGCGAAAACGAGTCTTTTGCGGTGGGCGAGCGGACCGCTTACGCATTTTCTTGTTGATTAAGCGTACGTAATGCACACATGTATGTATTTTTCGGCGGTGCAAAAACCTGTCTGGCCGTGCAGGAGGAAGTGAAACCCCGCAAGTGCTGCGAGACGGGCAATAATGCTTTCACTCGGTGCTGGAAATTTACCTCGGCCGCTCTGGCCACAATGCGGGCAGACGTCGGTGCGGGGTCCTCCTGGCCGGGTTGGTTCGGGACCCTCTTGAAACAGGCCCCGTCGGGCAGACTCACGTCCTCCTCGCCGCCGGTATCTGCAGAGTGGATTGCAATTAGTCAGTGCTATCCGCTATGTAATATGCAGGGGAGTAAAATCGCAATTCACATCGGTTCGAATATTATCGCGAGCACCAGCAAATATTGAACACCACTTTCAAACTTGATCAATGTTTTAATTCTAGCAATGGACCAGCAACAAGAGAATTTATTTATGCAAAATTACAAGCAAAAAAAATTAATATAAATCTAATTGTAATGTTTTATTAAAAATAAAAAAAATTGCAGTAAAATTAGTTTTTGATTTGAGTATTAACATTTTTTAAATTTTTTTTACAATTTTTTATAAAGTATAAAACTTTTTATGTAAAAAAACTTGGATATTTTTTGTACTACATTTAAATTTTAATTACTTCAAATGTGAGAAGAGAAACAAAGATTTATCAAAATGTATTATTTAATAAAAATAAGCTAGTACGATTTGCAAATTTGTATGAGTCTAAAAAACGATGCAAAATTCTTTAAAGCTTTTTTTCGTGCTTCCTCCCTTTGTTTCTTCAACTTACGTCAAGGTTATTGCAAGAAGTTAAAGCACGACGGAACTTAATAAAAAAAGTTCCCAGCAGAATTGAGAATAATTGAAAAATTATTATTAATTTTAGAACTTTCTTACGCATTTGTCTCCTTGTCGGTGCAGATTATATATTAATGGTGAGCAATAAGTGAATGATAGAAGCAAAAATCAATAAAAAATAGAGAGGTACACTAGGTTTACTAAAAAGTGATAAATCATATAAATTTTAATATTAATTAGGAAAGTCTGCTCACACCTCGATTTTAAAAATTCACTTTCAACCTGAAAACGAGATAAACCATGCAGGACAAAACAGCTGGAGGAATTAGCATGCTGGAAGGCCAAGCATAATTTCCCCCCTAAAATATTCTCTTTCAACTGCTTTTGTGCATTTTTTTTCGTGGTGGAAAAAAAGCAAGAGGGTTTGCTTTTTCCGAGAACATACTCTCTGGAGCACGTCGCGCTTTAAACAGGCTCGGCGTGTGCTGTTGCGGGTCTTTCTTCCTAACGAGCAGACACATTACAATTTTGCATGTTTCCATGTTTGACGAACGCGGTCCTAAGTGGTTTATAAAAAATAAATAACATACACACACGCGCCCGTCCGCCCGCCAGACGCGAAGAGCAGAAGCAAGTTGGTCTTGCCCGCGAGTGATCTTTTGGACAAGAGAGCCTCTCACTTAATCCTTGATGCAGTGCAAGAGTAAAAAGAATACGAAATCCAAGGAGGATACTAATTTTGCGCGAAAGGATTACGAAACAAGCCAAGCAGGCTGATGGTATATTTTTAAAGTGGGATTACATGTCACTCTGTTTACTTGCATGACCAAATAAATGTTTTAGTTTTATATCAGGCAAGGAAAGAGACTCGTTTATTTGCTCACAGCCGAAGATCGATCCCAACGGTTGACACTTGCATTAAGATTCGATGTTTATACCGTCAAGAAATGGACGATTACCATAAGAGGGAATGTGTGATTAGCACAATAGTTAATGTGATTTCCACATAAATCAGGAGTGAAATAATATCGTTTAGATAAAAAGTTGGACTCATTAAATTTATGAAAAAAATTACCCGCAATAATGGAATTTATTATTTTAATTAACACTAACTATTATTTATAAAAAGGCAAGAAATTTTGAAAAAAGTTTTGAGAATTTATTACCATTATATTATACAAGCAGTTGGTCTTTTTATCTTTTGCTAATTTTAGGACAAAGCATCAACTCAATCCACTTAATATCAATCTTAAGACAGAAGCAGTTTGAAATATGGGCTACAAGGGCCTGTTGCAAAATAATTATTTGAATTCAGTAAAATTGATCTGAATAAATTATACTCTTCCCAAACTGATCTTGAAATATGTTCATCAATATCGGATTTGATGGTTTTAAAAAGATGGGACGTCATGTGGAGGTAAATGTATATTAAAAACCCTTTATTTCAATTATTTCTTTGTTTAGGTTGTGTGACTGTAATTCACATTAATTTAAGTAATAGATCCGGTATGGGAAGAAAATTATCTATAAAAAATATTTTAATAACAAAAATTAATTATTTTTAAATTTTAATTATATATCTTGCGTACTAATGACGCTAGGTAGATAAAATTTTATATTAATCTGCTTAAATAAAATTATCTTTATATTAATATCTTAATGTTTAATGGCAGGTAAATATTCAATATAAAAATTAGTGGTGGGAAATTGAAAGTTTGAATATTCATAAAAAATTTAATTTATATTTATTTCTTTTAATGTTATTAGAAGATGAAAAAGTCTGAAAGTAAAAGTGCCTTCATTTAGAATAAGATGATTACTGAATTTTGAATATTTTTGAATAATTTGGAGAACCTATAATCTATAATTCATTTGAAAGCTATAACTGCAATATAAAAATTATAAGTAAAATAAATAATTATGAACAATCGCAGATTTCTTAGAAAAAAATTAGAAATAAATAAATTAAAATATAAAACAATATTATTGTCAATAAATATGATTTTTTTTGGCATTATGATTATTTTCTTAATTAAAAAGTTCCATTGCAAGCTGAATTTAAAAAAAAAAAATATATCAAAAATCCTGTGAAAATTTTGGCGCCAAATTCATGAGGTCATTGAACTCTAATGTCTAAAAACAACAGTACCCTTTCCACTTTCGCACATTTTTCGCTCGCCATTGAAAACGCGACTTTTTGCTCACCAGTGTCTGGTGCCTCGGCGGCAGGTGTGGGGTCGGGCGGGCCGCGGGGTCCCTCCTGCATGTGGTTGTTGGCGGGGCGGTCGGGGGCCCGCAGGTCGGGCCGCAGCATGCTCTCGACTCGGCGGCGCACCAGACTCGACTGCTGATTTGCAAGCAACCAACCACACGTGGCACCGCCGAGAGTCTTTTCAGACTCTCTCGCGGGGAGGGCAGGCGACGAGAGCACAGAGGAGCTGCTCAGACCGGTAATTAGACACAGTCATGCACTCGCTCTACCTCCAGCAAACACTTTCGTCGCTAATGAAAGTGCAAAAACAATCGGCCACCGAGATAATATATATTTATTCGTTCGACAGCAGCTGCCCCTTTTGTCTCAAGTGCTGTGTATGTGATCTCGGCGGGGCAACTCCTTCGTCGCGACTTTTGTTTTCCATCAAGCAGGAGCGTTATTTTTCTTTGAGCTCCTGCACCGGAACGTCGCGAAAAATAAGTCATCCGATGGAAACGGAAATAATTACTAAAAAAATATAAATAATTTTCTAAATAAAATATTATGTATTTATTGAATTTAAAATATAATATTTCTTACTATTGTATTAATATAATTAAATCTCTTTAACAAAAGTTATTAAGCATGAATCACATAAATTTAAATTTTAAGGAGAATCAACAAAACGAATATTGGGCACATTTTATCACAATAATTAAAATAAAAAAATTTGTAATATTTATAAATTTTTTAAATTTTGTTTTTTAATTATAATTTATTTTAAATAATAATCCATAATAATCAACCATAATCAAACTATATACAATAAATATTAAAAATTATATTAATTAAATTAAATAACAATTTAAAAGATGCTTCTCTGTTAATATTAAATGTTAGCTAAAAATATTTATGTTAAAAAAAACTTGTAGCTTTATAACTCCCAAAATTTTCTATTTTTGGCATGCAACAAAGCCCGGTACTTTACATAATGATGTTTTTAACCCAGAAAAAGAACCACTTGAGAATGAGAGAGACGAGCGTGTATACGAGCAGAATGACCTCGCTTGCTTTTGCTTGCTGCAATTGAAGCGCGGAGTGTGCTGAGGTAAGAAATCCTTCTTTGAACGGTGCAAAGCGCGTCGATAAATCATCAGATTTTATTTATTGCCCACACACATGCCACGAGAGAGTCCAGTTTGTTCTTTGAAACTAAAGAGCGTTTCGTCTTTATACAAATGCAGCAAGCATGAGAGAACGACGGTATTATATATGAAAATAAATAAACACGTGAATAAGTTTCCCAGTGCATTGTAATCGTATAAAGGATACACTCGTAATGAAAGAGTGCGCCAAGCTGCGAGTCGTGTGCGCTGCTGATTTCACTCCGTGGTTTTTCTTTACTTAAACTTAAAACTGAACGATCACGAAAATGTAAAAAACTAAAGCGACTCCTCTAAAAGCAAGGAATGAGTTTTAAAGATTTTTTTCTCTTACATCTCGTGAATGAGCTTTGCTCTGATGTTAAATAAATACAGGAAACCCATAATTTTTTTCGAAAAAAATATTGATCCATTGTTGGAAAGTAATCAACTTTTTTTTGGAAAAAAAACGGATGATTTAATGCAAGTAAAATTGCTGCATGACATGCGTTAATTTTTTAATTTTAAAATTTCCTAAGTAAATGAATCATGTAATTTAAAATTTCATTATATATGATTTTTCAATTAGATTGAGAAAGCTTTGGTTATTTATCAGTTTGTTATTGAAATGAACAAAAGTTGAACTAAGGAAGGGGCAGGAAGGGGTGCAAATGTTTGTACACCCCTTCCACCCTCCTGCTAATCTCTATCCCTATTATCTATCAGAGTAAAAAAAAAAAAAAGCTTTTAGTCATTCAAAATGGTGATGAACGATAAGGATGAGGGTCTGTCATTTTTCCAAGAAAAGGTAGTGTACATTCAAGTATAACAAATAAGTTTAAAACCAAATTTGAAATTTTACAGACAAAATTAATTCAACCAAAAAACTATGGATTATGCCTGTTGTCGAAATTACTGGCGATTTTGGCTCAGTTCATAGACGTGAAACCAAAAAGAGCTGATTTGAGCAAAGCCTGGAGAGTAATTTCTTGTATATTCTTGGCGATTGTTTTCATTGTTACCCTATATTGCACCTTGATCAGCGCCTGGATTATGATCGAGAACATTGACAATTTTGAACGCTTCATTTACTTTGCAACTAGTTTTGTTGCATTTTCAGAGTTTATAATCAGAATAGTCTACGTTGAATTGCGAAAAAGTAAGCTGCGGTCGATCGGTGCCAGAGTGCAAGTTGTTTTTCGGCAGACCAACAAACACAAATCAGCTCACTGGCTGTCTGGGTAATGAAATTTCAATTCTTAAATATTATTATACAAATTTGTGGTTTTATGACCGCAGTGGTATGGCCGCCATGATGCTGCTCCTGGTCACCACAAATGGATTATCTATATTTACAAGTTACTTCACTGTTTTCAAACAAGTCACCGACGAATTAGAAAAAGGCGCAAATTTTTCAGAAGTGGATCAAGAACTGAATTCCAGACCGACTGAAATATTTGAAGCCTGGGTTTACACTAGAGCCGTTTACAAAATTTGGCCCTCCATCACCGTTGTCAAAATATATGTCGCGTCAATTTTAACAATTGGATTCATTGCCGCTGCACAAATGATTTCCTCTAATGTGCTTTTTTACTCGTGGTACAAAGTGATAATCGACCGCTACCAATTTCTGGCAAAGGATTTGCCTTCAGCACTGGAAGAAGATGAAAAGCTCCGTTCTTGGATTTCGCACCACCATTTGCTAATCAAGTAAATTTTTCCAGTACTTTTTAAACTTTTAATCGCTTTCAATTAAAAAAATCACAGGCTCCTACAAGAAATCAATTCCGTAACGGCACCGGCAATTACATGCGCAGTCCTTTTCGCTGGCACCCAAATTTGCATCATATCTTTAATGGCATTCAAAGTACTTGAAGATAAAAAAAAATTAAATTGAAAATTAATTAAAATCAAATTTCCAGCATCACGAGGAAACGCATATTCTGAATCTTATCTCGTTTATGCTGTTCGGAATGTCAGCACTTCAACAGATTTTCATCTACTGCGTTCTTGGTCAGCAAATCCACACAAGAGTAAGCTAACGAGTTCTTTTGTTAAAAAATAAAAAAATACACATCTGCGTCGCAACAGGTGGTGAAATTGCACTTGGCAGCTTACAAAGTGCGCTGGCTGGAAATTGATTACTCAAAACGGCACGCGGTTCTGATGATCTGCAATTCTGCAAGTGATAAAATTGGGTATAATCTTCCAGGAGCTCCCTTCTTTCAAATGTCTCTTAGTTTTTTTGCTTCGGTGAGAGATAAAAATTAATCTTAATTAGTACTTAATAAAACAGTATAATTGTATGTAAATAATTTTAGATGGTAGGAGCGGTGTTAACGTATTTTATGGTGCTATTCCAGTTAAATTGAAAAGGATATTTGGATTGGGAAACATCAATCAACGCATCTTACTCCAATGAAAAAATAAATTTAAATAGTTTACGAGGTCTCCTTTAATTAAAAAAATCAAAGATTTGAAAGGAGCAGAACTGCCTTTATTTTTAATTTTTAAACCCTATCAATTATATATGATCAATTAACCAATCTAGAGCCAACGGCAGATGTCAACCCCTAAATGATAAAAAGTTGATAATAAAAGATAAAATATCGCTTCAACAATGTTCGCATATTATAACTTGACAAACTGATAAATGGATGAAACTCATTCTGGATAGCAACAAAAGAGTAACCCAGAACCATGGCACTCGGACAAATAGAAGAAGAGAGCGCCGAAATTGTGCAACAAAAGGTTTTTTAATTTCCAAATAAACAAATTTGTAAATGTCGCCAGAGATTGATTATCAAGTGAATTATTTTAAACTTTATTATAAAATAGCGCTTAATTTCGAAATAATGCAAAATTAAATGCATCATCAATTTATACTAAGGAAAGAATCCATCAACTTACATCAACTTAACTTTTCTGTTGAATCTCACTTGGTTTAACAAATTTACAACAATTATTAAAAGTCATCTGGTGGATTTCCAAAATTAAAATGAAACATCCAAATATCATAATCAAAGCTTAATTTTTGTAATTTTCTCAGACCACACGTTCTTCTGAGAGGAACTTGGGCCACTTCTTGTTGTACTCTTTTCACATCTTGTGTGGACAGCACTTAAAGTTACCACCCTTGATATACAAATTCAGCACAACTTGGTCGGTGCTGATGGCCATTCATTCCGTCACCATCACCCTGGCCACGGTTTACTGCACTCTGAGCGGCGGAATTGCCCTTTCAAAACATCTTGACAATTTCGGTCACTCCGTTTATATCGCCACTGGCTTCCTGGGAATGATTGAGTGCTTGTTGCGCATAATGTACACGACAATTAGGAAAAGAAAAATTGAATCGATAGCAGCCAAAGTGCACAGAGCTTTGCACGAGCAGGAGCTAAATGAAAAAAACTCCAAAGAATTTGCAAAGAGGCTCTCCAGGTAATTTTTTATCTAATTAATTGAATTAAAAATAAAAATATCGTGGAACCCTGAAATTAAGCGACAAAAATCAATGATTTGAAAACGAATTTAGAACCACGCTATTAAATCTAATTCTATTCTTTTGTTTATATTAATTTATTTTACAGAATTTTAATTCTTAATTGTCTTGGAAAAAAATTTACAGGCTCATCTCAATATTTCTCATCGCTTTATTCTCCGCCTTTGCATTGTCAATCGCCAGCAGTTACATGACTGTTTTTGGTCAGATCACAGATTTGATAGACAGGTTTATGAAAAACGGTACTCACCAGGAGGCGGAAGATGCTGACAATTACCTCACCAAAAGCGAAGTGTCGATTGAAATTCTAGAAGCCTGGTACTACGTGAATGGCCTTTTCAAAATCTGGCCCTACGTCACTTTGGTAAAAGCGTACGCAGCCTTCGTCTACGCCACCTCCTTTTTGGCCCTCGGGAGGGTCGTCGTCTCCGACATCCTCTTCTACTCTTGGTACATGACCGTCAACAATTTGTACCGCGACTTGGTTGATTCACTACCAAGCGCCTTGGAGTGCACAAACGACAAGAAAAAGTTACACAAGTGGGTGCAGCACCATCACGCCCTGAATCAGTATGGCCAAAGAATGGAAAAAAAATTTATCTTGCATGGAAATTAAAATTTTCAGGCTCCTCAAAGAAATAAATTCACTGACTTCTTTCGCCATTGTGGTTGCAGTTATACTCACTGGTTGCAGATTTTGCATAATGTACTTTGTGTTCTTTAAGGTGGGGATTTTTTTTTTAATTAAAAAAATGAAATTTATGAACTTTTAAAGTTGGTAGATGCAACCAGCGTTTTTCTGTTTATAGTTTATGGTATTTCATCGATTCAGCAAGTTTTTGTCTACAGCATTCTTGGCCAAAATATTAAAAGCAACGTAATGTTAAAATAAATTAAAACTCCAGTTTAATATTTAATAGACATTTCTAGGTAACACTTTTGCACTCAAAAGCGTACAAATCGTCTTGGATAAAAAATGACGCGACTATACAACATGCAACCTTAATGATTTGCACGGCGGCAAGTGACAAAATTGGGCAAAGCCTCCCTGGTGCACCGTTCTTCTCCATGTCGCTGGAATTCATGGCTTCAGTAATTTTTAATTCAATTGATTTTGATATTTTCTATGCTCAAGTGAGAATAAATTGTTTTCAGATGTTGAGCGTGGTCTTCACATACTTTATAGTTCTTTTCCAATTTCAAGAATGAAAATTTGAAGAAGAAAAACATCACTCAGAGAAAAATATTTTAAACAGCGAATCTAGTCCTCAAAAATATTGAATTATGAAAAATGTTATAAAGTTTAAGTTTCTTGTAGTAAGATAGAATGAAAAGAAAAAACATTTTAAGTACCAATAACCAATATATGGCGTTAATAAATCTTTTATTTTTAATATTGAATGCAAATTGCGCTGGAATGTGGATGAAGCATCTAAAAGCTGGATATAAATTGTTGCAAATATCAATAAAACCAGACTAAATATTAATACAATCTAATTGTGTAAAATAAATACACAATAATTAAAAACAAAAATAAAAAATGTAATTATTAAATTTATCAATAAAATAATACTTAAAGTTCAATTGAGATAATGAATTTTAATGGTAAAATTAAAGGTTAATATTTTGGCCTAATTTAAGTCCTCTTAAAAATTAAAATTACAAATTTAATTTTGATTTAATATAAAAATTTCAGCATTCATAATACTAATCAAAATTGTACCTATTTTCAATCAATTTAAAAGTAAAATAATATTTTTAAAGTAACCAGATTGAAATAAACAATAATCTTGCTATCTTGAAATCTGAGGTAAAAATAATTAATATACATGATATTTGCATTAATCTATATCTTGATAAAAGCTTCATTGATATATAGCCGCGTATTTGCTCTTCTTTTGCCACCAAAATACCATTTGTTAGCAAAATCTACACAGCCGTGATCATGGAAGAGCATATTTACATAAACACAAGTAGCACCGTGTCGAAGAGAGAAAGAGTAAGTGAAAATATAATTTACACACAAAATTTCCTCTATAATTTGCGTGTTTTCAGAATTTCGGTTACTGGCTTCTCTCAATTGTGCTCTTCGTATGCGGTCAGCATCTGCGAATTCCACCTGCGACGATCAAATTGACGCCTTTCTGGAAATGCGTGCACACCGTCCATTCGGCACTGGTCCTCCTCAGTCTATTTTTCTTCGTTTCAGTCGCAGCTGCCGCTCTCGTAGAGCACCTCGGTAATTTCCAACACGCAATCTTCATAGCAGCTGGCTTCATGGGAGTGCTCGAATGCCTCATAAGAAGTGTTTACACCACTTTGAGGAAAAATAAAATCGAGCAAATTGCCACAAAGATTCAATTTGGATTGGATGAACTGGAAAGCTGTGATACAAAATCGTTTACCAAAAGACTCTCAAAGTACACATTTAAAAAATAAAAACAAAAAAAGGTTTTTAAGTAAAAAATATTTTTTTTCAAAGGATCATCTCGGCGTTTCTGGTTATACTGCTCTCATTTTTCTCCGTCGCCTTGATTTGCAATTTGATAACCCTCTTTGCCAGAATTGAAGCAGAACTTGCTTATGACGGACGTGATGTTGATACAGCGGTGTCGTTTAAAATATTCCGAGCATTCATCGATTTTTGCGAATTCTTTAATTTTCGCCCATCAAACCTCCAATCTGAAATTTTTATGACATTTATGTATTCACTTTCGTTTTTGTCAATCTGCCGACTTGTTGTTTCAAATATTCTGTTCTGCTCTTGGTATTTAATAATAGCCAAGATGTACCAGCAATTGACTAAAAATTTCACAAGGGCCTTATCCACTGAAAAGAGCCTCAGTGACTGGATCAAACATCACTCAAAAATAACCGAGTATAAATTAAAGCACTCTAGAGAAAAAAAATTAAAAAGGGAATTCTTAATTTTAAGGTTAACAACGGAAATCAACAGACTAACAGCGCCCATTGTAGTGGTGACGGTGGTGTTTACCGGACTTCAAATTTCAATTACGGCATTCACAGTTGCTAAGGTATAAATATTATACGGCTAAAAAAAATTAAAATAAAACCAAAATTAATAGCGTTGGGGTGTGATGGATTTTGTTCCATATGTGGCATTCGCTGCTTCGTCTTTCCAACAAATTTTCATTTATTGCGTTCTAGGACAAAAAATAAAAACAAAGGTAAGTTAAATAAAAATTAAAAAATCTTAAAAAATGATTTAGCAAAAAATTCTAGATAATGGCTTTACAACATCAAATTTACAACAGTCCCTGGCTCGAGAGCAGCCCGGTTGAGCAAAACGCGGTTTTAGTGATTTACGCTGTGGCAAGTGACAAATTAAAAAGCAGTCTTCCCGGTTCCCCATTCTTTTCCATGTCCATGGAATTTTTCGCCACGGTTTGTTTTCATTCAACATGCATTTTAAACATAAATAATTTAAATAAATTTATATTAGGCTGTTGGCGCTATCTTCACTTACTTCATCGTTCTGATCCAACTTGGCTAGTGCGTATTAAGAATAAGACTGGATAATCTATTTATTTATTTTAATTGCATCACTTTTAATTCAAATTTAAAAAATTATTATAATTAAATAAAGTTTGCTATTATTGTGTTTTATAATTCTCGTTTCATTCATTAATATAAAAATAAATATTTATTCGTTTTATTGAGTAAGTAAAGAAGTTCATTTTTTCCTTTTTCAATGACCTAGCGTGGATAATATTGGAAGAAAAAAAATTGAGTACCCCGTCGTTGACAGATGGCAAGCTATAGAAAATAATTTTTCCTTCGTCAAAGATAAACCCTATCATCGATGATTACAAACAAGTTTGGCGGAGTGCATTTTTCCAAGTAATTGATTGCCAATTCGTGACCCGTTTGGCTGCTGACACAATCTTATTTTCGCCAAAGTTACTTGAATTTGAGGGTGAGAATTGAAATTTGATAATTGAAATTCGCTTTAAATTATAATTTTTTAGATGAAGTCAAGCATCAGTAACTCGGGGCTAAAATTGCTCTCAATTCTGCATGTATTTTGCGGACAACACCTAAAAATTCCACCAATGGACAGAAAATTCGGCAAATACAGCAAACTTGCTTTTAAAATTTACTCATTTTTTATTCTGATCTGCTCCACCTACTTCACTACTAGCGTAGGATACTACTGGTATCATCAGAGACAAAACTTTGAGCAGGTCATATTCTTTGCATCGGGATTTTTTGGGACTCTCCATTGCTTTCTGAGAATCGTCTACACCACCGTAAGAAAGGCCAAAATTGAAGCTATTTCTTCAAAAATCCACGTTATGCTGCACCACCACAATCTTTTAGAAACTGATACAACTAAATTCACCCAAAAGTTGTCAAGGTATACACCTTAAAATATATTTATTTTACATAAAATTCTACTTTTTCACGATAATCATTTGACTTTTTAGAGTCATCCAGGTTTTGGTGTTGACATTTTTCACCACATTTGCGGTAGCCTTGGTTTCCACTTTTATTACTTCTCTAGAGAATTTTGACAAAGTTATGGAAATGCTGAGGGAAAATGCGACCTACACTGGTGACAAAAACTTCATCACACAAGTTTATTATGAGACGTGGAAATCAGTTTGGTCAAACAATAAATATTTCAATATTCCTGACGCGGCCCTGAGAAGTTATATAAAAGTCACATCGATATTTATTTATGTATTATGCTACTTGGCAATTGGGAGACTTGTTGTTTCCGACGTGCTCATCTATTCTTGGTACTCCACAATTGTGAACCAGTACCAGCAACTGGCAGACTCCCTTCCTCAAGTTATGGCAGCTGGCGAGGACTTAAAAAAGGTTCAATATTGGATTCGTTACCACAGTCTGCTAAATGAGTAATAATCTTTTGACTTAAAAACAAATTTTTAAATAATTAATTTCTTAAATTAGATTGTTAAATGAGATAAATTCATTTGCCGCGCCTGTTGTCCTTGTGGCCGTAGTTTTTACTGGAATAAAAATAAGCATGTGTTCTTTTGTTATCTTCAAGGTAATTTAACATTTAAATATTATTTGAAAGTTTTAGATCAATTATTATTAATTTCAAGCTGCATGAAGAGTTGAGCATCGTGCCATTTATAGCCTTTGGAGTAACGTCGATGCAGCAAGTTTTGGTTTATTGCGTCCTCGGACAAAAGATTCGGAACAATGTTTTTAATAAATTGATTTTTTTAATATTCATACAAAAATGAATGATTTTTGTAGATTGCAATGATCCACAAAAAAGGTTACCGGTGCCCATGGACAGGCCATGAGCATGAGAAGAAGAAAGCGGCTTTAATGATTTGTATGGCGGTGAGTGAAAAAGCCGGACATAAATTACCAGGAGCGCCATTCTTCTCAATGTCTCTGCATTTTTTCGCATCGGTAATGCATAAATAAATACATAAATTTGGCAAAATAATGATTAAATATATTTTCAGATGGCCAGCGTCGTTTTTACTTACTTTGTTGTGCTGATCCAAATTATTAATTAAAATTTAGTTTTAAGAAAATGTTAATTGAGTTCAAAATTGGGGCAACTATAATTACATGAACTCATCCAAATAAATGGCAAAAACAAAAATTTTAAAACAAGAGAGAGAAATTTATTGAAATACAAAAGCAACAAATATTTTACTGTAATTTTTAATAAAATTGCACTGTTGCATTTACAATTAAAAAAACTTTGAAAGGAGGGTTTAATTTTAAATTCCAAAATTAGCCTACCAAATATTAAATAAATTATATATTATGTTAAAAAATGTCATGGGTCATGATACTCAATACTCGTGATCTCTTGATAAGATCGGACGAGAAAAGCAATGAATTGATTTTCTAAATGTGCCAACCAAATTTCTGATAACGTTTCATGATAATATGAATGACGAGTCAATAAATCACACCCTTTATTTACGAGCTTTGCTCCAAACGCCACCTCTGATTGCTCTGACTGAAACACAGTCAAGAAAGAAGCTTACAAAATTTAGTTACTTGGTCTTTAAAATTGAATTAAAGAAACGAAAAGGTGAGAAAGAGACGCAATTTTTATTTTTCTTTAATTTAATTTGGGATGAATTCCAGAATATATTTTTTCCTATCAATATTTATTCTATTTCAAAACAGATGGAGAATCGAAAGCGATATTTTGGATTTCAACTACTGAAAGTTTTGCTAATTATTTGTGGACAGCATTTGAAAATTTGCTCCGATTTTGAGCCGAGATCCAAATTGGGGAAGTTCATTTTAAAAGTGTATTCCACTTCCCTGACCATCGCAACTTTTGCCTTCTTCGTTATTGGTGTTTTTGCACTATTCAGGAACCTAGGCAACTTCAAGAACGCTATTTACCTTGCGGTCACCTTTCTGAGTTTCTTCGAATGCTTTATGCGGTTGGTTTACACTGCGTGGAAGAAAAAGAAAATTGAGTCGATTTCTACTCGGCTCCGTTCCATCCTCTACACTAGCCAACTTGACACTGGCGAATTTGCAAAGAGCTTGGCAAAGTGAAAATTTATTAATGAATTAATTAGTTCTTTTTAATTTTTTATTTATTCTAGGGTTGTGGCCTTCCTACTGATTTTTCTTTTTACGACGTTTGGAATTTCCTTGCTTGTGGATTTCTTAACCATAATAAGCCAAATGGACAAACTCTACGACAGCATTAGGAATTTGACAGAAATCAGTGAAATTGAGAAGGCTGTCGCGAATAATAATGCATCAGTAGAAGCAACCAACGCGTGGTCCTACGTTGCGCCGCTATATGCAATTTGGCCTTCATTCATCGCAGCTCGAATTTACGGGGCTATAATTTTTTCCGTTTTCTATTTGTCGTTTGGAAGGGTTCTAGCTTCAGACGCCCTTTTCTATACTTGGTACAAAATCATCATCTTCCAATCGAGTCGATCATCACAAGACCTGCCACAAGTTTTGGAAAACGACACGGGAGAGGAAACAAAACTTCAAAATTGGATAGAAAATCACCACTCGATAAACGAGTAAAAAATATAAAATGTAATTATTTTAAAGAATTTCAACTAATAATTAATTTAAAGTTTACTTGACGAGATAAATTCGCTAACTGCACCTGCGATTGTCATTGCTGTTGCAGCTGCAGGATTACGAATTTGCATTTTCTTTTACATGATTTTGAGGGTAATTATTTAAACTTTTAATAAGTTTCCTAATAAAAATTGAATTTTCTTTCAAGCTTTATGACGACGCAAATGTGGTTTCTGTTTTCGTTTACGGAATCACAGCAGCGCAGCAAATTTTCATATACTGCATTTTGGGCCAACAAATCAAGAACAATGTAAGCATCAAAATAATTCAAATAAATTAAATTTTTAATGAAAATATATGCATTTGAAGCTGGAAAATCTACATACGATTGCTCAAAAGGAGCTTTGGAAACAAACTTATGGCTCTGGTCGGCACGCGGCCCTAATTGTGTGCACCACAGCGGGTGACAACTTGAGCCAAAGCTTGCCTGGAACACCCTTTTTTCACATGTCTTTGCATTATCTAGCAACGGTATATTGCCATAAATTAAAAGCAGTATAAAAATTACTGTAATTAAATCCACAATTTTGCAGATCATTGGAGCAGTCGTGACTTATTTTATTGTTCTGATGCAACTTAATAAAGTTGATTGATGTCTTTTAAGAAGAATCAATTAATTAAAATGATTGTACAGTTAAGAATAATGTTAATTAATTAAATAAAAAATTAAAGCTCTTCAAGATGAATTACAACTTACAAAAACAAAGTTTAAGTCGGGTGAATCCAAGTAAGAAGAGAGTAAATAATTTAATAATAACTGTGCATATATTATTATAAAGAAAGAAAAAACCTTTAATGTTAAAGAATATAAATTAAATTAATTTTATTATCAGTTTTTTCCACTAAACAAAAGCCATTAATCAGAGATGCAAGAAAAATAATAAAAAAGCTAATTGATAATGAAAAAAGCAGACGGAGATAATAATTGTTTACAGGGGAATAATGAATAGAAAAGGCACAAGACATTCGCATTAGCCCCAATCAGCTCCAATCTGCTTGAAAGTGGCATCACACTAACAATAAAAGATGTTCATCAGCAGCAGGGTTCGAAATGTTGAAAAACCAAAGGAAAGCATCGAGATTGAGCTTCTGCCACAAAAGGTTTGCGCAGTTTAATTCTCTAATTTTTACTGAATTTTTCTATTAGGAGTCGCGCACAGAACATCTAAGTTTTGGGCACAAACTCCTATCGGTCATGCACTTAATTTTTGGACAGCATCTTCGAGTTCCACCACTTGACCGGAACCTTGGCTTATGTTGGAATATTATTTTTACTTTCCACTCCTCAGCAATATACGCCGTTGGAATTTTCTGCACCATTTCAGCCTTTTTTGCACTGAGAAAAAATCTGAATAATTTTGGAAACGCAATTTTTGTAGCCGCAGGATTCATAGGCTCCCTTGAGTGTGTGGTGCGACATGGTTACTCATTAATGCAAAAAAACAAAATCGAAATGGTTGTGGCCAAAATTCACCACAATTTGTACCATCAAAATCTTGAGACCGATCCCCTGCCCTTCGTCAAACGCCTTTCCAGGTAGTTTTTCGTTTTTTTTAGTTAAAAAAACTTTTTAAAATTAACTATATTGTTTTAATCTGCTTGTATTAAAAAATATTTTCCATTTTTAAATAAGGACATTTTCATTTTCCAGGGTTATAACTATTTTCATTGCGGTTATTGTAGTTGTCTTCGCCATCACCCTGGCAACAGGTTATATTACAGTGTTTTTGAAACTGGCAACTATTTTGGATGGCCTAATGAAAGATAATCCCCGAGCCGACGCAGATCAGTTCATTCGGGAGAGCAACTTTTCTGTTGAAATCAACGAGGCGTGGACTTACACAAGCCAAGTTTTCTATGTCTGGCGATCGGTGACTCTGATGCGAATTGTGTGTGGCATTATCCATTTCTATAGTTTCTTTGCAATTGGACGGATTATGATTTCGGACTTGCTTTTCTACACATGGTATAGCACTATCATTCATCAGTACCGTCAATTGGCAAAAGAGTTGCCGAAAGTGATGGAAAAACGAGCTGGCAAAGATAAACTCCAGGATTGGATTAACTGCCATCAAAGCTTGAATGAGTAATACGCAAAACTATCTTACAAAATAAAACTATTTTAAATTTCTGATAGGCTACTGAAAGAAATTAATTGTCTAACATCTCCAGTGATAGTTTTGGGCGTTATCACAACCGGGCTGCAAATTTGCATCTTATCTTTCGTCATGCTGAAGGTAAAATAATTCAAAATATGGTGACGTTCTCATAAAATTCATAAAGCTTTTCAGCGAAACAAACGTCTTTATAAGCCTGGTCTACGCGATCTCGACTTTGCAAAAATTGGTTGTTTACTGCGTCCTGGGACAAAAACTTAAGGACAGCGTAAGCATATTATTTGATTAAGGTTTTAATCAAAAATTAATTATATTAAACATTCAGGCTGATAGCTTGCACGCAGAGGCGTACAAAGGACCGTGGATTGACAATGCTGATGAAAATAATCAACACATTGCACTGATGGTTATGGCGTCAAGTGAAAAAAATAGAAGCTGTCTCCCAGGAGCACCATTCTTTTCTATGTCATTGGAATTTTTAGCCTCGGTATAGAGATTTAATCACTACGAACTGTTTTAAATTAAAATTGTTTTTATTCCAGATGGCAAGTGCAATCTTTACTTATTTCATCGTGCTGATTCAGCTTAACAAAAATTGATCTATGGCAGATCTATGGGTTTTTAAATGATGCCAGATGCAAATTCAAATGAATAAAGTTTACTGACCTCTTCAATTGAACCAACTTCTTAAAATAATTGTTTAATTAAAATGAAACAAAAATAAATAATTATAGTAAAAGAAGGCAGATAAATCTTATTATTGATTTTCAGTTCAAATCAAATAAAAATTTATTATTTAAAATTTTTTTATGATCATCTGAATAAGAAAAAAAAAATGATCAGGCTGGGAGGCAGAGTTGAGAGCTTTATTCTTGTGACGCGAAATAATGGAGATATCCCAAGGACACCATTAAAAAATGATGAATGATAAAGCTTATAGGTGCGGGATAGCAGATGGTGAGATAATTTGGAGGGATGAATGACTAATACAGGACGAATATTTTTAGCAATCTGTTCAAAAAGCTCATCAGAATAAGATGCTCAACTGCAGCAGAAATGGAAATGTTGAAAAACCGAAGGAAAGCATTGAGATTGAGCTTTTACCTCAAAAGGTTTTTAAAATTTATTCTCCGATAAATTTTTCTCTTAATATTTCTTAATAGAAATCACTGAATGACCATCAAAGTTTTGGGCACCAACTTCTATCCGTCATGCACTTCATTTTCGGACAACATCTTCAAGTTCCTCCTATGGACCGCAGCCTTGGCGCGTTTTGGAACATAATTTTTGCTTTCCATTCATTTGCAGTTTTTGCTGTCGCATTTTTCTGCACTGCCTCATCTTTTATGGCTTTTAAACGGAGCTTCAGTAATTTTGGTATCGCCATGTTCATTGGTGCAGGATTTCTGGGCTCCCTTGAGTGTTTGCTGAGAATAGTTTACACGGTCATGCGAAAAAGCAAAATCGAGACGATTGCGGCTAAGGTTCACTTCACTTTGTACCACGAAAACCTGGAAACCGATCCGTTACCGTTTGTTAATCGTCTTTCAAGGTTATTAAATTTTAATGAGATCAGTTTTGTATCATTGAAAATAATTTCTGTATTTTTAATAATTTACTAAATTAAAAATTTTGATTTAGGGTTATCACTGTTATGGCTTTGACTGCAGTGATCGTATTCATCATTTGTCTCACAACTGGCTACCTATCTATTTTTTGGGAAACGACAACGATTTTGGACAAGTTATTGCAAAATAATACCGCAATCGATGCAGATCAGATGATTCGTGAAAGTGATTACTCTGTTGAGATTATTCAATCGTGGGCGTACATTTGGCAAGTTTTCTACATCTGGCCTTCGGTTCTCATGGTGCGGATCTTGACCGGAATCGTCCATTACTTTAGTTTCTTTGCAATTGGGCGGGTTATGATTTCTGACTTCCTTTTCTACACGTGGTACAGCACTATAATTCATCAGTACCGGCAACTGGCAAAAGTGTTGCCTAAAGTGATGGACGGACGGGCTGGTAAAGAAAAACTCCAGGAGTGGAACAAGTGTCACCACAACTTGAATGAGTAATACTAATCAATAAATTGAATTGCATTTGATTTCTAATTTTATTTAAAGGCTGCTGAAAGAAGTAAATTCTTTGACATCTCCAGTGATAGTTTATGCAGTTATTTCAACTGGACTCCAAATTGGCATAATGTCATTCACCATACTTAACGTACAAAATTTAATATAATGGGTTAAGCAGTACTTTAATTATTTATTTCAGCTCTACACTGAATCAAATGCATTTGCGTTTACGGTTTATGCGATTTCTTCAATGCAGCAAATTGTGATTTATTGCGTCCTTGGACAGAAAATCAAGGATAGTGTTAGTTTTAATACAAATTCTAAAATAAGATTATTAAAAGAAAATATTTTAGGTTAATAATCTCAGCGCCGAGGCATACAAAGGATCATGGATGGATGATACTGGTGAAAACAAAAAACAAATTGCGCTGATGGTTATGGCTTCGAGTGATAAAAATGGAAACTGTCTCCCAGGAACACCATTTTTTTCCATGTCATTGGAATTTCTAGCTTCGGTGGATATTTTTTTGATTAGTAAAAACTCTTCTTTGATTAATATAAATTAAATTTCAGATGGCAAGCGCTGTGTTTACTTATTTCATAGTGCTGATTCAGCTAAACAAAAACTGAGAGTTGAAATAAAATCGACCGTTTTGGATTGTAAAAGCAGATTTATTTACGTGTTGCTTTTGGTTCAGTTTAAGCTAGAACAATAAACTTATTCGCAAAGTTATGTGCACAATTTTCTTACAAATGAGCCGTTCTAAATCTTAAAAGTTATTCACACCACAAATTAAGAGCGGGCGTTTCGACACCGAGAATCTATTGGAAAAGGTGCCAAACATCAACAGCGGACAAAAGTAAAAAGTGAGGCAGGTTGGACATGCCAGCAATGGAAAGTGGATTTGTGTTGCATTATGGCTAGTCTAGGGGTATGTTAAGGAGTGTTATGTTCTTAGATCAACTAGGCGCCTTGCTCAATCGTACAACGGCTCAAACTCCTCCACTTGCATGCTGGTATTCTCTGGTTTGACCTCCTCGTCACCCTGCCCACCATCGAAATCCCCATTTACCTCTGTGCCAGGTGGAGGCGGCTCATAGACATCCCTCGACTTATGCATCGACCTCTCCCCACCCCGTTCACCCTCGTCCCCTTCCTTACCTGTGACTGCGTCATCGTCCAATTCAGGCCCTGCTTCTCTCTCCAAATCACCTGGAGAAAATTGGATTTTTGGTAAAATTTGTAATTTTCTTTGAGAATAAAAAAAACTGCAGGGTTTTTTTTTATCAGAAAACTTACTGTCCATTTCCTTGGCAGTGGGTCTGTCTACTGCCAGTTGTGATTTCTTGTGGTCCTTACTCTTCTTGTCCCTGCTTCTGCTCCTTGACCTCTTCCTGCCGATCCTGCGCTGTTCCCTCCTCTCCTCTCTCTTCGGCCGCACTGGTGGCTTCCACTTGCCGTGCTGCTCAAAGTACTCCAAGTCCTCTTGCAGTTGAGCTCGTTTTGTCTCGATTCGCTCTAAATTGGTACAAAGTTAATAACTTGTTAAAATTTGAATTGTAAAGCCAAACTCACTTTCAACAAACTCCTTAGAGGCTTCAAGGAGTTTCAAAGTCTCAGGTGTGTGCACTTTAGGGCAATAAAAAATTGGAGGTTTGGCACTGGTGCGAATAAAGTTCATGAGATGCTTTTCTTGCTTCTCCCACTCCTCTTGCTGTTAATGCCATTTGATAGAGATGAAGTCATTTTCAACATGAGGCTAAATTTTCATACCGATTTGATTCTGTTGACCTTCTGTTCAATCTTCTTCACCTCAATCTGCTTTGCCCTGCGATCTGCGAACAATTCCTGTTTATCTTTGCGCATCTGTTCCTTCTCCAAACGGGCATTCTCCTCCAATTTCTTCTCAACAATGGCCTTCTTTTCCTCCTAGAAAATAAACAAATTTGTAGATTTAGAAAGATGATGACTTAATTTTTTAACCTTGTCTTTCAGAAGTGTTTCCTCCTTTTGGAACTTCTGCAATGTGCCCAGCAATGCTCCAAACATCCTTCTATTTCTGTTTCGTGTGAAAGGATTTCATTATTAGCACAATGAAGAAAATTAATCCAACTGAAGGTTCTACCTTGCTTTGCTTTTTTCATCTTTGCTTTGAGCCGTCAAAACATCCTCACGAGTTACGAGCATTTCTTTAGAAGGAATCACCTTCGACTGAAGAGCTCTCTGGAAATAAAATTAATCATTTATTAACAGAAACGAAAAAACAATGGTAAAGTTGTTTACATTTGATGGTCGCTCATCTTCCTCCTCTTCAACGTCAACATTTCGCTTAGACCGGAGTGGCACTCCAGAGAGTCTGGCAATGTAATATAAAGAGTTAGAAAAGATAAAACTTTAAAACCTATGCAGAAAAATTTTAAAAACGGTTCAACCTGTCACAGTGTGAATAGTGGTTTCTAGAAATTATCTTTGTTGTTATGGAATATGAAAATTGAGTTTATGTATGTATTTAATTTACCTGCTGAAGACACTGCCTCCCACAGACCGCCTTTTATTAGCTGGTGGTCCATCATCAGCATCATTTCCACCAGCATTTCTAAATCTACTAAGTTTTTCATCAGAGCAAAATTCTATGTTATTTGAAATGACAACAAATTACCTTCCCGGCGGGTGAACATTCCTGAAGGGTGCCTCCTGCCGACCCCCAAGGCTAACCACTCGTCTCGGTCCCCCAGTCGCGGGCCTGTCGAAACATTGAATAATTAATCTTTAAAAAATCAATCTCGCGGCCATCATTGTGCCGACACGACTGGAAAAGCAGGAAAATCCATGTCAACGTACTGCGTTGGAAGAGGCTCGTTGGGATCGCGACCCATAAATCGCTTTATCGTCTCGTCCACGCCCTTCAGCTTGGCGTTCGCTTGCTCCAGCTCGGCTTGGAGGGTGCCCAGAGTCGTGGCGATCTCCATTTCAGCCGCAAAGTCAGCCAGGAAAAGATGCAAATTTAGGAAAAAACACAAAGGATTTTAGGCTTCATGCACGCCCGTGTGTATACAATCATGGATTCTGTCACTCGGCCAATCAGAGCGCGTGCCGGAAATCACGCCTTCTGATTGGCCCAAATTTTCCACTACACCAAATTTGGCCACACCAAGGCGCCAAATACACGAGAAAACGTCTTGGTAAATTTGCTTTTAATAAAATAAGTATTTTTCTTTTATTATTAACAATTATTATTGTTAAATTTGCATGGAAATTAAAAAGAAAGTTTTCAAAAATTCAAACGTTTAAGCCCAAAACAGCGGCTAGTTTTTCTTAAATATCTATTTTCCTAAATATGAATTTAGTTATATTTCTATATCACCAACGCAGCGGCTCTCGCTTGTATCTAAATAGAAATATACGAACGAACCAATGGGAAGCGCGGAAATAAAAATATATGCTTTCCACCAATGAGCTCGCCAATAAATATAATATAAATATAATTATACCAGCGTAATAACAAGTCTCATTTCGTTCTTAATTGGTTTATGGAACTTTGCGTATTTAAACAATCGTTTGTTGTCTGCTCGCAACTCCTGGTAGGCATGAGCAAAATGTCCTAAAATGCAATTTGACAATTAAATATTACATTTCATTAAATTAATACGACGCTCTGCCTTGTTGTTCTCTTTTTTGTTGTTTATTCATAGCGTGCACGCTATGTCCGATTTTTTTACCAGATTTTCTTTTTCGCTTCAAACAGTGTTGAATTTCAAAATACACTGATGCTACCACTGATATAGCTTCGAGACCTGCTAAAGTTATGAGATCTCTCCGAATTTCAGAAACAGCGTTAAAATTTGCCATAATTATTAAATGTCCGTCTGCGAGTTTGCGGAAAGCAAAGTTGTTTTCACTCCATCCAGCCTCACTCAGCTGCTTTAAAGTTTCAAGAGTTGCCGCGCTAGGCGCTCGAGCCTAAATTTTTATTTCTGCCTCTCCCATTGGTCTGTTCTTATATTTCTATTTAGCTAATTTGGAATCTCCAAATAATTTGGACGGAGAGGCCTTTTCTTAAAATTTTATCCAAGAGCCAATCAGAGACCAGCTTCCTTATATTTGTATTTAACTAAATAGATATATAGAGCCGCTGTTTTGGGCTTTATTCTAAACAATTTCACATCTTAAATCCAGCCAAATCTAATCCCAGTCATGTTATAGAAGTCATTCATGTGTTGTCTGTACATGTTCTTCAAATGGTGCGTAATGCTCCACTCGATATTTGGATGTTTCAAGCTCACTGCTTTCATAGTTTCGTTCAGACATTCTGGTTCCGGTTCAGACTCGCTTGAGTACGATATGCAAGGAAACCTTCCAGTGCCGTTGATTTTGAATCTATCAGCACGCAGGTAATAGCGAATCTGAAGAAAAACCTGCAAGTCTTTTATGATTTTTGCAGGGTTGGTCACAAGCTCTTCCGCGGTGTAGATGTAAATCTGGTGTCTAGGAAAATACTTGAACCACGGTTTCAAGTGTTTAGCGTACATTCCTGTTTGAAGAACCGTCCAGTTCTCATTCATTTTTCCAAGATTTCCTTGATCAAAGGCGAACTCTCGGAATGGCTTGTAGAATTTTCCTCTAGCTTCTCTGCTACAAAGTGTGTATATTTGTAATAATTAATTAATTGTAATTGAAGTGAAAAATATGCTGAGAAAATTACTCTGCCATTTCAGCATACTCGGAAACCGCTCGCTCGATCGGGTCTCGAACGCCCAAAATTATTTTCGCGTCCGGTCTCGCTTTGAAAATTCTCTCAGGCACAGCCGGATTTGTAAAATAAGAGTTGCACCGTTCAATAACTTCTTGATATTTTGTGCTTAGTGGCATATTGCTCCTGTAATTAATTTATTAAATTAATTTATACTTTTTATCTCATTAATATATTTTCAGTATAATTTAAAAAAAATTAATAATTTCTTTATATTTTCCTCTTACTTGTACCAGTCAATTCCATTTGAAAAATACTTGTCAAAGTAGTGAATCTCCGTTTCTACTATTTGCACCTCCGGATGAAGTCCCAAAAAGTCCATCAGGGCAACAGTGCCGCATCTTGGAGCGCCAATCAAGTAGGTCGTAGGGAATTTTTGAGTCCTATTTTCTTCTGAATCGTTATACTCATATTCCTCAATTGGACTCTCCATGTTGACAATCAGGTCTTCTAATTTTAACTTTTTTGATAAAATTCCCCTCGCGGTGAGAACGGCTGACCGAATTATTAGGTTGTAGTAAATTAATCCAAGCAACAGCACACAGTAAAACAAGCAGTTTCGACTGTTCTGCGTCAACTTTCCTCTCCTCATAGCGTTTATCCCACGGAAAATCAATATCACAATAATTCTTAACATTTTAATTAAAAGTAAAACTGAACACACTACAGCAAATTGGTAGACACGTATCACACAGGCCGATGACGCGACGTCGATACCGACCGGCTGTTTTCATCGTCACGGTTGGAAGATCTTGCGTTTTAATAATAAATAGCGCCAAGCATCGGTCGCTAGCCCATTTACAAAAATGATTGCCTAAAATTTTCATTGAAAATATTATTCTGTTAACAAGGGCTATAAAATGAACAATCAATCAAGTTTGATATTTTTTTAAATACATATTTTTATTTACTAAATCCTGTTATTTTAATTTTTTTAAATAAAAATTAAAAATCATCATCGCTCAATTCTTGTGGTTTTGGGGCAGAGGGCCCTCCGGACACAGCTGCCACATTTGCTGCCATCTTATCTCCAAGGGGGATGTCATCATCGTCATCAGTGCCCAGGTCAGAGTCTTGACCCCCGCCTAACAAGAGGTCAGAATCGGATCCTAGTAAACTAGCACTGTCATCTTCGTCGTCCTCAAGACCTGCGCCAGTCATGCTGCCAAACACCTTGCGACCGGTTCCTGGAACTTTTTTTATTTATTTTAAATGAAATATTTTTGTGTTAAATTATTATCTTTAACCATCCATTCTTGAAGGCGTTTTCATTGGTTTATTTTCATCGTCCATCATGGTTAGATTGTCCAGCGAGCTGTTATCCAAAAACTTCATTTCCTCTTGCGTTTTTGAAGCCTCGAGCAATTTTCTTACCGCAGCCTAAACAAAAAAATTATATTTTGAAAATATAAGATGTACACAATTTACAATTTGCTCTTGGTGCCGACGTTCTTCAGCTTGTTCGACCTGCGTTTTTGCTTGCTCTAAGTATGTTAAAATTCTGTGTTTTATGACGTATTCCTCCCACAGAACAGCAAGTTCACTTTCCAACTTCTCATACTCCTCCATAAACGCAGGTCTTTAATAGGATTTTTTTTGGAAACAATTATTACGATATTAATTATTTATTTATTTATTTTACCTTACTTTCTGCATTCCTTGCAGCCTCTTCTGCGTGCGCTCCAATTCAAGTCTCTTCTTTTCAATTTTAGCATCCAGTGCCGCTTCGGCGCCAGAAATACCCTGAATTTGCTTTTGAACTTCCTCCAATTCTGTTTTTGCGGCCTGCGTCTGCTCTTTTACTGCCTGTTCAGCTTTACTCAGCTCGATGTGTTTTGAGAGTGCAATTGTTCTATTTTCCTTATATTTTAAAAATAAATAAATAATTTGGTGCCGTTTTGATATTAAAGAACTTACTCTCAATTCCACTTCTTTGCCAAGCAGATCATAAAAATTAGCTCCCTTTGTTGTGATGTCAGATGCCAATTGGCGAGCCAATTTAATGTCTTCAATCTAATTTAAAAAAAATTAAAATATATTAATATCGTTTAATTTAGTTTTATTTTATTCACTTTTGATGAAATATCAATAGGGACGTAGCTGGCTCCTTCCTCGTCTTCATCGTTTTCATCTGATTTATCGCTATCTAATGCATTGTATAAAACCGTCACAACTTTTAGCAACTCTTTTACTGCATAATTATCCGCCTGGTAAAGTCTTTTTGTGTTTACTTTGATCTGAATTTTTGTGGCCTGGGCGCAAAAGGAGATTTTTTTAATGATTTTAATATTTTATCAATTTAATACTACCAGAGTTTCGGCTGAAGTGCGAATTAAAAAGATCCTCTGCTGTTCAGTTTCGTATGCAGAGGGAATTTGCACGTCAAACTTAGAAAGCAGCCATACCAGAATGTCTGCTACGAGCGGAAAGTTTGGCTGCCGAAAGCTTTCAATGGATATGAAGCGTGGGTACCCAAGCGTCCGCATCATGTCGGTGAAATCTGGAATAAAGAATTGCCAAAAGTTCATTGCAATTAATTTTATGCCTTACTTCTTAATTCAAAAAAAGACATCTTGAAATGCGAGGCTCAATGCATCCAGTGGCACGCGGGGACATTGATTCGCGCGCTTCAATTCACAAATTTTCCAGCAGAGGGCAGTGTTATCAGATTTCGACCAATCAGAACTGCCATATTCAAACGAGAAGAGAAGGAGAAAAACATAAACAACGCTGGATTTCTGATCGTTTGTGATCTTTCTTTTATTTTTCGGAAAATTGCTCGGACTGGGAAGTGTCAGGGCCTTAATCGTTTTTAGAAATTGCCTAAAACGATGGGAGAGCCCAGTGTGCCTGTTAAACGGCGCAAGGTGACTTACAAGAGACCGAATGCGTTGTTTGAGAAGTGGCTTGGAGAGTGGAAAGATGAGGCCAAAGAAAAGGGATGGCAAATAGCTTACTCTTACCAAAAGGTAAGAATTTATTTTTATTTTCTTTTTTTTCACTGATATTTGGATTTTGTGAATTAAACAGGCGCTCCAATCTCTTAAGAAGTACCCGACGCCCTTAAAAAGTGGCAAACAATGCAACATGTTGAAGTCGTTTGGTCCGGCATTGTGCTCCAAGCTTGACAAAAAGATCAAGGAGTACATTGCTGAGAACCCTGATGATACAAGTAAGAAAAAAATCAAAATTTTAAAATATCTTAAATAAAACGTGATTGCTTTTTTAATAGGATTTTCAACCGAAGATCCACTTCCTAAAGCGACGAAACCAACATCACCAAAAAAGAAAAAAGCAGCTGGAAATTCTCCAAAAAAGAGGAAACCAGCTGCAAAGAAAAATAAAAAAAATCACGATGATGAGGATGAAGACATGGATGACGATGATCTTCAACCTGCTCCAGTCGTTTTCATTCCTCCAGGCAATGCTCAAGTCAAATTGATTGTCGACTGCAGTGAAACTAATATGTTTGTAGACTCAAGGATAGTATCTTTTTTATTCTAAGCTTTGGTATTTCAGGACTACAAAGAAAGCTTCCCAAAAGAATGCAATGAAGGAATTGCAAGCTCAAAAAATTGCTTTCGAGATTCGTGATCTCAGCGTTGGTGATTTCATGTGGCTGGCTGTTGCCCCCAATGGCAGTGAGCTAGTTCTGCCTTATATTGTGGAAAGAAAGAGAAGTGATGACCTGGCCCAAAGTATCAAAGGTGACCGCTACCACGAACAAAAGGTTTTTCATCTTCATAATTTGCACTCAGATTTAAAAATCTAAAATATTTTAGATGAGATTGAATGCTTGTGGACTTAATGTGATTTACCTGTTTGAAGACACAAAAAGCTACATAGGTTTTCGTGAGGAAAGTTTATACCAAGCACAGATGAACACAAACATTCAGAGCAAGTTTTGTGTCCACACTACTGGAAGTGTCAAAGAAACAGTTTCATATCTAGCCAGTCTGACAAGAGTTCTCGAGAAGAAAATCAGGGTTGGTAGACACTTATAGATTCTGAAGGTGTTTAAAAAATGGGTTTTTTCTCAGAATAAGTGTATCAAAAGCTGTAGCAGTGACGACGAACCTCAGTATTCTTTGAATGGTCGCTCACTTTGTCTTCCGTCCTACAAGGAGTTCAAGCAAGGGTCTGCCAAGATTGAGGTATGTTAAAGTTGTAAAATTAAAACATGCAATTTGTAAAAATTTGGATTTGCAGAACTTCACTGTTCGCGAAATGTTTGCCCAATTGCTGCTCCAAATCAGTGGCACTTCTTGTGATGCTGTGTGTGCCATTGTTGAGAAGTACCCCACCCTCTCTCACATGAGGGAAGCCTTCGGCAGGTGTGACTCTCTCTTCGAGAAGATCGGACTGTTGACCGTGCTGCAGTATGGTTCTTCGAGAATGAGTCTCCCTCACACCGTGGCTAAAAAAATTGTCCAGTTCTTCACTGCTAGTGATTTCAGCGAATTGTGAGTTTGTCTATTTCTCCTAAACTCTAATTTAGTAATTAGCGAATCCCGGAATCAACGACCGGAACTGAAAGTTCAGAGATATCGTGCTGTAATGAAATAAAATTTCAATCGGTTTCATTTTCGTATCAAAACAAAACAAATTTATTTCACACAAATGAGTTTATTTACAATAAGAAATGACTGCACTCGGGCCCAGCGGCTCGATCGATCAACAAAACACTCTTGGGGTTATTTACACTCGGGGGTTCGCTAACGTCCACACTTTTTTTACATCAGCCTACTTCTTGTGATATCCTCCGTGGCCGCCTCCTCCGTTGCTGTATCCTCCGCCTCCGGAGTAGCTGTTTGCAGTCGAGTAGGCACCCTGGCCGCCCCCACTGTATCCGTGGCCGCTGGCGTATCCGCCTCCATGACCGCCGGCAGAGTTGAAATTGCCGTGGCCGCCACCGAGGCCACCACCCACGCCTCCAGCACTGTAACCCCCACTTCCTCCGTGGCCTCCGACAGTGTTGTAGCCAGTGTCGGCGTAACTGGAGGCGGCCGCGTAGTTGCCGCCTCCGCTTGAATAGCCTCCGTGGCCGCCTCCGGATGAGAATCCACCATGGCCGCCTCCAGACGAGAATCCGCCGTGGCCGCCTCCGGATGAAAATCCACCGCTTCCATGGCCGCCTCCGGCCGCGTAGCCACCATGGCCGCCTCCGGATGAGAATCCACCGCCTCCGTGGCCGCCTCCGGCTGATGCGCCGGCGTAGCTGCCGGAGAAGCTGCCCGCTGAGTAGCTGTCGCTTCCGCCTCCATAGCCGCCGCCGTAACCTGAACCTGAGTCTCCGTATCCACCGGAGTCACCTCCGTAATGACCAACGTCGTTGCCGCCCCCAAAACCGCCGGAACCGTGACCGCCTCCATGGCCACCTCCGTAGCTCTCCTTGATGGTCGGTACATTGCGGTGGACATGCTCGTCTACGTGGTGGACGGTGTAGATTTGTTTTTCGTGGTGGACGTCATGGTGCAGTTCAGGCACGTGGATTCGGATGTGCACACTGGAAATTGTTTTAGATTCATTAGATAATTCAATTAAATTTCTTTTCAATTTAAAGTTGTATTGAGAAATTTTGCCTATATTTAAAGCACAAATTGCATTCCTACAAGCAGCCTACAAGAAGAAGTGATTTGTCACTTCTTCCTTTGATTTTATTTATTTTCCATTATGCAACTCCCCTAACTTAAAGACTGAACGATGAAAGGAGACGATTCTTTATAGAGCAAACTTTTTACACCTAAAAGCAATCAAAATTAATTTATCAACAAAACACGAAGGAAGTCACAATCTGTTCATAATTAGGATAAAATATAATTCCACTCAAAGTTTCAATTTGGATTTAAAAGAAGTTATCTTTTTTCTTTAATATAAGATATTATTTGGTACACACGGAACCATTTTTTTAAAGAAAGAATTGCAAATTCATTTTTTTTTAATTGTTAATTCTTGAAATAATTAAACTTCGCTAAAATAAGCAAAAAAAATCATCTAGAAATTTCAGGAACAATCGTCTCAGTCTTTCTCGTTCAAATTAACCTCTATTTCAAACTCACACGTTGATGTAAAAACCAACATACTTAATTAAGATATAATACTCACTGTTCATTTCCTCCGAAGAAAAATGCTCTCGCAACTCCACACCAAGCCACAAGCAGCAAACACCCGAGCTGCAAAATGAGAACATTGATCGTTTAGAAAATTAACAGTCAATTACGAATCGCTTCATTAGTTCGTTCAAAGATTAATTTCGCAAATGAGGCACGCACGAAAACGCTGTCAACTCGCAATCAGTGCAAGTACATAATATAGAAGTGAAATCGACCAAGGCAATTTGCAGAATCACAGCGACCCATATAAATTTTGAAAAGATGGACGCAGCCGATCACGCGTGTGCCCACGAATAACATGCGACGACACCAATTAAATATCGGGTCGTGATTGACGTGCTCTCCAATTCGTGAGGTGCCCATTAGCGGCAATAAACTACAAAAAGTCCAAGTGAAAACTTTTTCGGGTTAACTGCGATGAAAGGTGCCGAAAATTAGTGTCTGCTCAGTGACCGTGGCCCTGGCGGCGAGATTCAAATTAAGCGAAAAGAACAAATCAAGTGGCACGAATCGGCCACCAAATACGGGGACGTCGTGTCCAGAGGGCGACAATTTTCTTTCTTCAAAACCCACGCAGGAAGGAACATAATCATGAAATAAATACATTATTATTACTGCTCGGATCTCCAAATATTCACTTTTGTTTTTGTGGAAAATTGGACGCTGAAGGAATTAAGAGTTTATGATGGATAGAGTGAAATTTCGATTGTTGTTTTATGTTTATTCCTCTCATTTTTTGCACAAATAATTGGGGAAAAAATCTAAATTAAAAAAAAAACTTATACAACTAGTAATGTCAATTTTTATGAATTTATCAATAATTCATCTAAATTTAAGGAATTTTATTTTTTTTCAATTTTAAGTAATTTAAAAGCAATTTACTCACGAGCTCGCACATTCTCTCTTCAAATGAAGCAATTACTCTGTTCCCGCCAAGTAATGAGGTAAATTTCTTTTAAAAAACGCTAACACTTCTTTGCAGCTCCAATTTGCATGGAGGTGCAATTAAGCGCAAGAGAATCTCTCTTTGCATTTCTTTCGTACTCCATTAATGCTATATACGGATAGTACAAAAACTGCGTGTGAACAGTTACACTGCGAGGAGGTTAATTACAGCAGATTAATCTCGGACGGCGGAAAATCAAAGTCAAGAGCTAACAAGTGAAATTGCCGGTGTGTGCATTCATTGTTGCAGCATGAGATCGTGAGAATAAAACTCTTTGCATCTTTTCTTTTCGCCAAAGATGCATCGTCTCGATCGTCATTAGCGGAGAAAGTATCCGCTCTTCACTTTGATTTTTCATTTCGGACCAAAGCTGTACGGAAAAGGAGAGCGAATTGAGAGAGATAACGATCTAGGATTTTACGCGTCGCTGACTGCGTTCGCGTTGTTTTTGTATAAATGGCTATCGTCGCAATCTCGCGGGCACGTGTTATTAGGCGCCTAATGCGTTTCGCGGTAAAAGTGTGGTGAGAGATGCGAAAAAGCGCGTGGACCACACACACTCACTTACGGCCGAGATGTGTGTGGGAGAAAAAACAAAAGAGAGTGTTTAAAATGCACTTTGGCAGAAGATGCACTATATAATTACGAAGACGTTTTTCTCACTTTTTCACGCGGTGGTCATTATTAAATTAGAGAGGAGAGAAGGTTGTTAAAAATTTCTAAAGCTTAATCACCACCGTGCTTTCCGCCAAAACTTTATGCAAATTTAATGCGCCTGAGAGAAAATGAGGCACTAGAGGAAAATTTGTTTAATTATTTGATCTCATTAACATCAGGAGCTAAATAGGACATCAAATATCAACAAAATAAATACGCGAGGTTAAAATTCTAACAACAAGAGGCTGAGAAGCAGACAAATTGTGAATTATAAATGAAAGGATGTGTTTAGTATCTAATTTAGAAATTTTATGGAATTATTCTATAAACATTAAACAATAGTCCCTCTGAAAATCTCTTAGCTTTATAGTTTTCAAAATTAGTATAATTGTTACGCGTCATGCGGAGTAAAAAATTATTATTTAATCATATTTTGAATTAAAATAATTTTAGCTTTAAAAGAGAATTTGTTATATAAAAGACCAATCATAATAGCAATAAATTAAATGAACCGTATTTAATCTGAAAATAAATTTTATTTATCTAAAATTAATTTAACGAAGAAAGAAAAATATACACACAGTTAAAAAATAAACAACATGTTAGTGATTAATTTTCTATTTTTAAAGTAACACCGTTTTAGATTAGCATTCAGAAGATTTAGACTTAATTTATTTTTCACCATTTTTTTAGAGTTTTCTATATAATAATCACAAGCAATTATTCTTTTATACAAATGAATTGAAATTGTGAAAAATTAAGAGGATAAAATTTGTTTCCAAAACCACATCAATATAGAACACGGATGATACTATGAGAAAAAAAAATCGTTATCATGCTTAATTCTTTTGAGTAACATTTTTTGAGCTATATATAGATTAATTCAATTCATGATTTGGATGGGAAATTAATTCGAAAAGCTACTCACAGTAAATTTCTGCCTCATGTCTGGTGATGTGTGGTGAACGTGTGTGCCGAGTTGGAGAAAGAAAAATGCGAGTAATAAATGAGTGCGTGTCTGTTATATATAGAGGAGTGCGATCCTCACCACTTTTTACACCGCAGCCGCGCTCTGTCCGGGGAGAGATTTCCTGTAGATCTCGTGTACATTATCATGCCGGAGAGAATGAGGAGGAGGGATCATCCGCAGCTGGACCGTTTTCCCTCATAGCTCGAATAATCAATTTTACTCCATTATTGTTAATTTCGTCGCGGTTCTAATTATGTAGCGAGCTATTGTGTTCGGCAGACTAATTTGGGAGAATATGGTAAGGCACCTGTCGTCTCTCTGCCGAAAGTTTCTTCGATGGGAAACTTGAAAGAGAGTGAAAATGAATTTAACAATTAAGAACAAACAGCATACGCAGCGGCTGTAAATTTGTTTGTGGATGAGAGCAGGCAGACCTACCGCAACTCTCCTATTTTATTCAAATGTGGCGTGGGAGCCAGATTTTGTATGCAGATTAGATGTTGAGGATAATTAATCAAACGAAAAGAACATTGTAAATCAGCATCCGAAGGGAAAAGTTCGTTTGTTTTTAACCAACATGTATGCCAGTAATTATTTTTAACTTTCGCTTTTTTCGTTTTATTGGGTTTTGATTGGGGATTTATTTATTTTATTATATTTACTGGAATATATATACTTTTAATTTATTTCGCATCTAACAAAAAGTGAATTATTTTTAGACACATTCAGAAGTCTCAAGACCTTATATTATTCTTTCAATCTATAAAATTCGACTTTTAAATGATATCACTAAAATCTTGTCTGGAGTGCAAAAAAATATAATTATATAAACAGCACAAATTGATTTTAAGAGTTAAATGAAATACTTTTTCTATAAATTTTCCATATAGTTTTTTTACTTCTTTAAATGTCTGATATATTGATTGATTCGAATTGGTTTTTTTTTTTGTTACTCTAGTTATAAATATACTAGAGTTAAAAAAACGCATGGATTTGTAATATTTTTCCGGGTATGCATCCAAAGAATAGACTGACTACAAAGTCGGTCAAGCGAGTGCATTCGTCTTGACGTAACATTTAGTGTACATTCGTGACAATGGCCTTCAGCTTTTGGTCATGACTGACCAAGCCGGCGATTTTAACAACAATCGCTGCCGCCGCTGAGAATTAGCTGCACTTGGAGAAAATGGTTCATAATGAACGCAGTAATGCAGATGAAAGTAGAAGGGGTCTTTATCAGGATCAGCATACCGCAGGAGCGTCCTGAAAGTGAAGGGCGCAGCACCAACATCGCTCTCGTATATAATAATTTCTCTCTCTCGTGATTCCCACTTTGAAATTCATCTCGATTTTTTGATTACATGCAGAGCAGACTGGTGTGTTTTAATGGGCGGCATGACCAGAGGAAAGCTTAAGTCCAATCTGCCGATTTGATACGGTCACTGATCTCATTTTCTTTAAATAATAAGAGTGCAATTTGCGAATGTGCACATGCATGACCATTGTCCAGTAATTTCATGTGCATAAATATTGCTACATCGCTGAATTTTTTAAGCAAACATACTTTTGTTCCAAAAATTTTCGTTAAATTCTTGACAAGTAAAGAGAAAAATAAATTATTTCAATCTTTTTTGCCATATTTTTCGATATTCTTGACCATATAAAAATTTACAGTTTTATGTTCGCTCGAAGTTAAATAATTTTTAATAGTGTCCGAAAATAATCATTTGACTCTAACAATAAATTTAAATTAATAATTGAAAGATTTCATCAAATACGCCAATCAATATTATAACTGAAAATATTTTGGTTCGAATAAAATATCTATTAACTGTCACAGCTAATTTTGAAAAGCAAAAATCACCAGCTTTCCCCATCCCTCTTTGTCTAACAAGAGAGCTGCATGTAATAATAAAAACTGACATATACTGGACACATAATTGGCACAGACATTGTCCCTCTTGTGAAAGTTTTTATATTTGTAAATAGTTTATGACGTGATGAAATCCGTGTATTACATATCACATGTAAAATGTTTAATCCTTAACTCCTAAATCATTATTTATTCATTTTCATCACTGTTGTGTCAAAAGCAGTACTTATTATTAATAAATGAAAAGATTTTGAAGGCAAATCTCCATTAGTCATTATCCAATTGTCTTGTTTTAGTCATTCCAGTGATTTTTCACAATTTCATTTTTATCATACTTATCAAACATTTTTTTTAGTATTATTTTGTTTACTAAAATTTAATCTCATTTAAAACTTCAAGGATAACTTTTAAGAAGTAAGATTATGAATTTACCATGCTACGCTAATTTTTCTACAAGTTAACACTTTCTGAATCTTCTTTTTGCAAATAAAACGCCTCTATTAATTAAAATTCCACGCAGTGTAACTTTTACTACAACCGCGTTGATTGACACGCAACCGGCAGTAGTTGTTGCCAAAAGATCCGCCAATTAAGCCGAATTTTCTCTCCTCGCCGGAGCGGATTTAATTTCCTATGTAAATGCGGCTCAAGATTTTCATGAAATCTCGAGAAAGTGTAATTGTCATGCATGTTGCATAAAATCAGCCTCAATCTGACAGGTCCATTGTGACCGAACACAACAGCGGATTTTCGGCTCTTTCTAGGAATGGGAGTTTTTTGCGTTACTACTTTCAGTGGCCGCGAGCTATTTAATGAAAGGGAAACACGTTTGTGCCGAATCATTCTTCCTTCCTCTCAGGAAGAGCTTCTAGTCGTAATAAAGCAGGGCTCTTGTTGTTGTGATGCTGGCCGACGACTCTCGCATTATGTGAAAACGAATGAAAAAAAGATGAGAGATCTGATCCCATATTTTCACCTTTCATTTCACATATGTGTAATGCTCTTGTAAAAAATAATACTTTACTGTGCTAGGTTTGAAAAAAGAAAATTTAACTCGATCATTATTTTGCTGACGCCCGAATCTAACGGTGAAGTGAAATATTTTAGCGAGAATTTTTACAGATGCTTTAATCATACCCCCAGGTGGTTTTTTCGAAATGGAAAGTCGCTTTAGTTACTTTGGTTTAATTCATAGTTTAACTCTCAAATATTTATATAAAAGCACGCATGAGGAGATTTGCAAAGTGCTGTACAATTTTTCTCAAGCTGCAAATGTGAACTTTCGTTTTTGTATAAGAATTAAGTTTTTGATTTGTTATGAAACGTGGAATCACAGTTTCAGTGTGAAGTGATTCCCACCATAAAGATAAAATTTTGATGCTTCCTCAATCATCTCATAACGCGATTCGAGACTTCTACATCCTTTGTTAATTAATGTAGCATCCTTTACAAAATAAAATGTTGTTAATTTTTTAAATTTAGAATCGAAAGGAATATAAAGTTTCTTTTTCCATAAAAAAATAATTAACAAAATACAAATTTTATCATTTATTGGGTTGAAAGCTAACACTCAGGGTGGATTTCATGAAAAATAGAAACTAAGTTCCTCGTTGCAAGAAAAAAAAATATAAAAATAAAATTGAAAAGTTGTTAAAGTACCGGCAAACAGCAGGTTCTTTTTGGGAGCAGCTGTCCTTTATTTATTTTTTTTCTTTTTTTTCCCTTCCAACGCGGAACATTTTGTCAATTTTTCATTTAATGGATCCTTAAATAATTTTTTTGCTAAGAATTTCTATATCCATTTTAAGTAAAATGTGAGTTAATCGTAATATTTTAGTAATTGCATTAAATATCGATATAGAGCAAATCAATCAAGGAGGACTTCATACTTTAATTTACAAATGAAAATAACACACAATAATAAAGGTGCAATATTATCTTGATAATCTCTTCGTAACAACTAGAGGCGAGTGGTTTTCATCACTTCCCATAGAGCGTCGAAGTCGCAAAATTTTCTCACCATTGTGGTCTAATTGTAAATGTAAGATTTACAAGAGAGCGAAACATTTCTCGCTCAGTCAAGTGTAGACTGTCGAAAGTTAATAGCGAATCTCATCATTACCATCGCACACATGTCAAAGGAGGAAACGCAGGTTGGCCACCGAGTGCAACCGCATCCAACAGACAAAGCGCAGACACTTATTTAATAATTCCACTTCCTTGTGCAAATATATAACACGGCCAAGAAAAGGAGATGACGCTCAAAGAAAGTTCTCACTCTCACCGCAATCCATATTTTATAAATTCGCCGCAGATATTTTTATTTTCAGTTCACCGAGAGTGCACGTATGATGAATATGAACGATTTACTTATTCTGCGGTGCGGTGCGCGCACTCGGCGTAGATTTCACTGCGAGCATTTTTTGGCAGATGATTTCAAAGAGATGATAAATAAAACTTGATTTTAATGAGATGATTGCCTCATGCTGCACACCTACACGCATCACGTCCGAGTACTTTTTGGCATCTTTTGTGGCGCTTTATCGTCACTTCAATCGTTGTTTTAATTCTTGGCTTGGAATAAGAAGGAAGCTTAAATATTGCAATTTAAATGTGGCATTACGACCTGCAATTCAAATGAACCGGGTTTAAAAAAAGTCCAAAACAATTTCACTTTCAGCAACTGCCGTTATTCACCTCAAAATTTGTTATGAAATTTTTGAGTAAATTGTTAAATATGCACACAAAAATGAAGCCGATCTTAAAAATTAGGTTGGTATTATGTATACTTGCAAGTCAGGTATAGGTGTATATTATATAGCGATTTTTAAAAACTTGCCCAATATAATACGTATATAAAAGGACAAAATGGTTATATAGAGAAACTATAATTTTGAATGTGTATATAGATGTATTCAGTTATGGGCAGCAATTGTCTTTGTGATAAGTAACTAACATAATATAAGTATCTAATTAATGAGCATTTTTTGAAATTTAAAAGAAACCAGAGGTCCTGGCTGGATTTTCATCACACGCAAGGGAATAATTTCTAAATTTATTTTTTTTTTACCGCAGGCTCTGATAATTATAGTCTCAAAAATCAAACACACTGAAAGTTGCGAAGTCCATCAACATTTTAAATATAATCACTCCACATGCACAAAACGACTTTCTAAGCAATCATATTTAGTTTTCCGAGTGAATCTCAATTAATCCTAAAAAGGCAGAGACGACCTTGGTTCCTTTTAAAGGAGCAAATCGAATGTAATCTCCGGTAATTTCTTATCCATATACTTCCGAAAACACACATTTCATTCAACAATGGGGAGAAAGGAAATTTCTTGAGGCGCTTCTAATTTCATTATTCATGCTTGCGAGTAGCCGATGATTAAGCATCGCATCAAACAAACGCTGTGGCCGACCGTGGGAGTCTGGAAAGATGAACACCTACACATTTTAATGATTTGAAAATCCAATAACAAGGGACCTCATTGTAAGGATAACCAGCCCGGGCTAAATGCAAAAGTTTTTACGCCAGAGAAAGCAGCTAAAATCGTGGCAAAAAAAAGTGTCGTCTCATCTCGAGCAAAAAACGAACCAGAGCTGCTAATTACGCACTCATTTATACGGCATTTTGTTTTCAGTCGAGCACAATGCACTCTACTGCTTCCGAGTGCTGAGCAAAAAAAATTAGGAACTGCTCCCAGGTATGTCCGGGAAAACCAACGGTTGAAAGTGGCCTGCCAAGTACCGAGAGAGTATACTTTGTTGTAATTGCAAACAGTGCAGATCACCTCAAGTCTGCACGGCAAACTCTCTTTTCGCACTTGAAAATCTTTTGAATGCCCACTTGTCCTTCGAGTGTCAAATATAATTGTCGGCAGAAATATTTGCTCAACTTTCATTTTCGACTTTTGTCACGATCAGCTGCTAAATATGGAGATCCTCAACATCAAAAAGCATTAAAAGCTAAACAAAAATATTAAGGATTAAAAATTATAAAGGACTTTTAATGTCAATACATTTACATAATTCACTAAATCGTAGTAATTTAAATAATTTTTAAAATTCCATGATTAGCTTTCAGTAATAAATTAAAAGTGATTATGCATTAAAAATTTCAATTTCAATTAGTAAAATTTCAATTTTCAATGCATCTATTTTTTTAAATTTCATATTTGTAAATGATTCTTCTTATTGCTTCTTATCTGGTAGTAATTTTAGTAACATTATTATAAACGAGAAAATTATTATAGTATGTAATCGATACATATTAATGTGAAACTAAAATCTAAATGCTTTTGAGGTGAATCAGAGCGAATTGCGGTGAATTCATTTCCTTTTAAAAAACTGCAATGCAATTTTGCAGTTGCTTGTCTCGAGTGTAATCAGACCAAATAAATCTTCTTGCCGCCTGAGGAGTGCGATACCTGAGAAAATTCATCTTGTTGGAGAAAGGAAGAGCGATATAAAACACCGACATTACGATTTAATTATATGAACCGGCCGGCTATTAATTTTTTGCAGACGGTCATCAGACTGAGTTGCTCCAGCATAAAGGTGATGCTATTTGCTTTTTAAGAGAAAACTACTTAACTCCGAGTGATCTTTTTTTTTTTAAATTTTATGAGGAAGAGTTATTACACAATTTGTGTTCATGTGCATAGCGTACAACGAGGAAACAAAATTTTGCTCTCTTTATTTGAGAGACGCCAAATTGGAACGAATCCACTGACGTATTCAGCTCATATTTTATTATTCCAAAGAGGTGCAATCATAGATATATCACACACCAAAGAGAAAATATTATAATAAGCCACCCGCACTTCACTTGAATTTGACAGTATAAAAGAGGCTGATAGTTGTGAGAAGCCGGCATTTATGGATGAGAATATTTGACTAAGCGTGTATAGCCGACAATAATAATAATAAGAAGAAGAAAATATAAATCATTTAAATTAGCAGAGCATATTAGTAGCTCCTTATGCTTTTTTTGGAAAAAATTGCAGAAATCGCAGAAATATCACTTATTTATTTATTGATATTCAACTTTATTGCCCAAAGTCATTAGAGCTTTGGGCTATTTTAGCCTTGATTAATTATCCCCGTCGCAAATTACTATTTACATTCTCCTTTTCACGAGATGAATGCACGGAGGAAATTGCTTGTCAGATGTCAGAGTGATTTTTTGCCACCAAGGGAGAAATTGCAACGAAGCCTGCGGGCCCGAGTGTCATTCCTTCCGATTCACTTGCACTTTCACGAGACGGCAGATGCTTCTATCTCGGCGCATTTATTTCAAAGCAATTGATGGTTGCACACATTAATCCGGTAGTTGTTTATCATTTCCTTGCGGATTAAATTTATAGTTTCAGGGGGGATTGAAAATTTTTAAATCGCCGACAGAGCTGGGTGCGCCGAGAGAGCAGCCAACGTGTCAATCGCGAAAAGTGATTGTGTGGCCACTCATCCGACGATACGCTATGCTTATGGGAGGAACACAACAAAACGCTCTCAATCTCAATTAAAATCTCTTTCCAGCAGCTGGCCAGATTGCATGGCAAAAACCAACTTAGGCTCTCGAGAGTCACATTTTCTCTTTGCATCTTCACCTCGGCAAAAAATTAAAATGCACATCAAGGTTTACTTACAACGAGAGTGAAATTTTTTATTGATCTCCTTTATTATGTATTTTTCCTTGTGATGAACTTCAGCTATTTATTTTCCTAAAGCTGTTTGATATTTTATTTTTCATGTCTGCTCTTTGTCATCTTTCATCAGGTACATGCAGAACTTTATTATAATTATATGTACTTCAATAAAGAGAGACTGAAATAATAAAATGATTCGACTCAATTTTTAGTGTATTATTTTTTGTGGTACAAGTTCCAAAATTTCAATTTTCAATAATTTATTGTAAACTGCTCGGCTTAAAAATCAACTAACACACAGCACAAACTAAATGAACGAGGTTTTGAAAAACTACCATAAGATATCAAATTTGAAGAATTTTGACTAACAAGTTATTAAAAATTTGATTGTATTGCTAGAAAAATAAATTAATAATAATAATTCACAAACCTTGATACAGAAATAAAGCGGTAAAAACAGACTGTAAAATCATATAGCACTCAGTTTTCCACTCGTGATACCCTGGAGTAAAATTCTCACCGAATATGATGATGGCAAATGGCAAAAAATTATGCTCTCTCGACGCGCTGCAAATTTCGGTTTTCTAACCCGGAGCACGAAATTCGTGCCGGTGTTTTGCATTTTAAAGAATGCAGCGTGTTTTTGCGACCGCGCATTTCATCTAATGATGCCGCTCGCAAGTGATACTTGAGATGAGAGGCGGGGAGCCTAACCCAACTCTCGCGACCGTTCTTTCACTAACCCTGAACCTGAGAGGGCGCAGGGAAAGTTACGAGGAAGAAAGAAAGATCGAGAGTCTTGAACCTCTGCATATGCAAATCTCCGCGTCCAGTAGTGTGGAATAACACACCGCGCGTGGGAAACATGAAGGGGAATGATACAAACAAATAATATAGCAAACTCGTGCAGATTTTTCCTTCCGTTGAATTTTTATAGCTCCTTTATATTGTTTATTTTTAACAGTGCGTACTAATAGTATAATCAAAGTAAATTTTTGAAATTATTTTACTTGAATAATTGCTTAATTTTTAATGTCAAAAATTAATAGTGTGTGTTTGCATATTTAAATTTTTTCTTTTGTTTTGTTAATTTTGATGTTTTAAGAAACAAAACAAAAATGATATCTTAAGCTAATTTACAATAAAATTAAAGCGCTCTTTAAATCCAATTTTAAATTAATCTAGTGTACTATTACTATAGAAATATTTATTTTGTAATTATTGCGGTTCATTGATCTAGTCTCTAGAATTTAGAAAATAAATGAAGAAAAGGTTGGAATTTTCAGTTGAAGTTGTGTTATCAGCCTTGGCACTGGTATAAGTTCAACTCGGAAATCATCATTAAAAAAATATTTTTTGTTTTAATTAATAAAAAATTAACTTCATAAAATCTTTTCCCTTCATTGAAAAAATTACCACCAATGCAGATTAAAATTTATGCTGAAATCTGAAGCTAAATTTTTATTCTGAATCTTAAATGTTCCTTCAAAAACTGTCAAATTGAATGGACAACCGCGACGAATCAACTTAAATTTATAGACGAACAAAAAAAGAATTCTTGCTTCTTGTAGTGACAATAGGACAATTTTAATTGGTTTTCCATTTTTTTATTCAACTTGAACTCTAAGGAGAAAGTTCAGATAAAGAGATAGTATGAATGCCTTCGTGGTCCGGTGTTGGGTGCAGTAATTTTCGCATAAATCATGCCTTAAAGTGGTGCATTTTGGCACAGGACGATCGGTTAGAGGACGAGCTGCCAATATTTGACGATGCATTATTTTTCCCTGTGCGATAGGCACACCTTGAACTTGCTTATTGACCACTGAAGTCACGTTTCGTGCTGCAGTCCGCGGGGAGAGTTATTTTATTGACAATGGACAATAACGCGCGCCGACGGAAAGTGAGTGGCGCGTCGTGAGAATCGAGGTCCATCTGCGGCCCTTCACTTTGGCCGGCCAAATCGGCGGCCGGACGGACGCCTCTGCATGGCAGGTGCTTGGCCGACGCTGCAAAGAAAGATAAAACCTCCTTCTTTCTTTGTGCGAGAGAAATGTTGATAATGAACTGGCTCCTCCTAGTCCACTGCCAGGGTGCACTAACGCGATCGGTCTATTCCACCAAGAGAGCGCATAACTTTTTTCAATCCATTCTTCAAACGCTGCCACCATGAAAAAAATGCGAGTGCACCAGACCTGTACATATAAAAGCAGAGGGGCCTTGGCGGACCAATGCAGTTTTGGTCTTGGAGCGCACCGTGATGGCTCACATTTTGCGCATTGTAAGTTAAATACATTTTTTTTATTTTACTTCATGAATTAAATTCAAATTTTATTTTATTCACATAAAAATTTTCAAGTTATTTAGAAATAAAATTTAATTTTTTGTGTTATGAATATATTAATTTTTAATTTTATTTCAACTCATTAAAGATTCGGTTTTCAAACTATAGGGTTAAGGAAATTTTTTGGAAAATTCTAAAAAATTTTATTTAAAAAAAAATATAAGTTTACGGTTAGAGTTAATTGAATTAAATTGCATAATATCTTTATTTAAATAAGATTGGATTGTCTAGTTTTTTTGGGCATTTTACATAATTTTGTATTAAATGATTATATTTTAGGGCTGATTAAATTAAAAATTTAAAAAAAAGTAGGAAACCTTAGCTGCGTGATTTATATAAACCATTTTATATCTATTCTCCATTTAACAAATTTTTGCAAAAAATTTTGACTGTTCTCTCTTTTTGCTCTCAATGCAGGTTTTGTTGTGCGCCCTCGCGCTCCTGCTTTCTTCGAAAGGCACCAAGGCAGGAGGTGGCGGCGGCGGCAGGTAAATTGACATCCATTTAACAAATTTCTCTCTCGTTTGTTATTTTTTTTCTACTCAAAAGTGAGAGGACTCGGGCGCTTGACAATTAATTGTCTTTTTCCTCTCCGCAGTCACAAAAAGTACATCATTCACGTGCCGTTGAAAGTAAAGGTGCACCATCACACGCGCACCATCTACAAGCACATCTATCACGATGACGAGGGCCACGGTGGTGGAGGTCACGGAGGCGGCGGTCATGACGCAGCGCCAGTTTATCAGATAATCTCAGAAGGTTATGGAGACTCTGGCGCCCATGGAGGCGGCCATGGTGGCGGTCACGGCGGCGGCCATGGAGGCGGTCACGGTGGTGGTCATGGAGGCTACGGAGGTGGCCACGGAGGAGGCTATGGAGGCGGACACGGCGGTGGCCACGATAGTGGAAAAGGTGAGCCAATGTTTGTTAAATATATTTTTTAATAATTTTTTTAAATATTTTTTAAAGGAATTTACGCACTTGTTCAACTTGCTGGCGCTGGAGGACACGGAGGCCATGGTGGTGGCGGTCATGGTGGTCATGGAGGTGGCGGTCATGGAGGTCATGGTGGCGGCGGAAAGGTCGTAACTTCCTTTGACTCATACGGACACATCCTCGGCGCCGGCTACTCTGGCAACCATGGTGGAGGCTACAGTGCGTCGGCAGGTCACTCTGATGGTGGACATGGAGGAGGTCACTCAGGTGGAGGTCACGATGCTGGGCACTCTGGTGGTGGACACGATGCTGGTCATTCTGGAGATGCCGGACACTCTTCTGGAGGCGACCATGGCGGCTACTCTTATGATGTCGGCGGCCACGGAGGCGGCGGGGGCAGCGGAGGACACTCTGGAGGCGGCTACGACTACGCTTCTCACGGAGGCAGCTCTGGAGGCGGATACGATCTAGGTTCTCACGGAGGTCAGTCCGGAGGCGGAGGTCATGGCTACGATTTTGGCGGAGGTCACTCTTCTGGAGGAGACGCTGGAGGCCACGGAGGTGGCCACTCCTCTGGGGGTGGAGGCCACGGAATCGACCTTGGCTCTTATGGCGGAGGACACTCGGCAGGCGGTGATGTAGGTTCCTACGGAGGCGGCCACGCAACGTCCGGAGGCGGAGGCCACGGAGCCAGCGTCGACCTAGGTTCTTACGGAGGCGGCCACTCTTCGGGAGGTGGAGGTCATGGAATCGATCTTGGTTCTTACGGTGGTTCTTCCGGAGGCGGCGGACATGGAGGCGGCGCTGACCTAGGTTCCTACGGAGGCGGTCACTCCTCTGGGGGCGGCGGCGGTCACGATTCGTACGGAGGAGGACAAGGCTTCAGTTCCAGTGGACATGGAGGTGGCAATGACATTGGTTCCTACGGAGGCAGCGAAGGCGGCCACGACCAAGGAGGCCACAGCAGCTACGCTTCCTCCTCCTACGCTTCATACGACAGCAATTGTAGCCACAAGCATCACTGAAAAAATGACTGTTTCTTATTTTTAAGGTATGAAAGTGAGAGTGTCCCTCGGGGTGAATATTTTTGTGGATCAAAAAGACCATATTTTAATATATTTTTATATTTCAAATTATTCATGTATCTCCTAAATTGTTCACCCTAATAATGTTTGGTACGCCACTAGTCTGACTGACAATCGTTTTGCTCATCACAGCGTTAATGTGTTTTGTAAATATAAATACGTCCAGCGTTTTGTACTCTCTCAGACCTCCTTTAATTAATTCTATTTTTTATATCCTGTTTGTAATAAAATGAAACTTGTAAAAGTACTGCTCCTCTCTCATTTGATTCTATTGCACCTGGAAGAAACCACATAGCCTATAGATTTGCAGCGCAACAACCGTAAATTGAAAATGATCCTTTTATATTGATCATCTCCTAGTGTTGAATTTCCACTCGACTGGCTTTATTCATAAAGCATTAGAATGTTTGCGTCTGAATTAACCATTTTCTCCAAGTGTAAAAATCAGACGAGAAAAGAAAAGGCCTGCTTTCGTATTTTTTAAAATGCTTTAAAATGAATTAAAGAAAGTGCCTTCAGAGGAATTTTTTCTGTCGTTGAAATTCGCAGTGAAAGGATTTTTCGGTGCATACGGAGCACACAATGCTTGTCTTTTTGTCGACAAGGAAATTTCCTAGCACAATGGACCACTTAAGCTGTGAGAGATGAGTGAAAGGTCAGCGGCCACATGTGCATTAATATATTTGCGTGAATGAGAAAAGAGCGTCAGAGCCATTTATTAAATGAATTTCTTCCGCGTGAGTTCTTCATTTCAAAACTTGAGTGTCGAGACGTGTTATTTAAAAGCGATCAAATCAAAAATTTATATCTGGCCGTGGTACGTGCGTGCTTGAGAGAGGCGAGAGGAGAAAATTACTTTTTCACTTTGGATTTTATAACAGCAGGCGTGATGAACTTATCACACTCAAAAAGATTAAGAGCGTACGTATGTGTTTGCTTTCCCTGTTGGGCAGGGTTGCCTCTGCAGTTGAAAAGAAAGTTTTGAGAACCGATTCTTCATTAATCTGACATGCAATTTGGCCGAATCCATTAATTTTAAAAACTGAAACGCGATACATAAAATGATATAAATATTTTATATATCTTAATTTTTAATTATTATTTTTGTAAACAAGGCAAAATTTTCGCAAAAAATATTAAATTTTTTCCAATTCGCGTCGCTTACTCGCTCCATTTAATCTCCGATTCAATCGATTCAGCAACGCGTGAACTATTTTTCAGCATCAATAAATGCCTACAAAAAATTCTGGGCAAATCTAGATATTTTAAAAATCTACATCTTGTTTATCAGTGTAAATCATATATGATTAAAAAATTGAAATGAATATGATATATTTTTTCGTTCAACTGAAAATTATTTATTTATTAAGCAAGTTTGAAAAAAAATTTTGAAGACAAATCAATTTAATAAAATTAACTAGTTTTATTATAGTTCTATAGAAATTAAAATTGAATATTTTTCGTCAACAAAAACAATCATTTTTATTAAAAAAGATCACATCAGCGGTTTAAATCATACAACAATAATCATTGTTTGACAAGAGGGAGGTGAGAATCGTATTTGTACAGAACTTGAGGAATGAAATTCAGTCTAACTCTAGCGCCGGTGGTCATGGCCGCCTTCGTGCCCTCCACCGCCGCCCCCATGTCCGCCGCCTCCATGCCCGCCTCCTCCGCCGCCTCCACCACCTCCGTGGCCTTTCTTCTTGTGGTGGATATAAACGGTTTTGGTGTGGGTGTGCTTCTTCACAAAGTACGGGACGTGAATCTTGATGTGAACACTGAAAATAATTTTTACATCAGCAACCAAACGTAATACAAATATAATTTAAAATTTCTGAAAATGAATTAATAAAAAAACAAACATCTGGAAAATTACTCACTGATCTTTCTTGCCTCCACCCCCAGCTTCACTGAGTGTAATAGCTATAGCTGCAAGCAGCAACACAGCAAGCTGTAAAATTGAAGAGAGAGAAATGCATTAAAAAATAGTTAAAATCAGAAATTACACTAAATGAGACGTTTATAAAATGAAATAAAATAGTATTCATAGTATTGCACATGTTGGAATTTCATCTTCAATTTAAATGTTTTACTTAAAAAAATGAACAACAAAAAATTTGAAAACGAATATAAATTTTAAATAAAAAAATTTAAAATTTTTTTATATTCCTTCTTTACTGAGAAAAAAGCTGCACTCAAAACTGGTATATGATGTAGAGCTATGTAAATTGCAGTCAAAGGAAATTACAATTAAGTTATATTTTATTTAAATTATTTATCTGCAAAAAATTGATTCAAATAATTTTACTCTACCCGTTATTTTAGTTTTTATTACTTACCAGTGTCTTCGTAGACATTCTGGAGAGCTGTGCGTCGTTCGACGAAAAATGAAGCGAAGTGCATCGACTGTCAAAAATGCACTACCCTTTTATACGAGCCCGCCTCGGAGTAGTGGAGAGCCTTTTCTATATAACGTTGATTTATTCACTCGAGTGCCGCGCACTCGATCCCCACTATATCTAATTGTCAAGGACGAGCGACCATTGGCGAGGTGGATGAAAAAGAAAAGTGACAAAAAACAATGAGTGCCATGCGAAATGCACTCTATCTCTTTTTCGTACGAATCGGCCGGCCGGGTAATAGAGCGCGGCGATCGCACATTTGACGCACGCCACAAATCGAGATCACTTTCCCGAACAATGAGCATCTCTCTCATTGTTGTGCGCCAAACTGCTTGGCCAATCCAGCTGCTCCCGAGGCGTGTGTCAGGTGGGTGACCGCACTAAAAATTCACACGCCTTTGTCGCACCTTGTTGCAACTGCTGCAGATTGAAAAAACGGAGACTTATGAAATGGAGAGTGCAACTAATCTGGGTTAGGTAACGCAGATGTTGGTCCACAAGAGAGCGTTGAAACGAATTAAATTATAGTGATGCGAGTCATTAGCAAAACGACAAACTGAATATTATATTTTAGTTGTGTTTCTGGAAAATAAAAAAATTATATATATTGTGTTCCTTTTAGTCTTAAAAGTAAATCATGATTGTTATCATACCAATTTATCTGTTTGTTTCTAAATTTTGCTCAATTAATGCTAATCTAATTCGTTTGTTTGCAACTTTGAAGCAAAATTCAATACACGCGCGTTTAATGAAATTAAATATAGCATATAAATAAAATATTTTTTTATTATATATAATAAATGAAATAATAAACATAAATTGTATTTAATTCTAATTAAATATTAGATAATTATTTTACTGTATAAACTGCCATAAACATTTAATGGATATAAATTTTACTGTAGTGCAGTAGATAATTAATTAGCATTAGGAATTTTTTATTTTATTAGTTTTAACCTTTTTTTTCAATATGTTTGTGATATCTAGTGACAGCTTGCGGTATGCTGTGAATGGGCTGCACTGGTGCACCAGCAAGCACTATTTTCGCTTCTTTGCTTTTACAAGAGAAAGGTAGCCCGCAGCTTGAAGAAAAGGAAATTTGCGTTGCGGTGTTTATTTTTTTACTTTACTATAAAGAACATTATGTCACCTCAACAGCCAAGTCTATTGTGTATTATTTGAGGTTTAACGAACTCAGAGAAAGGGAGGTTTGGAAAAAATTGTTATTTTTATTCCCCCTTTGTTTTTGACTGAAAAATTTTCCTTTGGATGTTTATTCCCGTTTATTCTAAAAAATGTTTAGCAAGAAAAAATTCAGAGGTAAAATTTTTCTATGAAATATTTTATTAAGAACAGAGTTGAAATATAAATAATAAGAATGAAAACTTGAACAATAGTGCAAAATCACATTATTTGTTGTTCAGTGTTTCATCTCAACACATAGAAGCAGGCGAGCAGGGTGAGACCAATGGCGGAGGGCACGGCCAGGACAACCACTAGTCACCTGCGCCAACTGTGGTGGTCCTTGTGGCTGTAACTGTCCGCGTGCGCCGTGTGGTGGTTCCACGAGTTGCTGTCTGAACCGTCGTACCCTGACGAGTCCTCGTGCTTGTCCTCGTGATGGAACGATTTGTGTCCGTCGCCCGAATCGTCACTTTCGTGGTGGTGGTGCTCAGGGTGGTGGTGATTGTCCTCGAGGCTCATCCCGAAGTGGTAATGATGATAATGATGATGGCCATCGTCATCCCCAGAGTGACCTCCGCCGTTTTCTTCAGAGGATCCGTGATGGTCCTCACCTGACCCTGAATGTCCGCCTCCACCACCAGAATGACCCCCGCCATCATGGTGGTGACCAGAGTCACCTCCACCCCCATAGTGGTGACCTCCTGAGCCATCTCCGCCTTCATGGTGATGACCTCCGCCCCCATAGTGGTGATGACCTTCAGAGCCCCCACCGCCATGATGGTGTCCTCCTGACCCACTTCCTGAGCTTCCACCTGAACCTCCGTGTCCTCCGCTGCCGTGACCTCCCGAACCGCCTCCGCCGCCCCCAGATGAGTGACTTTGGTCTGAGTTGTGTGAATGGTGAAAATTGTAGTGGTGACCACCGTGGGTCACTTTGGGCTCTTCTTTGTCCCAGACGTGCTTGTAAATGGTGTGCAAGTGGTGGATAACTTTAACTTTGTACGGTACATGGATTATGATTTTCTTCCTGAAAAATGTGAATTTGATAAAAAAAAAAATTATAACCAATAAGTGGCAAATTGTAAATGAAAAATTAGTACATAATATTTTGTATTTTATTTTCAGCAATAACTATAGGCAAATTTTAAATTACTTTCAATAAAAAAAAAAAAAAAAAAAAAAAAATGGAAAAAAAATGGAAAAAATTGGAAAAAATATTACATTTCAAAGAATACACTTTTATATAATGAAATAATTTTTTTGTATTTTTTTAAATCAAAAGAAAATGATAATTGTTAAAAATAAATTATTAACTTACTTTTTTCCTGACACGGAAACGATGCAAACAAGTAATATTGGAACCTAAAACAAAACAAAATAATATAATAATATTAATAATATATAATATTATATTATTACTGTTCATTGGGTGAAAAACAGATCTGATACAAGTTTCTTAATTAAAATAGCTTTGTTCCATATAAGTTCTGGTGATAAAATGAAAAAAAGCTTATAGATGGTTATAAAAAAAACTAGTTCAGTCACATAATTCTGAGTTAAAAGTAATATATATGAAAAAAAAACTGTTTTGATTAAAATTATATTAATGTAAAATATTAAAAAAAAATTATATATAAAAAATAAAACTCGTGTAGCACGTTTGAGAATTTTACACACGAACACAATCACTGCACACAGGAGCCATCACAACGTTTTACATGAAAATGCAGAGCATCTTGAACTCACCAGGAGCACTAATCGCATTTTGTCGCCGACTGAAAGGCCGCAAGGTGTAGCCGAGTACTTTATAGACCACTCGACTTAGTACCACCGTGGACCATTGGACGTGTCTCTGGTCGTGTACAGGAAAAGATTCATCTGGATTACGCTTGAATAGGCCTCTCCTCGCACGTTGTTTTCTTGTCAATAATCGGCGACTGATGCAATTTGGTCCGCGGCGGAGCGCGCCAAATTTCACTCGTCCGTCCACTCTGATAAATTTGTAAAAAATTGATTTGTTCCTTGAATTGCACGCGCCACTTTCTGACACTGTGAACTTGACTGATCAATTTTCATTACTTGACCTGCAAAATCACTGTTCTTGAATTTTCTAAAAATTTGATAGACAAGCGAGTTGAACCAAATTCGATGGGCCTTTAATATTTGTTTCTGCTTAACCATTCCAAAGTTTCACTGGGTGCGAAGTTCTTCCTTTTGATTCCGCTCCAAATCGTACAATAATGAACAATTACTTGCGGCGGTAAAAGTAAATTCTTTTTGTTCAACGCTGCACTTGCGAAAATCTTTTGAGTAAATATGACAATTTAAATTTTCTTTGTACATTTTAGGTTCATTGAACGTTTCCTCAATCACCGCTTGACGAGATATGTGTGCATGGCAAATTTTACCATTGACAAAAAGCTTACCATAAATAATTCAGAGATTGAATGATGAAACAGCGCGGCTTCTCTGAGCAGCGCAATCAATAAGGTTTTTCTGATAACAAAAAGCAATGAAAGCAAAAGCTGGATACTTTCCATTCAATATTTTATCGTTTTGACATTAATTACATCTAATTGCATGGCAATTTTTTGCGCTGTGTTATATTTTATGAATGAGCAAATTTAAATGTAATCGTAAGCATGAAAAAAAATTTAAAATTATTTAGTAAAATTAAACAAGTTTCATTTTTATCAACAAAGAAAAATTGTAGAATCATGGCAAGTTAATTAATTTTCTGGGATTCTACAGGGTTTTGTTAGTGTTAATGGAAAAGCACAGAAAATATCACAATACAATAACAAAACAAGGAGTAAAATTGATTCTTGACTTTTTCATCAGCTAAATTATTTTATATCTTACATAAATTGAATAAATGTTTTACAAAATAAAAATTTTATATTTTGTTTTGTTTTGCAGAAACAAAGTTTCAGAAAAATAAAGACATTTTTTTTCTTAGTGTATTTATTCAGATGAAAATACGCAATTCTAATGACGGGTATAAACGATACACAATGAGCAATTTTATTAAATCTATTGACATTGCAAAAATATTAAACTTTTTACTATTTGCAATTTTTGCGCATATCATATCAATTTTCAATACACATTTAAGTTCATTTTTTTTTAAGTGCACGTAATATAATATTTGCAGAAACCATCAATTATTTCAATCCTTGGTCGAAAATTATATATTTTTATTTTGTTTTTATTTTTCAAGCCAGAGCGCATGCAACCAATTAATTAAACCCACTTAAATAAATTTCGCGTTGCTCCGAATCTCGTTCGCGCGCTCGCCATAGTGAAAGGTTAACGATTCCTCGCTAAGGATTCCCAAACATTCATCATTTACAATAGAGGAAAGGGAAAAGTCACTTACTTTCTATCAAGAAAAGAAGACGAAATTTGTTTGCCTCTCCTGTCACGTACATGACCAGCCAATAGAACTTATTTTAACACGGCGTTTGGTGATCTTGAAAAGATTCCAAAAGAGACGCGCGCGCTCTCCGAGAAAAAGTTCCACTCGAGTGACCAGAGAAATGCAGAGCACCTTGGTCACGATTTTCATATATTCAAATTAATGAGCTCTGAAAATTTATCTGTCATTGCCAAGAGAAGTTATATTCCAACAAACATGCACTCAAGATTTTGCCAAATAAAATAATTATTATATTTCAACGTTCTTGAAAATTGTTAATTGTCTTCATAATTTTTCTTTAATTTTCAATAAAATATTTCATTTGCCAAATTAATGTCTCACAAATTAATTTTCTGCATTCAAAAATAATTTCAATAAATTTTTATATTATTACGCAAAAACTAAACTTATTTTAATTTTAAAAAATAAAAAGCTTTTAATCCCATTACAAATAATTCAAGCAACTGTCAAAGGTTGTTTTGTTTATGAAAAGTGAATTCTAAATATTTTATTACAATTTTTACTTGAAAAGATGTCGTTCTATAATTATGAGAATCAAAATTAATTTTTGCTAGATCGACAGTCTTAAGGAGCCAAAGTGCAAAATTGAGATTGTGTCGTCATTGCCCCCCATGGCATATTAGTGAGCGTGTAACCCCATGAACCGTAGCTGTGTGGTGATAAACATTGACCCCGGTGAGGTCAACTGTTCATATTTGTAATCCACCGTTGCCAAGTCGATTGAGAAATTAAAAATCAACAGCAATGAGAAGAAAAAAAACACAAAAATAATAAAATGCAAAAATTTTCCTTGCTTGAATTTATTGTTTGAATATAATGATAGGTAAATCAAAGTATTGCCCCTATCAATATAATGTATATACGTTACGTATGTATAACTTACTAAACAGACTACTATTTGCAAGTAACGAAAAATAAAAATTTAAATTTTTTCAAAAAATATTTTAATTATTCAGCTTATAAAAAAAAAAATATAATTTTTTATAAATAAAATATGTAATAAAAAAAATTTATGTTTGTTTAAAACTTTTTAAATTTTAGACATTAAACTAAAAATGTTTAATAATTATTTATGATAAAAAAATTCTTAATTTTTATTTTATATTCCTCATTCAGTTCGATGACGCGGTTGACCCACCGTGCTATTGGCAACCCTGCATGCAGTCTCACATTGTAAACACGCCGGAGTGCAGCGAAGACAAGAAGCGGCGGATTGACTCAATCAGTCGACTCCAATCTGTCCGATAATATTTGCTCTAGTTTCCTCGCAGCAGGATGGTCGTGTGCTCCATCATCGTCCGCAGGCTCGGCGCAAACAGCGTCCGGAAACTCGGCGTCGGACACATTTTGGGCCGCAGCTCGGCGCTCCGTGTTCGCGGGGTCACCTCCACCCCGGTCAAATTCGCAGGTACGTGACCTTGTGGTCAAAACTCTTCGAGTTTGAATGAAAACCCTGGTTTAATTTCGCAGAGAGGAAGTACACGGACAAACACGAATGGGTGCAGGTGGACGGAAAGATCGGCACCATCGGCATCACAAATTACGCCCAGGTGAGATGGCAGGAAAAAACAACAAAATTTTATTGGAATATTACGTAAGGACCGATTTATTTTATTATTTTTCTCTCTCAGGACGCCCTTGGTGACGTTGTCTATGCACAATTGCCGGATCCCGGACAGGAATTCTCACAAATGGGTTGGTATTATTTTGACAAAGTTTGAAATTCCAAAAAAAAAATTAATTTGTCATTTATAAATTTCACAAATTTAAAGACAATTTTAAAGCTTCCGCATCAAAAATAAATATTAAAAAAAGGCCCATTTGACAGTTCAAAGTAAGTTCTCTTCTATTGTGCAATTTGAAAGCTTTGAGAAGAACCATTCGAAGATTCCAAAATTTCTAGCGAGTTGAAATGTATCAACACAATAATAGTCTTTTTAATGTTTTTAATTTTAGCAAGTACGCAAGTGTACTAATTTTATCAGGCATAAAGCCAGGTTGCAGCTGAAAAAATTATCAAATCTAAATTCAGAAAGCCTAATCTTATCTTAAAGAGTACACAAAATCATTGTGGTCCATTGAAAAAGATTGCATTTTTGTGGTTTTACAATTTTACAATTCAAAGTTCACTATTTTTAAGCCCGTAATTTTTCATTGTTTAAAATTACCAACTCTTTACCAAAAAGTTTCTTGTCAGCAAGATTATTGAAAAGCAAACAGAATCGCCAAAGAAGACTCAAACTTAACTTATGAAAAATTTATTCCAATTAATTTTAATTTTAATTTGAAGTAAAAATTTAAAATCTTTTTCATTTATTCAATGAAAATATTTTCCTATTGTATATTTTAAGGTAAATCTTCAATAATTTGTTGGTAAAATTACAGACGAGTGTGGTGCCCTTGAGAGTGTGAAGGCGGCCAGCGAGTTGTACTGCCCCGTGTCAGGCAAAGTGGTTGCCAAAAACACCGAAGTAGAGGAAACCCCAGGCCTTATCAACAAATCGTGCTATGAGAAAGGTCAATATTTTGCTTCATTGCCCGCCCATAACTCTTTGTTAGGCAAAGAGCAGCACTTTTATGCCGTGCAAGTTGCATAACTGACAACGAGGCTTTGAAAGCTTTAGTTGCTGGAGTTCTTTGTTTGATTCATTGAGGACAGAGCCATCTCTCTAATTAAACTTTGTTTTTTTTCGTACACCAATAAGTTTATATTTAATTTTGCTTTAATTCTTGATAAAAATAAAATCAATTCTCTATTGAAATAAATTTGAATTTATTTCAAAACTTTGATTTTTGAAATTTTTATGCATCAATTTTGATGCCATCTCTGTGCATTTATTGATAATTACTCTCTTTATTTTATTGAAGGTTTCAATATCTAATGTGCAATTCAATTTTATTTACAGGTTGGCTGTTCAAATTGGAGTTGAGCAAGTTGCACGAACTGGACGGCCTGATGGACGAGGCTCAGTACGAAAAGTTTCTGAAGACTGATGATCACTAGTGCCTCTCCGCCGTCCTCCTGATTCCGATTGCTGGGCCTCCGACTCGTTTTCATGCATCAAAACCGCCCCCTGATCGAGTAGCAATCCAGTTGTTAGAGTTCCTCAGTCAAACACATTGATTTTAGTCGTCGTGCGAGAACATTCTGTGATAGGCAGCCAGCAACGTGAGTGTCATTTTTGTTACCTGTTGCATTTTTTTTGTTTCACCGACAGTGGGGTTGAATTTAATAAATATGATCAAGTCGTTGATTTTGAACAATTAACACGAGTCTTCTTACATTATGAAAAACGGTGTAAAGTACATTTTTTATTAATCGATGGCAAAGGCCAAGGGTAACGTCGAACTTTTGAGTGTCTGGTGATGCCCATGTGGTGTTGACATGACTGCTGCAAACTCATTGACCTCGGTGGTGTGCAGGATGCTGAAAATTGCATAACTTATTTTATCACCTAATAAAAAGTTTCTAGAAGTTTGAACCAATAATTTTAATTCTTAAATTAATTATTTTATCAAAAATAAAAAATTATTTCTACTAATATATTTTAAATTATGTTTTCACTTCAAATTGTTATTAAATTTTGTTACTTAAATTGTTTATTAAATTAGCATATATTATTTGCGAGTTTGAAATTTCCATGTGGTGCCCAAACCGGATTAGGTCGTCATGGATAAATTTGCACTTCCATTTCTCTAGCAACTGTTCCCACAGACGTCATCGAGGAAAACAAGAAATTTTCCATTCACAAAAAGTCCAAGCACAAGTAACAAGTCATGATCACCACATCCTGTACATCAAATTTGTCGCTATTGTCGTTATAAATTATCAGTCGTCCTTTAAAGAAACTTTAAATGAGTGTTTGGTTCGTGAAAACTAAGAAAAATAATGGCTTTTTTTTATTTTTGAGTTATTTTAGGTTTTAAACTTTTATTAAATTTGACCGCTTGAATTAAATAATGCTGAGTCGATGTGTGAAGAGTCTGCGATGACGTCACTCATCAGCAGACGTAGTTTGCTGCATTATTATTTGCCAAGTAGTTTCGCGAAAATTAAAAAGAAGTAATAACTGCAGAGTGCAGACTTGCGTCAGAAGATGATAAAAAGAAAAGAGTTGTTAAACTTGCTTTGTAATTCAATTTTCTTCTCCTTGCCGTCCCCAGCTGCCAAAATCGAAAAATTATCCGGATATTACCCTCTCTGGAGAGGATAATATCCGGATAAAATTCAGTTTTGGCAACTGGGGGTGTAGCAATATTTTATTATATTTTATTTTTTCCAATTTTTCAGTGGTGGAAATTTTATATTAAACAGAAAAATTATTGCCGAATATGCCAAAATATTTTAAAGCACGCTTTAATTTTATGGAGGGCAAATCGCCCTTCCTCTCCAGAAGCATTCCAGGAATCCGTTTAATGAAATATTTCCGCGGCCATAAAGCGACTTGCATAGGCACGATGGCGTGAAAAACTCCGCAGTTGCATAGGAAGTACTTACAATACACGCGCTGTAGATGAATAGGAAACATCGCTGACCTATTTAAATTGATCTCAACTATCTCAACTTATTGTTTCGTGAATGGGAAACGAGAACTAATAGAATTAATAACAAACATTTCTTCACTTCTACTGAGGAACTAAAAAATGGAAGCAGCATTTTTCTTTAATTATTTTTACATAGCGTATTATGAATAATATTGTTTAAAGATCATTGATCGATGTATTCCATAGTTAATATTTATTATACACTTGTTTAAGTTTTATTTTTGTTTTTAAATTTATAAAAACCCTTCAAAAATACAAAATAATACAATTAAAAACTGTGATCTACATTTATAAAGAAAAGCACAAACATCTAATTGTAAAAGGCTATAATCACACACTTAAAATTATTTTTGGCACACGATTAGCTGCGGTTGGTGAATATTTGAATAGTTATTTGCGGTTATTTGTAAGATCAATTTTTGTACTATTTGTTGTCAAAAATTTTTCACAGCTCATGAATTATGGCTGCAGCCCGCAGCCGAAACATGCAGAGCAGGATATTGTTTTTTCTTAAACAATAAAAACTCACAAAATCCCACCGAGGAAAAGCCGAATTTTAAATTCAAATCACCATAAGTAAAAATATTATATTGCAAAATTAATTTTCAAATTTGTCTTTTGCTTTTAATTAAATAAATATTAGAATCTATAACTTATACTTTTATAAAGAAAATGCAGTCTGTTGCCGGTTGTTTAAAATATTGACCATAATAACGTTTTAAATAATGCTCTTGTTTTTCTAGAGATTAATGGAATAAAAAATCTTCTTATATTGCAGGCATAAAAATATACTTTTTGAAGCTGTTTACTATATGCCTCAATTTCAGGATCAATTTGTACTGTTTATTAAGAGAACTACCAATTTAAAGTGCATAATAATCCTTTCATACCTATTCATTTGATAATCTCAAAAATATTACGCAACGAACTATTTTGGTAACAAAGTTAACCGCGGTAGATAGTGAATTTCTGGGAACTGCGCGTCAAAGACGGAAATAATGTAGGTTAGACGCGAGATTTGGGCAAACGAGTGAGAAGTGAGACTCGGTGGCGCGGCGCAGCTGCACCAGTGAGCGCGCCGAGTCGCGGATGGCGCGAGCCAAAAGCATAAAAGGCCTGCGCAAGCATATCGAGCGTTTCAGTGGCTCAGTGGCCAAGTCGCACTGCCAGTCCCTCCGAGTCCTCCGACGCACGCAGACATGGGTGGCCCCGAGCAGCAAGTGTTCCACCCGAACGCGAACATCGTCCGCAAGGCGCACTGTTCCTCGATGGAACAGTATCGCCAGATGCACGCCCGTTCCCTGGAACGGCCCGACGAGTTCTGGGGCGAAATCGCCGAGCAGTTCCACTGGGAGGCGCCTGTCAAGAGCAATTTCTTCAGCTACAACTTTGACATCAACAAGGGGCCCATCTCAATCAAGTGGATGGAGGAGGCTTCCACCAACATTTGCTTCAACCTGCTCGACGTGAACATTCAGAAGGGCCTGGGAGACAAGGTGGCGTTTTACTGGTGAGTTGAAAATAAATTTTAATTTTAAGAAGAAGACAAAAGTACAATTTTTAATGCAATTGAAAGTGAGTAATAAAATCTCAACTTCAATATTTTGTTAAATTTAGGTAATATTTTTTAGAAGAAAAACAATACAAAAGCATAAAAATTGTTTGGAATTACCGATAAAGTCGCATGAAATATTTGCAGAAATGGGTAAATTTGCTGTCATTCCAGATTCCGCGTTCCGATTTATTTGCATTCACAAGGCAAGAAGGAAATGACAGTGTTTAATTTTATTACGCACGTCACACTGCCTATTGATGTGCATTACTGTCAACAAATAATAATTACCTCAAGAAGAGATAGAAAAATTTCAAACAAAAATTAACACAGGAAAGTTAGTTTTATTTGATCACATAAGCTTTTCAACTTTTGAACTTTGTAAAATAAGAAAATATTAACTTATTGTTTGATAAAACTTTTGTCCTTGCTTAATTTTTATGTTTCACAATATGCATTGTTTTTTAAGAGGAGATATTTTTATTTAATCTCAATGGTCCTTGCCTTCTTTTCATTCTTGGCATTCTTTAAGTATAAATCAAAAATTAAAAATATTTAAATCTATACTGCAAGATGTTTGGTTGAATAAAAATTAGATTGTGGTTTAAAAAATTGACATTTGTATTTGGCAAAATTATTGAAACTTAATTATGAAATCTACTATGCACTTATTATAAAAACCAAATTAAGGTTTTTGCTGTTTTGAATTTAATATTTTAGCGAGAAGGATCGTGATTTGCATTTTCTTTGCCATTCTCTCTTCTGTCTTGTACCGAGCATAAATTTTCGCTCACGCTGACAAGAGAGACCCCCAGCAATCTTCAAAGCTTATGTTTTTTGCTTTCGAGTGAATGTAAAAAGCCCAGAATAATTTGTCAGGCGAAGTAGGAATAAGAAAGAAAAAGGAATAAGGCCGTGGTGGCGCAGCTTCTGGCTTGAATGGGAGCGAAATGGATAATATCGATTTTAGATGCTGACCCACCTACGTCAGCGCACTGCTGACTGCAAAAAGGTCACGGGGGTTGCCAGCATCTGCGTGGGTGCTGGTGGTTTCCTGTGCTTCCGATTTGGATTTTTTTTTTCATGAACCTTTTCAACGTAAATTTTTCTTTCAAAATTTGAACAAATAAAAAAACCTATATTTATTTATTTAATATTATATTTATGTTTAATTTAAGTTGTGTTAGTCGACTGTGGGGAAGGGAAACAATTGCTTGTAGTGTAGGAAATGTACTTCGCAAGGCGAGTGTCATGCAAGCGATTTGCCTTGAAAGTGCTTTACTTATCGCGCCCAATCATACCCACTGTTCAAATGTGGAAAGTCGTCGCTCGTTCATTAGTTTGATTCCGTGATCTTAACTGCCTTGATTATTGCAGTTCCCTTTTTCTTGTCCACCAACTTTTATTTACCTTCCGTTCTATTCTCAAAGCCAAATGTAAAAGTCCACCAGAGGTTTAACACAAAATTTAAGTAAAAAATAAATTTATTTTGTGGAATCGTTTTTTTTTTGTTATTGTTGGGCAAAATTTGTTTTCCAACTTTTTTTTACTCCGCAGTGTTTTGTTTGATCCGTGTTTGATCAATAGTTCTGACGCACAGGCACAAATCAAAATCCATAAATATGAACTATAACCTTTGAAAAAATAGAGATAAATATTAAAAAAGCTATATTTTTTTTATTAGATAGATTAAAAAATAAAAATCTATCCGACACGCCGCCGCAAATTCCCACGTGGTTATTTCTATTTCACGCGATATAAGGGTAAACAAAGTTGACAATTCCAACGCGTCGTCGACATCAGACGCAAAGTAAGACAATATTTCATTGTGACGCTGCATTGATACTGTAAGGGGATTTCCCACTCGGGATCGATGTTGGCTGCAGCAAATTAAGTGTGCTGTTCCCCTCTCTGATTGTTGTCGCGAATGTTTGTTTGTTCTTTGCATTAAGCGTAACAATTTGCACATCAGAGTGAAATTGGAAGGAAATGGGCCATTAAAGCTCTGGGCTCTGAAAGGGTTTTGAAAGGTGCGGTATAAATAACTAAAAAGACGATTCTCGCTAATTTTCAAAGGTCTTTTTAGATAATTCATTTCAATTCAAATTGCAGTCAGTAGAACTTCAATTTGAATTTCAATAATAATCAATAAAAAGAAAATTTATTTTATTAATTTTAAAGTTGCACAGAATTATAATTTTATTTTTTAATGATTCGCCATAAAGAATTTTTTCAATTATATTTTCAGGGAGGGAAACGATCCTGAAGACTACACTAGGGTCACCTACAAGAAGTTGTTGGAACATGTTTGCAAGTTCGCAAATGTGCTCAAATCGCACGGCGTCGAAAAAGGCGACCGCGTGGCCATTTACATGCCGATGGTGTTGGAATTGGTGGTCACCATGCTCGCCTGTTCCAGAATCGGCGCCGTCCACTCGATAGTGGTGAGTACTCATTACCCTTATAATTTACAATGCGCATTAACTTGCGTCTCATGGTTGCAACTGTTGAACTTTCAGATCACCAAGTTCAAATGATGAAAAGTTATCTTGTTTAACTAGGGTCTAACGATTAAATTTTTACAGTTTGGTGGGTTCTCTGCCGATTCCTTGGCTGAAAGAATGCACGATTGCAGGGCGAAAATTTTAGTCACTGCTGACGGCGTCTGGAGAGGCGACAAATTGCTTCATTTGAAGGAAATCTGCGACACAGGTAATTTATATTTAAAAATTTAAATTTTATAAAAAAAGTCAGTCATAAATTTTAAAATAAAAATCTATTACAATGAATTAATTTTTTTTTATATGTGTTTGATTATAAAATTTTAGCTCTTGACAAATGCTCGAAAATCGGCCACAACGTTGAAAAATGCATCGTGGTGTCTCACCTGACCAGATTGAGCAACGCGCACACACAGAAAACGCCAGGCATGAAACCACCCGTCCACAAAACGCCATTCACGCCAGGACGCGACCTGTGGTGGGACGACGAGATGAAGGGTGCCTCGAACTTCTGCTACCCCACCTGGGTCGATGCTGAAGACCCCCTTTTCATGCTTTACACCAGGTAATTATTTTTTGAATGAAGACGATTCCAAAAACTGATAATGAAACGCAAAAAAAGTGGGTCGACGGGAAAGCCCAAAGGTGTTCTGCACACAACCGCAGGCTATCTGCTTTATGCTGCAACGACCTTCAAATACGTCTTCGACTACCACCCTGGTGACACGTACTGGTGCACTGCCGACATTGGTTGGATCACTGGACACACCTACGTGGTTTACGGACCACTTGCCAATGGTGCTACTTCAGTCATGGTAAAATTTTAATTTTTAATTTTTTTATTTGAAATAATTTTATGTTTCACAGTTTGAAGGAACTCCCTTCTACCCCCACAATGGCCGTTACTGGGAGGTGATTGAAAAGTACAAGATCAACCTCTTTTACACTGCACCAACCGCTATCAGGGCCCTGATGAAGTTCGGAGACGAACCTGTCAAAAAGTAATTTTCTAAATAAAAATAGTGTCTTATTTAATCATTAAAGAGAATTTGAAATAATTTAACTTAAACCAACTGATTATATAATTAATATTTTAATTTGCTATTTTATATATTTTTAGATTCAACATGTCTTCATTGCGAGTGCTTGGTTCTGTTGGTGAGCCCATCAATCCTGAGGCCTGGCTTTGGTATTACCGCTTGGTAGGACAAAACAAGTGCTCCATTGTTGACACTTTCTGGCAAACGGAAACTGGAGGGCACGTCCTCACACCTCTGCCCGGGTGCACTCCGATGAAACCTGGATCTGCTGTGAGTCTCTTTTATGACAGATTTTTTTTTATTTAATCAGGCACTCTTCAACTGCAAAAAATCCTTTTGTGGTAAAGAACACTTTAATAAGTAAAGCCCCTTGCGGCATCTCAATTAGGCAACGAGCCAAGCACAGAGGCTTTGCGGGTTGCATTCAGCAGTGAGGCAGGGGCGCTTGACATTCCTTTGTACTTTCAAAACGTTTCTTTGATGATGTGCTGAGAAAGGTCAAGGCTTCTGGAGCACTTGAGATATATATTTTTAACTTTTCAGACATTCCCATTCTTCGGAGTTCAACCCGAGTTGCTGGACGAAAATGGAAAAATCATCAGGGGCCCTGGCGAGGGCTACCTGGTCTTCAGCAAACCCTGGCCAGGAATGATGCGCACCCTTTTCGGCAACCACGACCGTTTCGAAACCACTTACTTCAAAAAGTTCCCTGGCTACTATTGCACTGGAGATGGTACTTATAAATAATTTTTTCCTTTTCATTTATTTATTGTGGTTGGAATTTTTGTAACTTTTTATATCAGAAATACTTTCATTGAGTTTTTAAGTTTTTTAAAAATTTTAATGAATTTATAAATTTAAAAAAAAATATATTATTTAAGGTGCAAGGAGAGATGAAGAGGGCTATCTCTGGGTTACTGGTCGCATGGACGACATGCTCAATGTTTCTGGACACTTGCTTAGCACTGCCGAAGTTGAGTCTGCACTGGTCGAGCATCCTGACGTTGCCGAGGCTGCCGTCGTTTCCCACCCCCACGCAGTAAAGGGCGAGTGCCTTTACTGCTTCATCACTCCCAACGAAGGAGTTCACTTCTCCACCACTCTTGTTGCAGAACTGAGGAAAAAAGGTTTTTTAACTTTTTTTAATTTAATTCTTTGTTTGTAACATGAAAATTTGTACTTTTAGTTCGAGAGAAAATTGGCCCATTTGCCTCACCCGAGGTGGTCCAGCACGCCCCTGGCTTGCCCAAGACTAGGTCAGGCAAGATCATGCGCAGAGTGTTGAGGAAAGTTGCCTTGAATGACCGAGATGTAGGCGACACCTCCACTTTGGCGGACGAAGGCATTGTTGAGGCCCTTTTCAGCAACAGACCTCCAGAGGCATCAAAATTGCTGAAGGCTTGCTAAATATTTTGCCAAATCGCTGTTCAAATCCAAATCTCATTGCCTGCTGGCAGGGTGTTAATCTCATTTAAATTTTAAGTGCTATATTTTATTTCAGAGAAGTTTCAGTTTATGCAGGCATATAACAACAAACAAGATTTATTTTTAGCGTACAATGAAAATTAATGCAGACAATATTTTGTGATGTTTGGTCTAGAGAACGAAACGGCCATAACTTAAGATTATTAAATTATAAATAATGTTGTCTAGAGTGGAGCTCAGCTGTGAGAGTAATGTTGCATTTAGTTCTAAGTTTATGGTTGAGGTGAAAGATGGTATGTTAAAATTACGGAGCAAAAATATGTTAAATAATCATATAAATGTATTTGGTAATAGTTGGCTGAAAAATATATAATCATGTTGTATAAATGTTGAAATGTAGCCAAACGACCAAAATGTTACAAGCATTTAATCGCACTTTATTCATATACATATCAGCGTCTGATTGATGCTAGATAGCTACCAAATTTATTTTTGACCACCTATTTATCTGATAAGTAGTTTGATAAGTTAATGGCAGCTTTCGTTGCGGTGATAAAATTGAAAAGATATTTTTTGGGGATCATTCTGGTTGCAATATAAATACGTTTAGGCAAATTTTAATTATTATACTGCTTATGAAAAATATTCTAATTAAACTATGAATTGTTCCATTTTAACAGCAGACCATTCTATTCAGAATTGTTGATTGCACACACCATGTTAATGTACGCACAACCTCAAGAACCTAATATTTTTTTTTTTAGAGGCTATAATTTTTAGGAAAAAGTAAAGAATAACAAAAGTCTGTTAAAACGACTACTATTTTGAATGTTATTTTACGTGTACTGGTACATTCTCTTGCATGGCTGTTTGATCAAAGTTGTCTAAATATGAAAAGGAAATCCACCACCGCAGCCAGAGCTGTGTTATCTATGATGAAAAATAAAAAAAAAATGCAATGCAAAATACATTGAAGTGAATATGGAAAAATGCGTCTTATTTAAAATTCAATCTGTATATTTAAATAAATATTATATCATAAAACAAAAAATCCTTTAAAGTAGCATTAAACACTTTGGACTACAAAAATTTTAACTTGTGTATTAAAAGTTTTAAAATTATTTTAAAATACATTACTTACACGCTACATGGTACTCTAACGACGTTACAAATATGTAAAAAGCTAGCAGACTAAGCGTTCTATTAAAAAGGAATGATTCAAAATAAAATTTACAACAAAAACTTATATTCTACACGATTCCACGTTTTTAATGTTTCGCGGATTTGCACCCTTGTTCCCGCCTGCCATCCCCACTCCCTGTGATGATGCATCACATAGTCAGACAAGCAGGGCTCAGTTCAATAGTAATCAGATGATGTGTGTTTGCTGATTTGTTCTAGACGTGTTTTGTGTTGTTTTGGTGAGAGTACAGTGCCAAAATAAAACTCAGTGACGTTTTTGTCTTGTGAAATTTGGACTGATCTTTAGAAGCTTAGGTGGATAGAAAGATTATACATGTATGATATTTTTTCGTACAATCATACTGAACATCTGGATCTGAACCTCATCTGCAGAAAAACAGAAGGTGTTGCCTGAAAAGTGATCAAAATACAAGTATTTTTCCTTCTAAACGGAGCCTTGTGAATGCTGATGAGCCGAAGAAAAGGTAAGACCTTTAAATTTCATTGTTGCTTTTAAGTTGAACATTATTAATTAAAATTTCGGCCCACTGAATAACGGTGTTAACAAAAAACTTCATAATTTAAAATTTTCTGTTATAAAATATTTGTTTACATTGCATAATTTAAAAATTATTTTATGATAAACCCTACAAAACCGAATAGAATAATTAAATTGAATTGAAAACAAAAACTTTATTGGCGATAATTTAGCGCTATTTTATTGATATTCACACACAGGGTATAATTAATATTGCAAATCGTAAATTATTTATTTACAACAACTTGAATGATCACTTTATACGCAAAGTCACAAACCCATTTTCTTCTCACTCACATCGCATTCAACTAAAGTTATTTCTACGCAATTATCACAAATGAATGTTCGTAGTCCGCACTTTTAATTGATTTCCGTGGACACTTTTTTATTCTTTCGTCTCGCGTTATTTTCAACGGACGGAGACCCCGTTGATGGTGACCGTGCTCTCCTGCCGCGTGGGCGTCGGCGAGGGCTCGTAGTGGCCGCTGTCACCACTGTCCCGGCGGCCACCCGCCATGGCCGCCTCGTAAGGCGTGTCGTACGTGTTCGTCTCGGCGATGTTCTCGTAGATGTTGGGCCCCCGGTTGTAAGGGTCGCTCAGGGTGGCGTACGACATGACGGCCGCACGCGTTTCCTCTTTCACCTCGGCGCCCTGAACGTTTTCCGAGTTCTTCACCGGCGTTGGTCGCCGCCTGAAGCAGCAATTAGAAACAAAATTATTGAAAATAATAAAATACAATCAAATTTATTTTTCATGAAAAATTGAATCAAAATTATCGTTGTTCTATGAATGTTGTTGATTTTATTCATCCAGTTAGATTTAGACCAATAATTTAAAAAAATTAAAATCGAAAAAATATTAAAATAATCAAAATAAATCAAACGATTTACTTGGAGAGCAGTTTTCCAGTTTACTACTTTCATCATATTTAATCAGGATGATTTGTTTTGGGACGTTTTTGTATTAAAGTATAATGCAACTCATGCAAGCTCAAACAAATCATTTGAGTAATAAATTTGACTTTGTTTAATATAAGAGTAAAAAAAAAATATAAAACTAGTCCATGCAAAAAAAAATTATATTATAAGCAAAGAAGCATAGAAACAATTTTCATATAAATTATAATTATATTATTTCCATAAAAATCCAATTTTTCAGATTTTATCGTATTTTGAAGAGATTTAAAAATTTTGATATTTTTGTGAGTTATACCTGAATAACATTACACAATCTATTTGTTATTTTATTGTGGTGAATTTAATGTAGTTGAATTATTTCACAAGTCAATATCAACATGGCAATTTACCAGGTATCCACAGGCTTCTGAATGTTCCTATTGTAATTTTTTTGTTTTTTGGCTAATTTTATTTCAATTTTTATATTTTAAGATATACTCACAGTCTCATGTAGAAAATTCCCAAGAGCAAAAGCAGGAAGAGCAAAACTCCGGCGCAGATTCCAATGATGAGTCCCATTTGCTGGGACGCCGCACTGTCCGCCAAAGACGCTTCTGCATATTAATATAATTTTTAACCCATGCTTGGTTCAGAAATGCTCAAATTACGTTCACAAGTGGGTTCGTCGCCGGACCACGTTCCATCTTCCTTGCACCGTCGCAGGTACTGCCCGACCAGTTTGTACTGCGGAATGCAGTGGTACTCGACAGGACTCAGGTAGACGGTTGTCTGGTTGGGCAGAACCACTCGGCCGTTCTCAATGATTCCTGGGTGGCCACAGTCCACGGCTAAATCGAGTTTGGACATTTTTAATCAAAAATTTATGAATTTTTTAAATGCTTACGTCTGCAGGCGGGTAAAAAGCCGCCCCAGTTTCCGCCGGGTAGGCAAACTCTGGTGTCGTTGCCCTCCATGTTGGAACCTCTAGGGCAGGTATACCTTGCCACGGCACCCACACTGTATGAGCTAACCTGGGCTATTAAACCATTCTCTTGGGCTGGCGGTGGGCACAGGATTTCTGAAGATTTAAAATAATTAAATATAAATTCTAATAGATCATCAACATATTTTAGAAGAAAAGAAATTATGTTACAAATAACGATCTTGGACAAATATAATTTCAATTACGTATAATTATAAAATTCACTTATCAAACCAAGCAATTGATTTCAATATATTGATCAATGTGATGAAATTTTTTTCCTGGAATTTTATTTATTTTGGAGAACAGTATATTCATCCTTTTTTTAAATTTTAATCAGACACAGTCTTAAGGAACATAAATTAAATAATTAAATTAATATCAAAAATTTTTTACATCCTAAATAATTATTTTAATAAAAAGAATGTTAATATAAAAATGAGGAAAGACTGATTAAAAACATTTTATAATAAAGTTGACTTTAAAGTTCTTATACAGGAAGTTTCTCTTAATTTACTAATCCCATAAGAGATTTTAGACAAACCTGTGCAAACAGGAGGTGAATGGCTCCACGATCCATTCTCCAGACACATGCGCCTCTCGTATCCTTCAATTTTGTAGTTTTTGATGCAATCGTAAAGCGCGACCACTCCATAGTAGGTGGCGTTGGAAGCCAAATTCATTCGTCCATTGGTAATTTCCTCTGGCTGGCCGCAATCCACATCTTAAAATTTCAATATTTAGCAAAAAGTCAACAATTTTCATAATTTTTTTAAACTGACAGACACACTGGGGCACATCGCCGCTCCACTCTCCGGCCTCCTCACAGGTCCTCAGTCCCTCTCCGATCAAACGATAGCCCCTTTCGCACCTGTACTTGGCCTGTGCGGAAATCTTGTAGGTGGCGGCAGAGTTGGCGGCACTTTCGGACGCGGTCCTTATCAAGGTTCGGCCGTACGCCCTGTCGTTTCCAGTCACGCTCAGAACAGCGTGTTCCGCCAAAACTGGCTCCGGGCAGCGAATTTCTGAACAAAATAATTTTTGTAAATTTTTTTCTAGGTACTTACAGGAAAAAAATTGACCATCCATTTTTGTTCTCAGTTAATAATTTTTTTTACCAATTTCTAGGGCTTGAAGATTAATTTAAAATTATTTAAAAATAAATAATGTAATTGAGATAAATTTTGAATTCGTTAGAATGTGGAAATCCGTACCTTCGCATCTAGGAGTGGTTCCGCTCCAAGTTCCATCTTCCTGGCAAATTCTCCTCGCCAGACCGCCGCTCAGTCTGTAATTTCTCACACAGGAGAATTCTACTTCGCTGTGGATGAAGGTGGTGTCGTTGAAGTATTTGATCGAGCCATATGGCACCGACGAAATCTTGCCGCAGTCAATAACTGAATAAAATTATTTTATTAAATTTCATTATATAGTTTTTGAAAATGCAGAAATTTTAAATTTTTTTTTTCGTTGAAATAATATAATTTTCTATCATTTATTATAAAATTATTACATTAAAATAATTTTAGAGGGAAAAAACTATAACTTGTAAAGCTTGATGAAATCATGAATTATATCTTTTCAGCAGATAGAACCATTTGAACAGCAAATCATTTATAAATTTCTTAAGAATTTTATGTCTTTATCATTAATTGATCATATTGTATCACATGATTTCTTACATTGGCATGATGGTGCTCTTGCAGACCACTCTCCGTCGGTGTTGCACGTCCTGATCGGTTCGCCTCGGAGCAAGTGTCCCGGTTCGCAGTGGTACTCGATGGTCGAGTGCACGTTGAAGTCGTACCCGACCACAAAACCTCCGTTTGGCACGTCAGGCTCCTCGCAAGTAATCACTGTCCTCAGGAATTAGTATCATTTTTATTTCCAATTAAATTTGCTCACATTCGCACGAGGGAGTGTGGGAGCTCCACTTTCCGTCCAGGCCGCACGTGATGATGGCCTGTCCGGCGAGCCAGTAGTCGGCCTCGCACTCGTACCTGGCCACGCTGCCGGCCGTCGTGGTCGCGTTCAGCAACTCCACCCTGCCGTGGAAGGTGTTGGCCGGGGCGCCGCAGTCCACAAATCGGCACTCAGGGGCGCGACCTGACCACGTTCCGCCAAGACCGCAGGTCAAAACCTTTAAAGGTTAAGATTTATTAGATTTAATAATTAAAACTTAAAGAGAAACAAGTGAAATTTTTCGTACAGCGTCGCCTAAGAGGATGAATCCAGCCTGGCACTTGTAGGTGGCGGTGGACCCTGCCTTCCTGCCAGTCACTTCAACGCGGCCTCCGGCAACTTCAGGTGGCTCCGGGCACCAAGCAACTAAAATTCGGCCAAAATTATGCTTCAGTTTTAATTTGAAAATTTTAAAAGCTGTCAAAGAGGAAATATGATATTTTCAAGAGTAAAAATCTATGGAAAATTTTCATTAAATTTAAAATCATAATTATTTTAATTTATTTCTATACAGAAACTCGTAAAATTAATTAGAAGCTTTTCAAGCATAGAGAATTTCAGAGATAAAACTATCCTTTTTTAATACTTTTCAACGCGTTGCGCTACTATAATCTATTATTATCAAAATTCACAGTTAATAATAAATAGTGTAGCAAAAATCAATTAGTGTTCTTAAAAAATTTGGGGCAAAAATTAATTAATTAATTTATTTATTTTTATACGAAATTAAGTTAGCTTCTTTATACAATTAAGAATTAACGCAAATACTTTTTATCTAGAAATACTTATACTCACATAAGCATTGAGGATCTTCTCCAGACCATACTCCTTCATCTCCGCACTTCCTCTTTGCGTCGCCCTTCAGAGTGTAATTGCTTTCGCAGGAAACTTCGGCCAGAGCACCGTGTGTAGTTCTGTCATTCAAAAGATTCACTGAACCATGCTCAGGCGTCTTCAACGATCCACAATCGACGTCTAAAATAATAGACATGATATTTTAGGCACATTTAAATTTTTTAAATAGTTAAACATAATTTGAGAAAAAGAAAATCGTCTAAAATCTTTTGAAAATCATTATTTGCAATTCCAAAATATCAAATAAAGTAAATTATTTGGATTTACCTGGAGTTTTACTATTCAAAATTCTCAAAATGATAGGCGCTTTTGATATTACCTACATTAATAAAATATAAAATAATTCAGAATTCAAGCAAATTAAATAATTAATAAAAAAAATTAACTTAATTAGACTTTATTGCAATCTCATTTCGTTTGATTTTCATCCAACTCATATCGAAAATAAAAGCTACTTTCAGCTGGGAGTGATTTTTATTCTGATTATTTTACAACTCACATTTGCATGTAGGCGCCTTGCCCGACCAGAATCCAGTTTTGAGGCACTCGCGAGTCGCGTTTCCAACTAGCATGTGACCCTCAGGACACGAGTAGGTGATTGATTTGCCAACGACGTGGTCTCCGCCGCTGATGGTGGTGTTGCTCTGTCGGTCGGGACTGCCGCAGGCCGCCGGCTCTGCAAATCACAATAAAATTCCAGTATTGCTCGGTAATTGCGGCAATTTGAGAAAAATAAAAGAGCAGGCAAATAAAAAGAATGAATAATTTCAAACCACTTTCTCCGTATTTACTTTAACCTTTGAGAAAATCGTATTGTTACGCTCGACTTGAAAGAATTTCTCCAAATTTTTTAATTAATATTCAAGAGAAGAATAAAAATTGTTTTCATTGTCGCGAGATTACGCACCGATTAAATCACACGTTCGCTGATTTCTTCTGAGTCTATAATTACGTTCGAAAGTGACATTCTCTCACGGTCACGGAATTAATGATCGTGTCATCAACGCAGCCCGATTCATTTCACTTTTGTCGCTCGGTAGAGAGAAAGAAATAATTTTGGCGTGCGAGTAAAAGTGCTTTCTTTAAGCCCGATCGCGAGAGTTGTTGCTCTTTTTATTAATTTCAAGTTCACGGTGCCGCTTCCTTTCCACTTTTTTTTTCGCTACCGCCCGGTCAGTGGCCTCGATTATTTAATTGTCTGCTTCGTTAATTTTTTAAACCGAAAAATCCGCCGTGCCGCTTTTTAATCCTTTAACCTTCTTGATTGGAAAGGTGGAGTAAAAAGTGAGAGATGATCAGAGATCGGTTGGTACTCACGGTGCTGACACACCCAGTGAAGGTAGTCGAGGTTGCAGCCAACGTCGTTCCACTGCCACCCTCGGCCGCCGTCCAGAACCACGCAGTTCTGCTCTCCGTTGTAGTTGTTGGGCTGGTCTTTACCCCAATCTGGCTTTCCTACCACCTCACCTAAATCAAAAAGAAAAATCTTTTTTTATTTTACATTTTAAATTTAGATAGAATTTTCAATTTATTATCTATTTCATTTAATTGCACATTAATTTTTGATGTTATTTGAAGCAATTATAAAAATTAATCTCCATTGTCTTTCAATTTTCAGAGGAATATTATTTAATTTGCAAAAATCTTCGAAATAATTTTTTTTATATACTGTTTAGTTTACAGAATGAATGGTATAAAATAAGTGAATGTATAGTTTAATTATGAAATTAAAACTAATGAACTAATTAAGCGTAATCTGCAAATATTTTAATGTAAATAAATTTAATGAATGTTGATTTAATAGATATGTATTTTTTCTTAAGTTTGATATTCATGGTATATGATATATCAGATTTTATCGTTTTCTGTGGGTATATTTTTTTGATTATCCAAAATGACACCCACGAAATAAAAATTAAATTGTAAAAGAAAGAACTCGCGCATACCGTTGACCCATCGCCAGGTTCTTGAAGTGAAGCCAGGGTCCCTGGTGGCTCCGAGCCAGACGAGCTGCGTCTTCAATTTTGGCTTCCTTCTTTCCAGTTCGGACAAAACAAAGCCGTTGTGCGCGCGCGACGACGAGTGCAAAAGGTCCCCGCCAGCGACCCTGCGGCAGGACGACCTCGCCTGCTCGAAAGAGGCACCCTTGGTTGTGTGAAATTCGTAGCAGGTGCGCGAGAAAACGGCCGTCTCTGTGCCTTCCTGCAGCACTCCGCTCGGCACGCACCTCTCATTCGAAAACTCTAAATAAAAATTAATCAAAAAAGAAAGAAAAATATTATCAAGTTGATCAATTGTCCTGAAAAAGTTGTTCAAAAAAAGATATTCTGAATGTAAACAAATAAACGAATCATAAATTTCTCCTTAATATAATTTCTTAATAAAAAAAATAATAAATTCAAATTTAAATATTCTTACCGTCTGTGGTGAAAACTTCGACCTCACAAAGGGAAAGGGAACCTTCAACCCCAACCATTTGCACAGCTACGTGACGACCAACGATTGGTCTGGCACAAGTGAAGATTTTTGTCGTACCCTCATCTAGAAAAATTTTAGTTTTAGAAGCTCTCATAATTTGAAATAAGACGAAGGAAAATTACCAACTGTGCCTGGATACCACGCACAAAGAGGGTTCCTCTGCAAATCAGTGCTGTTTCCCACCCTGATCTCCAGGTCTTGAAGAAGTTGGTGCCCTGAAATTTTACATTAAAAAAATATGTTTGGAAATTATTAGCTATAGCCTTTAAATATTTCAATTGCAAGCAGAAACTTAATTTTTGTAATTCAAACCTTTATAAAAAAATCATTTGATAGAAATAAATAAATTTAGTAAAAATTGGTCAGACAGCAAGTTATTTGCATAAAAGCTAATAAATAATTATGTTGCAGAGAAATGTTCTAGGAAAAATAAAAAATTTCACATTTTTAAATGACACAAAAAAAAATTAATTTTTATTTCAGTTTTTTTTAGAAATTATTATTCAAAACTTTGCATGCAATTTGAGAAAAAAAATTCAAATCTTGATCTTTTTTAATAGCGACACTCAGTTTTACGCAGGATCTAAAATTGAACTTACTGGATAAATTTTGTCAATTTTTTATATAAGAAAATTCAAATCATTACCGCAGCACCCTCTTGAAGTCAGTCTGACAGCCCTGATGGGGTACTCCCTGAGCAGATCGACCCTCCACCAGGGTGACTGCTCCTTGGCCGTCTCGGTGCATCTTTTGCCATCGTGGTTGACCTCTTTGTCTCCGTCAATGGCGTTCGACGCAGGCCCGCCTCGCATTGACGACGACTGGTTTGCAGGCTTTCTAAATGCAACGTTTGTACCTGCAAAAGAAAAGAAAGAAATGAACGGTCAGTCCGAGCGAAAATGTCATAATTAATGCACGTATAATTGCTTCCAAGGATGCGTCCCAATTTGAGGATGCACAAATCGAAAGTGCATTAAAAAAACCAGAAGTCAATCTTCTTTAATTTTTGTATCTTCGGTCTAAATAAAATAGAAATTCTCGGGCAATTTAACAAATTGTTTCTGAATTCGCTCTCTTTTCAATTGATTCCGTTGCTTGCGGCGCAATTAACGAAATTGCAAGAGAAATTTAATTCTTCTGCGGTTGATAATTGAGGCGAAATATATAACACTACGAAATTTTGACCTCATCTCTCCGGCTGATATTTATGCATGAATCGGCGCTTAACAAAGTAGCCCACAACAAATTACTACAACAGGTGCTTCCTCGGCCTCGAGGCAGTGATTATGAGCAAAAGTGGCTTTCTTTCTCCACTTCCGATCTTGCTCCAGGCTCTGAATCATCCGTCACTTTGACATGTTTTTCTTAAATTATTTAAAAATGGTGCATAATTTTTTGTAATCAACTTTTTTAATTTAATCATTCATTCTGTATAAAGAACTTGAAATTTTATAAGAATACTGACCAATGATAAATTTGAACCGGGCTGCTGTTTTTATCTTTTTGCTCATTGTTGTACTCCAGAGTCAAAATTGTCCCTTAGCATGGCTAAAGGGCACATAAGCCCTTTAAGTCTCCAAGTCACAATATTGATATTTTTATTTTTTTATGTTTTTTTTTTTTAATTTTAAGCTCGTTCTTTTTTAGAAGTGGATCGTATCAAATGGTCGTTTCAAATTCATTTGTCAGCAATTATTCTTGAGATTTGCAACAATCACAAAAGGATTTATTGTTGTTCGTATTTGCAGTTCTTCTACCCACATTGTTATAGATTTGAGATTTGAAAAATTAACCGTTGAGAATATTTTCATTCCTGCATTCGAAGATGCCAAACATGGATATTACTTGGGTAAAGCAATTATTTTCTTTTATTAATTTCATCATTATTGATTTTATCGTTTTAAAACTTTCACAGAACAAACTCTTGGCCAAAGCTTTCATCTGTTTCTTCCTCAGTTTGGCAAACCTCTTTTTTGGACTCTTATTCGTCATTTTTGGCCTGAGTATTATTATTTTTGAAATGAATTTTTGATTGAACGAAACTAATCCTAATTATTTTGGAAATTGAAGCGCTCTTTGATGCCTTCAAAAACATTCCTGCATTCTTTCTGGGCCTCATCCTGATTACATATGGACTTGCTGAAATGATTTACCTGCCGTCTGCTTACTTTATCCCCTACGCATATTCGATTTTTAATTTGGTAAAATCTACTTTCTCTACATTATTTTTATGGTAGAAATTTACTTTTTAACCTTATTCTTGCAGCCCTTTGAACAAGGAACATTTGCTTATGAGGGATTTTTGACCCTCATGTTAGTCTTCCTTGTGCCGCGTAAGAAATAATTGATTAACTTAATGTTTTTTATTTCAACTCTATTATCTTTTATTATTTGCTCTAGCCCCATTTGGTGGAGCGTTCTTCATTGTGGTGGCTGTGATTCTTTTTTTGAAATATGGCAACATGCCTGCTTAGACACCTTGAATACCCTCAACAATAGAAACATCTCTAATTTTCCTGAATTCCGATTGTTGGCCTCTGGAATTACAAAATTCTGATTACAAAATTCGCAAATGGACAAAATAGTAAGTCTCTTTAATTGGTGCGAATCTTATTTATTTTTAAAAATTTTCTTTTAGAGCCTGATATTTTGGAAATCTCTCATCATGACACTTCTCTGGATAATTAATTACGCAATCTCTACTGTCTGCTTGAGAACTTTTGCTCAACGTAAGAATGTGCCTTTTTTCAAGTTGCCAAATTTGTAAATCAATTTAAAATTTTAGTGATTGGCAACCAAATCTTTGAAGGCCAGCTGGGTTTAATCACAGTTGTGTCCTTAATTGTGGAAATTCATACTTTAACGCCGTTTCTGCTCATCCTACTTGCAAACAAAGTTTTTGGAGCCGTAAGTTCATTATAAATTCAAGAAATTTAATTTAAAAAAGTTATTTTCCACAGCGGCTGAAAGCTCAGGATTCCTTTTTCCTTTCCTGCTCCAGCCTCACGCATTTACCAGGCCAACCCAGAATTTCCTTCCCTCACATGCTCATCGGTATGGTATTTTATAGTTATTGTTTATTTTAAACCATTTTTGCATCGAACGTTTTGACATTATAATTAATTAAGTTCCAAACTAATCTTTCAGCGCTCTTTTGCTCATCAATCGTTTATTCCTGCCTCACCCAAGAACAAGAAAATTGAATGAATGAAGCTCTCAGAACCAAGATAACTCATTTAAACAATAATCATAAAATTCTAAGTAAATCTTTATTTTAACTATATTAAGGACTTCTTATTGACATAGTCAAATCAAGTCGTTACAACAATATAAACAGATTTTTGCGATTGTTGAAAGACAATTGGAAATTTTAATCACCATTGTTGTAAAGACTTGATTTGACTTTGCCAATAAGGAGTCCTTAAAAAAATATTCATTTTTAATTTTTTTATTTTAAATAAAATGGTGGAAAACATCATTTTTAATAAATTCTTAGAGATAATTTCCAACATTCTTGTATGATTTGTTGAACCTTTTTTAAATGCCAACAATAGAATTTATTTTATCGAACCGATTGTTGGTTTGAATATTTCTTCTTGAGTTTTGGATGACCAACCACCATGCCTGGAAAGTTATCTCTTGTGAGTGAATATTTATTCATATTTATGGTGCCAAACTTAATTTTAAATTATAAACCGTTATAAATTTTCAGTTTCAAATTGGGGCGAAATCGTGCATCAACGTCTTTGTTTCTCTCCTGTTTCACCTCCTTGGCAACGCTTCATTTTCTCTCGGGATCGGTATAAAATCATCTTCAATGGCGCTTAACGTTTTTAGTTAAAACTCTTTAATTATTTTAATGGCAGTTCTGGTAATCAGAGGACCGAAGCTGTTGACCGGATTGATCTTTATGAATTTTGGGATGATCTTGAACCTCTACTTGACTCAAAAATTCATCATCCCATGGGCGTATCTGCATTGTGGTTTGGTAAATTCCATTATAAAGTCTCAATCGCCATAAAACAACAAAATCACATACAGCCTTCAGACGAATTTGCTTTCGAAAGCTACATACCTCTGTTATGGACACTGACGGCCCCAGGTAAAAAAGAAACAAATTATGAAGTTTGGTGTTAGTCATAAAAACGTTTCTTTTTTAATAATTAGGCCCTTTCGGAATCAGTTCGTTGTTCCTCATCTTTATCAACATAGCCTATTTTAAATGCATCAACAGGGAGGATGTTCCAGACATCCAGTAAGTTTCCAAAGTTTATAGAATGAAGGAACACAAATATAATATATTTTTTCCGCTCAACAGGGTTTACTAATATTTAGAAGGTCCAACTTCAGAGTAAAAAAACAGTTAGAAGCTATTTAATTTGGCTAAAATTAATCAAAATTCCATCCAACCGCGAGAATAAAATTTCTCATATTTGCCAGCAGGAAGTCTGCGTGCTACTTATTATTATGATAATGTGCACAAACATTGAATGTACTAGTTATTCATCGGAACCTGCCACCCATTGGCTCATTTTGCAATTGTTCGCATTTTTACACACTTCATGCCTTTCATAAGTTTTTAAAATATATTTCACTCCTAATTTTCCGCGCATTATGTTTTCATGTAAATTTGTCACTCATGTTTATTTTTGAATGGCGAGTATATTGGAATTTACATACCTTGTTTAAATTTCGATCAACCCACTTCTCATTGTTTTAACCAGAACCTCATTATTCTTGAGGTGGAGTCGACATTTTTATCATTGGCAGTGCACACCTGTTTGCAAACTTTTGCCCCACGATTAGGAAGTAAATAGCTTATTTAAAAATTTTAAAGACGCTAAAAATAAACCTTAAACATTGTTATTAAAAAATTAAGTAATTTGTTATTTTCATACAAAAGTAATCAGTAAATATTAAAAATATACAAATGCAAATACTCAGCAAGTTCGTATAATTTAGGTAAAAGCAGGATGAGACATTATTTATTTAAAGTTTCAATGTGTTTTGATATTTTCTGGTTATGAACTATTAAATCGCTTTCAAAAATCTCAGTCAGACTTTTTTCCGATAAAACTTAACAACAATGCATCTCCCGATCTCCCCCATATTGAGAGCGAATGCTGATTTCAGTTTGATTTCCTGCTAGTTCTATCCGATATGTGTCACCGCCGAGAGATTTAATAACGGTAGCCGCTGAGTGTGTAACGCGAACTCCATTATCGTCATTACAGAGTACGATTATTTTCTTGCGTTATTTGTGTGCATATGAGGTGCTCGGCACAAAAAGCTGTGATTTCCGCGGTTGAATTGAGATGCAGCTCCTTTCTTCCTGCTGCCGAGATCACCTCTTCTCGTTATTTGGGTTAATCTCCTTGAGATTTCTAACTTTGAGCCGATTAGCTTGAAAAATTTTTTTGTTTAACAAAGTGCTCTGTGATCCATTTATGAAAATGTGATTTCCAGAATTTTTCACACGTGAGATAACAATGATTTGCAAGACAGGAATGTTGACAGTAAAAGTAGGCTTTCTACTCTCTTACAAACAAAACACACCGTGTGCGAGTGTTTATTCAACGCTTTGTGTTTAAAATGCAATAAAACTTTTGAAATTAGGAGCGAAACAATGCGCAAAAGCGAGAGCAACAAACCGACAGAGACAGATGGTGCAAAGTGGAGCTGCAAATTAAACTTGCCGTGGAAAAGAAGCGCGACCCTGTTTGCTCGCGAAGGATTAATATTTGCACTCCGGTGTGCAGCTGTTTGATTTTCTAATTACACTATGTTTTACATCATAATACTTTAAAGTCCACTCCAGACCGCTGGAATAAATTAATAAACACAATTTGTAACTAAATATTAATATAGTTTCTTGCAATAGTATTATGTCTGAAGTTGTTATTTATAATATAATTAATTTTTTTATCTTTGACAAAAATTTTTGTTTGATAAAACTTACTAAAGTATGTAAATTATGATCATTTTTATACCAAAATATAATTTTATACTTTTAAATAAATTTTAATTTAATAAATAAGTAAAATATCTAAAATACAAAAATTATTAATTGATAATATTTTAATTTAAAAATAAATAACAACATTTTAAATATTATATCGTTAAACTTACATTTTTTAAACAAAAAATCAAGTTTAAAATAACAATAACATTTGAAAAGATTTGTCTTATTAAATGTGAATTTATTATTATCTTTCATTGATTATTTAAAAAAAAGTCTCATGGTAACAGGAAAAAGCGGGCATGTAATATAATCAATGACTTATGGTTGATTTTTAAATATTATTATATACTTTTAACTCTGACAATTTATTTGTGGATTTTTTAAATAAACACAAAATTTATTTTCTTAAGCGTAAAACCGTATGACCTCTTTGTTATTTTCACGCCTCAATTTGCCGCCAAATACACGTCAAACTGTGACTAACGTAAGTGAAGCGGCCAAAGATTATCCTGAGCAAACAAAGTGCCCATAAAAACAGTTTTTTTTTACACCGAAAGGCTTTTCACCGCCCGGGTCGCATGAGGGTTTTGGCCTCTGCGTCTCTTCTTTTGTTTGCATTCGTCTGCCGCCGAATCGTGATTTCACACCGCCACGGTCCCACGCAGGATTTCTCGTTTCTTACTGAAATAAAATGCAGTTTCATGCGCGTTTGCATTGAAATTCATATTATTGCTCGGCGACCGCCGTCATCGCTTGAGAAACTGCAAAGTTTTCAAAAAGCAGCCGTGCGTGCCCCCAGTTGCCAAAACTGACTTTTATCCGGATATTATCCTCTCGGGAGAGGATAATATCCGGATAATTTTTCGATTTTGGCAGCTGGGGTGAAAGGCACCGAGTGCATCCTCCCATACAATCCTCGGTTCGCATCCCGGAGTCGGCAAATCTAATTTGGATGCACATTAATGTGTGCAAATTAAAGTGTGCGTCCGATTTGTTGGTCAACCTTGGGCGGAAAATCCCTTCGTCCGGCAGCCTTGGTTTTCTTCTGACGGGGTCGATGATGACAATCTCATTTTTGTTTTTAATTTTCAAGCTTTTTTTTCTTTTTGTCCGTCTGCGTCTGGTTTGAGACAAAAGATTAAACTTTGTCTTGCGCAAAATCCGGCTGTCAGTTTGTGTTGGAAAAAGGAAAGGTTCTCATTTCTGCTCGCGTCAAAGCAAGTGACCAGTTTATTTCTGCCGACTATGTAATGCGACCACGCCTGCCAGCTCACTTTCCTCTCTTTCAGCAAGGTGCATTCTAATTGCACGGATCATTTGGTGCATGCCGTAATAACTGCGGTTTTCCACTCACGCAGTTTCTGTCCGTTATATTGTTTCGATCGCAATTATAATTAAGAATAGGAAATGTTTTCGGCAATGATAATATAAGATTGCAAGTAGTGCATGGGCCATTGTATATTTTTGCAATACATTATTATTTTATGATGAGAGTTGAATTGGCTTGTTAAAGTTAGCTGTTGTTTTAAATATATTGCATAAAATGCTGATTCAATCAATGTCTTGATTTTTGCCATTTTCAATGTTCATTTCAGGTCTCTCATGAGGGAAACTTCTGCATTCAATAAGCTTAATTTTCTACATGACGAGGGTTAAGATTTGTATTTATTTTTATCAAATTGTCCAAAATTATATATATAAACTTGGTGATACGTAAATTTTGCTTAACTTGCAATTTCTCTACAAAAAAAAAACAAATTCTTGTAAGCATGACTGAAATTTCAGAAGAAAATCGGTATTAAATTTATTTGAATTTATTATTTATATAATAAAATTCTCCTGAAGCAGGTGATGTAATGAAGAATAATGTTTTAATGAATTATAATTAAATTATATTCAATGTGTGCTCCATTTTTTCTATAAAACCATGCATTTTTGTAAACTACTAAGCACGTCAATGTGGTGAAAATTGTAATCAAAATTTAAGGGAATTATAAGTGAAACTGGATGCATGCAACAACAAAAAAATGACATCAGCGAGTTATTTAGAACATTTTGCGTCGGTGCTTCACATTCAACTAATTGTAAGTTACATAGGTGCATACATTCTTGCATGCATGCTGGTATAAAGCGCACTCAATAACATTGAAGTTAATTATAATAAGTAATTCTCAGAATCACAAGATTATTCTTGATACTTATCTCTGAACACAAACGGTGTCCGTGATTTTGAACACGCGACCGAAAAGCGCAGAAATTTATGTTCGATTAGGAAAAAACAATAGAAAGCACCAGGAAATTGGTATTCTCGCAGAGTCGATAAGCGTGACGATGAATATACCAGATTCTCGAAAGGCTAGTCAGAGAGCAGTGCGCGGGTGTTTTAATAACCATACTAGCGAGCAAACCCAAGGCACACTTCTCTTATTGCTTTTGCATCTCTCACCAAGCGAGAGAAGAGAAACACCGTGTTATTATTCCGGGTGAATGATCTCGCGCGCTTTGCACAAAAGAAACGCGATATTATATTGGGAAACAAAACTCAAGAGGGAAGACGAATCATTCCAGCCTGATTATTTATTTGCTTATTAATGAGCCAGATGTCTTAATTTGACTGCCGGGAAATGAAATCTTCTAAACTTGTATATTATGAGCATTTGATAATAGAATCGGCCCATCAGAAAATTAAAAATTTTTAGTAAAGAAAATTCTAAAAAACTAGAATTAAAAAATTTGTTAATAATATACCCACTTTAATTCAATTTACAAATTTCTTAGTTCATTTCAGCATAATATATTTTAAAATAAAAAAAATTTGCTTTGGGCACATCAGTATTTTCAGTCAAACAGGCAGACTTAAAGTTGTGAAATTTTGTTTTTCTTAATTTTTTACAAGCCTTTGTTAGCTAAGCTGTTTATTTATTTAGTTTTTACATCTACGCCTGGGAAAATAATATCACACTATGTATTTGAAAATTTTGCTTCACAATCTTTTCCCCCAGCTTTCTATAATTCTTTTTTGAAATATTCTTACAATTTGTTAGATCGAAGCTTGTTTTTATGCATCTCTAAATCTGAATAACAGAAGCTGTTGGCCTATTTTAAGATATTTTCGCTGTTTTTCAGATAAAAATAATTTGGCAGGATCATGCGAGGCCACGCAAATGTGATGCATAATTGAAAAAGCGTGAGATTCGTGATTAAGAGGTCAAGAGGAGCACGACGCTTTTATTTTTATATAATGTTATCCATCTCCTCCTCCATTGTCTATGCCGAGACATAGCAAAATAACTTTGCAATTATTTTAATGAGTCCAGCATCTTGATAGTCTCGCCTTGGCCGTTTTTCACTATTACTTTTATCGGTGTGTTGTTTTTTTCTACATATCAGTAGGAGATGAAGAAGGACGCGGAAATGTGGCCGGCGAGCGTGAAGATTCAAAATTATATCAAATCACATTTTATATAGTCACGGCCTCCAGAGTCTAAATTTCAAATTATTTTCCTAATGAGGTTGCTCCTCCTCAGCAATATTTTACGGCTTATTTGTTGTTTCCTATTTGAAGGATTTATGGTGGCGCAACTCTTTTACCAAAAGATGATAAATGAAGTCAATGAAAGATTTCCATCAGCGAGCGCAGAATCACGATTTTTCGCTCTCACGATGTATTAGTAGGAAAAGCTGGTTTGCCGATTTTTTTTTTATTATCGACGTGCGTGGGACCACCTAAGTGACGACAACGGGTTAAAACTCACCGCAGAATGGAAGTTCTCCTTGCCAGACCGCGCGAGATCCTTGCTGGACACAGGGCAACAAGCTTGACCTGAAAATTGAAATAAAAAATTTAAATCTCATTCAATCAAAAAGAATAAAAAATGAAACTGCCAATCTCAAGAGGATAGAACATTTAGAAATTAGAGCAATATAAAAATATGTAAATAAAGTTTATAATTCATAGAGCTTATCATGGTCAGAGTGATTAATTCATGATAAGTTGAGAGTTGCAAATAAAAAATTAAAATAAAACTCAATTATATGATAATAAAATCCAAGCGTAGAAGCACAATCAATTAAAAATGTATCTCCAACAAAGCAGGTCAGTCGCTTCGAGAGCGAGAAATTACATTAATAGCGCATAATAATACCCCACGTGCATGTTGCAATCGACGCGAGTAGATGCAGTAAAATTAAAATAACATATTACAAGGCGTGCAAACATTAAATTTGTGCTCTTTATAGAACACGTTGTGTGCACATAAGCGATAAAATAAATCCCTTGGCGGGTGAAATAAATCAAGTGCGCCTACCCGAAAAGTTCGTATCCATCATCACAAGAGTAGGTGGCTGTGGTGCCCACGCTTGGGGTGGAACTGCTCAAAGTCACCCTGGCGTTCAATGGCACCGCGGGCAGTGGACACTGCTGCGCCAAACTCAGTCCTGAAACAAAAATTATATAAAATAAAAAAATGAAAGAATTAAGTTAGGATTAATCAAATGTTGTTTTAAAAATACAAAAAAAGTTGTGTATATGAAAAGAATCTAAATAATTCTAAATCAGGAAGAAAATAAAGGAAGCTTAAAAAAAAAATGATTAAAATTTCCCGTAAGTTTCTGTTTCTATAACTATGCCATAAGAAAAACTTTGAAGCAAATCTGTATATAATTTTTTTATGCAAAAAATCTTAATAATTTGAAATACTTTTTGTTGGAAGATCCTTCTTTAATTAATAGATTTTATTTTTTTATTTCTCCACGCATAATGTTTTATTTACCAAGCTTTTAGCTATTTTTTTTATTCCATCTTAAAAACCATTAATTTTTTTATCCACGAGGCAGGAAGTGTTCACTTTAGAGTTTGCAGCCCACATTTATTATCGATGCAGGTGTTTTGGTCATCAGGCAGAGCAAAAGATCAAGGGCATCTAGAGACGCTACAAGAACTTGCGTGACGAATGCCTATATACCTGTTTTGATACATTCCAATTGGAATGATCTGCCTTTAATGATTGCTATTTCGAGATGAGGATGAGTCTGGGTTTGACCTGAAGGTCAGGGCTGTGGGTGTCTCGGGTATCACGGTGATGAGAAATTCGTGAGCGAAAATGTGACAGCCGGAATCCAAAACCGATTTTTGTTTATCCGTCTGACACTGTTGGCCACAGCAATTTATTTTAATAATTCATTCAGACGGACTTAAACATGCTCCACCTTAAGCTATAATAATTGTAAACCTGCTTATTTAAAAATTTCATAATTTAGGCACACACGCCCTTTATTGCATTATGAATTTAACATTATTACTCGTTTTGTTTCATAAATCATTTTTTTCTGAATTTATTTAAGGGCATGATGAAGTTAAAAAAAAAACTTATTGAATAGAAGATTCAATCAATATATAAACACACTATTTTTTTTCAACTATAGCACAATAAAAACATTGGGATCATCCCAGAAAGATCTACCAGGATCTCAATTATGAATGAAAATTGCACTTTGTTAAAGTCTTCTGTCTCTTTATGAAGAAAAAAAACAGCGCTTAAAACTAAAGCACATAATTGTCTTGTAACAATTTTATTCATTCAGCCTCCCTTCAAAGCTAATTCACGGTTCGACATGTTGTATTATACTAAAAGTTCCCATAGTCAGCAATTTTCAGGTAAAGCGTTTTTGTTGTTGCGTAACCTTGCCTGCTAAATGCAGTGTGTAAAATCCGACACAAAATTGCAACCTTGAGCCGCGTGGGTTATTCTCCCATAAGAGACGCACAATTCATGGGAAAAAGAAGTCGCAAGAAAGGGGCAAAAACACATCGTTTTCAACTCTTTTAATTCCACCGTCGTCAAAAAATCAAACTGGGTGGCACCAACTTTGGCAGAGATTAGACGCTCCTTAAATTTTTTCGCATTGTTTTGTGGGAGTCTCAAGGTTTCAAACAGGGAGGATCATCGTTGGAATATTCTCGCATCTGCCGCGATTTATTGTATTGATCTGTGCTAAAAATACTATGAAAACCACGAAGGATTTTCACATAGGAAAGTAACTTCGTGGTTTTGAGTTAAAAAGCGCAGTGAACTAGAAAAGTGGCAATATAGTGCGTGGAATTTGGTTTGACCTCTCCGGCGTTAGATCTGATATGAAGGATCGTTTTTATGGTTTATTTCAACTCTCAAGCCAACCATGAATGACAAATGATTTTTTTAATTAGTCGGTACCAAAAGTATCAAAAAAATTGAACATAAGCGTTTGTTTGAATCTTTTCAGAATATGCAATTACTTAGATCTATGATCAAAAATTTTACTTCAATTTTCAAAATACATTTTACTGAAAACAAAAACTTGAAAACTGTTCATTTTTTTGTACAGTTCTTTTCTTTTAATATCATATATAGATTTAAAAAATATGACAATCCTAAGATGAGTATGTATAAAATTTGTAATTTTTTCTATTAAACAATAATTTATTCGGCGTTTTATCAAGTAATTTAGCTGAAAGTAAGTCATCACACAGTTAGGTAGGAGATTGTCAATATCCTGCGAATTTTCCTTCATAAAGCCTTCCTCTCAGTTTTTGCACTAACTGTATTTACACGAACGTCTCTCATCATAACGATTGAGTCGTCAAAAAACTTTTTCAGCTTTTTTCCTTCCTGCTCTAGTTTCTTAATTCCGCAAGAATTTTTTTTCTTACAACCCAAGCAACAATGCCTCTTTGTACATTTTTATTTTAACTGTTTTTGCATGAAAAATATTATATTGCCCCGCTTTTTATTACAAGTTACGTAAAAATAAATTACTCTCGGTGCAGTTCAACTCGAGCAATTGCAAAAAGTTCCTCCTTACAACATGGTGTGTTATATAAAAATCTTGATAAGCGGTCGCATCGCTCGGTTTGATTTTGTTTGCACATTATTCTTGTTAATCAAAGCAACAAGCAACAACTCACGCGCTCATGCTTTCGCTTTCGACGCCATGCCTTGTGCTAAAATCGGATAGGAAGCGGCAAAACTTTCATTCAATTAATTTGCATTAATTAAGCAAATCGCGATTGTAATTACAAACTTGGCTGGATAAAAATATGAATTTTTAGAGCAGTCTGTCCCATTGATAATCTCTTTTCATGCACTCAATACTCATGCTTGTTGTCTAATTTGCTTCGCAAAGCGCATTAGAAAGCGACGAGAGCGAAATAGAAAAATTCGATTAAATTCGAGAGACGCGAATTTTGTACGCTCTCAAATGGCGTGATTGGAAATTGCGCGAGACGAGCTGTTGGTGCAATACGTGTGAACATCCATACATTCCACACTCAAAATCAATGAAACAAAAGACTTTTTAACTTGTTTGATGAGATTTAAAATCTTCAAAATTATAAAAGTTTATGATGGAAAAGTTCAATAATTTTTCAAATATAATTTATTTCACTTAATTACATGCAACATTTTTTTAGGTCAAAATTAAATTTTTAAATTTTTTTTTAATTCATTAACATTAATTATGAATCCATTATTTGTAACTCCTCTTCATGAGTGCTTAATTTTTTTAATAATAAATTTCTTATGTATTGTTTTTCAAAAATTAATTACTTCTCTTTCTACTTTATTCCCATTTTTTAATGTCACAAAAATATTACAAATCTCATTTTTTTTATTCAATATATCACATTTTTAACTAATTAATAATATGCTATTTATATCCTTATTAATTTAAGTCAAACACTGCGGTTTATTTCTTACAGACAGAAGCTGCAAATGTGCGGCTGCTAATCATCACATCATGCATAATTATCATAAAAGCGAAAAACCTCGGCAAAGGCCAAACAAATTATATAAATCGCAACTCATCAAAAAGACGCTGAGAAAAACTAACGCATCTCACTCTGCAGCTTCATTTTTTTTTCGAGGATTATGCAAGGCTTGCAAACGGGTGTTCTTAATTATAACGCGGAGCCAGAGTGCTGTGTGAAAAAAACAATTAAATGGCTCTTCTCTTAAGTAATTATTTGGATTAAAATAAGCGTCTAACAAAGGGACACAGAAAACTGTTATGCAAATGGTTCCCACGAATTTCGGACCCTCACTGTTAATATTATAAGATTTATTCCGATCAGCATGTCGCAAAATAGGTTGAGGTTCAATTTGTAATGCAATTTAATAGGGAAAAGCGTGTAAATAATTACAGTTTAATGTTAAATTAAGTTCAGAAAGAGTGGTTGATTGGTTTTCTGGTCTCAGCACACTTTTTGTCGTTATTGCACCTGTTTGATGTGCACTGGAGTGACTCGATTCGTTTGCCTGATTGGCCATTTCTGCGGCAGCTGCACTTGCAGCTTTCTCTTGGGCTGCTAAAAAAGAGTGCTCATTGAAACACCTGAATAACAGCGAGGCAATGAATCTCTGTGACCTTTGGACCGAATTGCTCTTTCGCAGTGTGTGATATTTTTGCTGAGAAATGCATTTTGCACAAGCAGGGAATGTAACTTGTAGTAATAAAGTTGTAACAAAATGTTTTGAAAGTAGTTAACAAAATTTTCAATTTTGCTCTGATTAAAATAAGAGAATGATTTTTATTTATCAAACAAATATTTTGAGCTTAAAATTATGCATTTTTTATATTAACATTTAGCTATCAGATACAAAATAAATTTAATTTTGTGTTTGGAGAAATAAATTTTTATTTAAAAATAATTTGAAAAATATAAACATGTATATCGTTTTTAGAACGTTAAAAATGCGGCTCAATAAATTGGACTTTTCTTTTTCGGTTCGCCTGGCACTCTTCGCATCTATGATTAAGCTAATTTTTAATTAAAATATTCAAATCTCTATCTAGTAAGAGATATTATACAATGAAGTTGATTTGATATAGTATGTTTAAAATTATTTGCCAATTTTGATTCATTTTGCAAATCTACATCTTAAAAAGCTAGGTGTTTAAAAATCGAATTTAAAACAAATATCATTATTTGGCAGTCTTTGGTGTATTTGGGTCCTTTGAACATTAATTTTAATATGATTCTAGAAAAACCGTGATTATTATTCCGCAGTAAAGAAAGACCAACTTTCTTTTTAATTACAATAGATGACAACCAACTTTTGTGTGTGAGAAATCAAGATATTTTTTAGATCAAATTGACAGCAAATGAGTTCCCATTCACTCCATCACGTTTATTATATTATTTGCATGCGCATCACGCAATTGGAGCAGATGAAAATTCAGATATTTCTTTCCTCTCCAGCACTCATGGGAAAATAAACTGCTTCTATGAAAATGTCCTTTGTTGATGCAACAAACGAAATGCATATCTTTTCATTTGATTTATTCGCTACGTACGCGGAAGACTCTGTTATAAATTTTTTTATTACCCACGCGACCCACATCGGCGCCGCAGAATTTTGGCACCGACTGCAAGAATTATCGTTTGTCGGTGACGAGCGAAG